ACTCAGGTTGAAATTGATGTGAACTCTGATTTCTATAGACGTCTAGCTAGTTGTCTATATACTAGGGGAAGGAAGGGGGCCACCCCCAGGGTGGCGCGCTAGTAAGTTCAGATGAGCCCTGCACAGCTGAGGCTTCAGCTCGGTTCTCTACAGCTGAGATTTCAGCTGGGTTCTCTACAGCTGATGTTCGGAGAGTAGCTTTCTGGCATATGAGTTGTTGATCCTAGGTTGTAGTGCTGCAACCTGAGTAGAATAGGGTGGACGCTCAAAGAGAAAGCTGAAGTCGCGAAATCTCAGATTGAGAAAGCTAGGATCGAGGGGACAGAGATCGATCTCGATTCTATTCAGCGTCTGTTGCTCTTGCGAAAAAGGAGTTGCCGAGTTCACGGTGTGTGGTTGGTGTACAGGTAAAATAAAATAGGATGAGGCGACATTGCAATTGAGCTGTCATACTTCTAAGCATGCTACGCGGGTAGTGGCCAATCTGGGCTTCAGGTAGTTTGACTAGATGCAATTCCTTCACACCATACTTTTCACATCTTTCTTCCGATGAGTAACAGGATTGAAACGTTTGAACGCAAAATACGCCAATAATACGAGTGTGGCCTGTGGATGAATTTTAGATTTTGGTATATTCAGGCCTTGGTGGATAGCACTTACCAGTGGAATTATACTGATGAAGGACCTATGGACACCGTCGTTAGACTCAACCTTACTCGGTGGTAGAGCTGTTGCTCCAGCCTACAGGGACGGGAGTAGAAGAGAGAGAAGCATAGATATACGGAACTCACCAACGCCCCCATCCCCCTTATCCCCCACCCGAAACGCGAAAAAACTCGACAACGCCAGCCCATAGAGGAACGGCGCGTCCGAATACGGATCCGAATAAATCCCCGGATCGAGCAACGTCGTGACGATGCGCATCGCCGTCTTGAACCCCGGCGGCAGCCTATCCCGAATAGAGTGGTCGAAATCGAACCCGGTTACCAGATCCTGGCCGGGGATGTCGCGCTTCGGGATGAAGGTGTAGCCGACGCTGTGCAGGTCGGAGGTGTGCAGCGGGTGCGAGAAGTAGGCGGAGTCGGTCGGCGGCGCGGAGGTGGGGAGGCCGTTGTAGCCTTTGATACGGACGTTGAGCCAGGCGTCCATAAGGGGGGTGGAGATGTGGGTGGGCGAGGTGGTGTTAACGGGGATAAGGGTGTGGGTGGAGGGCGCGTAGGTGGGGCCGGCGGTGACGCGGAGGAGGTATTTGTCTTTTTACAAGGGGTCGGGGACAGATGGGTTTGGAGAGGGGGTTCGGGAGCGGGAGGTGGAGAGGGCGGATTTAAGGGTGGATACCATGATGCTGTTGGTTTTAAGGTGATGCTGTGCTTAATAGAGTGCTATATAAAGCGGTGTTGAAGAGGGTATAAAGTAGAATAGTAGGAATGTGTTTGCAAACTAAGATATAACAGTCTAGGAAATCTAAGAAGGCTCGATTGTCTAGGGTATCAAATGCAAAGTATAAAATTAAAAGTCGTCATTGATATAGGGCATACTCGTGACTCTTTCGGAAATGTAAAGGATTTCAGGTCTAAAAGCGCATGTAAGTCTACTGCCACAACCCGCCCATGATATAGAGTCAGAAATCGGACAGTTCCAGGCTTTAAAACTAGTAGCAAAGCCACCGTCGTCGTACCTACGTCCATCTCGCAGGCCGGTCGGGATTCTCGGTGGAGGCCGTGACACGGTTAACGCATGCGTCGTTTCGGCATGCCGCAGGTGATGACGGCATCGGGACGCGAGGGTCAGCCACGGTTGTGCCCTCATTGGCTGCGGTTTTCCTGCGCTCATCCAATCATATATTGAGTTATCACTCCTGTCAGGTGATATGCTTTCAGCGGTGAATTCTACTTGCAATAACATGTGAGCGTCTTTAGGTCGAATTTCCTCAGTGAATGGTCAACACAACCTCAGAACTACCCCTCCCTTTTGGTCCGAGCTCCTGCCGCTTTCGGTATTTTCGTTACGGATAAGTGTTGAGCATAGAGCGACCTTACATTTTACCACTAATTAATTCGTGTAAATTCAACAACGAGACTTAAGGATCTATCCGCTGGCGTAGTAGAAGTTCATATTGAGGCGAAACGTTCTATCGCGTTAGAATTAGAAAATAAGCTGTTGGAGTGGAGATATTTGAGTTTCGGCGTTGCGGCGACCACGGCGGTCGAGTCAGAGTTCATCCTTCTAGTATTATAATAGAAGACCTAATTATAAGCACAATCCTTTGATATAAGGCTTCAGAGTATCTTCCAAACTCTTAGTAAGACAGCATTCAATCATTTTGAATAGTCAAAACCCGCTAGGCCACCTCAAACGGCGGTGCACCCATAGATGAGAACCCAGGTAGTAGTCTATCCGTAGAAAGCCACATCAGAGCAATGATATATATCCAAATTTCCGTTCATTTTACGTCATTTCCCAATATCTATCTACTAGGCAACCCATTATCCTTCCCCCCAGCCGGCCACTGATCCACATAATCCGTCTCCCCCATCACCATCTTCCTAAAATTCTTCCTAACACTCCACTGTATATGCTTCGAGTAAGGCTTCTCATTCCAATCCTCCCCATGGTTCGAAATATCACTGAATCCCTTCCTCGCGCCCCTCGGCCGATGGTGCTGGAACAACTGCGGCTGCACAGTCAAACACGTCCCATGCACGCGCCGATTCGCCCCATTGCAGAACTCGCGCCATTGCAGAACTCGCGCAGCATGGTATCCAGATTTGAGGAGAACTTGTTGACGCCGAGTTCGTACAGCAGGCGGCGTGCGCCCCGCTGCGAGACGGCGTAGGCCAGCGAGCAGACGCCGCCAGTGGCATGGTGCACTACGCGGGTGTGGGTGGGATAGTCGTTAGTGAGGTCTTCGGAGCCCCATTGGAAATGGATGAATTGCTTCTCTGGGACGGTGAGGTCGTTGGAGTATACAACACGACCGAGCGGGTTGGGGGGTTTGTTATCGGGCTTGGGGAATTGCATGCCGCAGTGGCCGAGCCACAGCAGATCCCAATTATCGCCATAGGCTGAACTTGAGGGCTCGATCGTCCTGGGGACTCTTTCGAGAGAGATATTCAGGATCTGAGCTTCTGGTTCCGGTGCTGGAAATGTTGGATCGGTGTATTTGGAGGGATTTGAAGAGATAGGTTGTATAAGAGCGCGTGATGAGAGTGCGAAATTCTGTAGTTAGTCTCTGATTCGTATGTCCTAGTCTACATCATCTTCCATTATAAGGGCCGTGGAAAAAATTTGTTGGACAACACTACAGAAAGTTCTTAGCAATGGACGAAGCATATGTAAGCATCTCTAGAGTACGCACGTTAGAAGAGCTTTCATGTGTGCCCTCCAGCATCCTTTAACGCTATCAGGAGGGTTTTGGTAATCTCCTGGAGGTAGAACCTTATCAAGTACATCGGCGCCTTTCACTCCATCTATCCAATCGAGCTGTAAATTGCTCAAGGCAGCAGCTAGGGAGACGGCGTCTTTATGATCTGTCCGAGATGGGAGATTGAGGACGAAGATTTTCTGGAACTAACGCATTGTGAGGGTCTGCTTGGACACACGGAGTAAGAAGTTGCGGAAAAGAAATTCAAAAGTACCCCTAAAGTTCGGTTTTGCACATGTTCCAAGAAGCCGCTTTGCACAATCGCCCCACTCAAGTATGGCAGTTCATTCGATGCAGATGATAGTTCGCGTCGAAAATAAAGTAGAAACAAAGACAAAGCGACAATGCCAACTATTGCAAGTTGAATGCGCCTTTGAGGTATGGAATTTGCAATCATGACAGAACGGCTGAGATCGCGCAGATTTCCTGGGGAATCGAGGAAGATCTGGCATCTTCAAGGAAGGCTGATGCATGCGGCACAGCTAGGCGCCCTACGCCGCATGCGAAAGGCTGATCCGCAGCCATGACAAAGGATCTCATGCAGGCCTGCGGCGTATGCTGACGAGAAGGCGAAACAAAGACGGTATAAATATGGTGTTAGGCGCAGGGAGCCCCTGCGCAGGCAGGCCAGGAATGGGACGGTCCGCTGCCGAGCCGCTAGCCCTGAGTGAAAGGGGCTGGGAGCTAAAGTTCAGGTTCCTATTGGCCGTAATATTACTAGGGATCTGGCTTTCTCGACTTCACGATTTTGCTCCCAACTACAACAGCTTCACGGAACGCTTCCAAGGAAATCTACTCTACTCCCGTCGACTAGTTCCACTTCTTCAAATGCCCTGTGAATCTTGCGACAGTGCAAAAGATTTTCGATTTCAGCTACAGCCTCTGGATGCGTCTGGTGGACTAGCGCGGTTATCAAGCCACAAAACGCAGCTGCAAAAGAGGGATAATCTCGAAAGCTACGCCTCGTAACTTAGTGCCTTGCTTTTTTGCACATTCAGCTCAGCCTCGGTAAGCTTTGGTCTAAAAAGGGCTTCCTCTGTTCCAATCCCCTCTAGTATACCTGTGGCGTCAAATCCGCGCTCGTTCACCGGACGCATCCAGAGGCTGTGCAGCCCCCAGACGCATCCCGTGGTTATTGTGCAGGTGGCTTGCTATGGGAGCTCCATTAGATCGAGCTCATTGGTCCAAAGCAGTCTATTTCAGGGATCCAAAGCCATTATGACACCGCAACCACTTGCAACGATAACTACGAGATGCGTCTAGAGGCTGTATGGCGAGTGGTTGGTGGAGACCCTGCTATGCCACAGCCACCAATATCGTGTATGCGTCTGGGACTAGTGGTAAGATTGGACCCAGCCATCAGGTCGTTCCTATAAACAAAGCACAGTGTTCTTGCTGTGTTTTTAGGCATTACCACAGCATCTACTCCACTTTAAATATTCTCTTTTTCTCCATTTTCGGGAGGCACCAGTCTGATTCCAATGTTTGGAATGATCAGGCCCCTTCTTATCCTTGGCCACTTGCTTCTTGCTATAGGGATCAGCGCCGAAAGCAATTTCTGGCTCTTTCCAGGTCAAAATGGCGCCAACAACGACTATTCTGAAAATCCCATCCTCCCGCAATCTACTCCTCAGCCCCTTCGATGGAGCACAGACTTCGACGCTTATACGATCAGACTCTGGCAGCAGCACCTGTCGGGAAACAAAGCTACTGCAGGGGAAACCATGTATGGTATGTCTACCTTGGATCGGTCGTACTCAAGAGCCCCCGAACTAACGAAGAGATCGTATAGCGAAGTCATCAGAAGATTCTGAAGTAGGCAATTTCACATGGACCGTCCAGACTTACTCTATGGACTTGGAGGACTCGAACGTCTTCTTCCTCCAGGTCGATGATCTACATGGTCATAGCATCACATCCCACTATTTCAACATCACAGCAGGAGGAGTCTCGTCGTCCATCACCACGTTAGCAACATCTACGACAACCTCGACCTCAGTCGCAGACTCAAGCACAAGAAGCGCCACGGCTACACAGTCCTTCCCGGCCTCAACACCAAGCGCTGCGACTCAATCACCACAGCCGCAAAACAAAGACACTGCAGTGAAGATCGGACTCGGTGTTGGCTTGGGCCTAGGCATACCTCTAGTACTCCTTCTTGGTGTATACCTTGGCATGCAAGCTATGAAAACGCGTCAAACGGCAGGGGAAACCATGGATCAGTCTATCTACATTGGTCCTGACCCTCCAAAATATCCGCTAGTGGAGTACTCGCAAGCGCCTTCTAGCGAAGAGCTCCGCACAGAGCCGTCAGAACTACCAGGAGATAGATACAATGCTCCGCAGGAACTTTCATAATGCTGGGTACAGCAGTAGGTTATCAGTTTGACACGAAACCTTTGGTTTGTACTTATGGTTCATGTTCTCTTGTCATGTCTATATGTGGAAAGAAAGTCAAGTAATGATAGAGGTGCACTTCTCTCTGATTTAGCGCCTGTATTTCCTTGTAATAGAATCTATTAGATCATAACAATCCCCCACAGCAAGCAATGTTAGTAGCAATCAGGGAAAAATCATGTACATAATGTCCTCTTCATTGAATGTTCAGACGCTACGGCCTGGAATCCAAGCCAATCCACTTACTAAACGTTAGTTCCCTGACACTACTCTTTTAACATTTTGAGATGTTCGTCAATCTAAAGGACATGTAGACCCATTATCTTAGCAAACCTGATATCGTGCCGCGCCACCTCAGGCGGCCGTGGAGCATCACTTCGATCAAAGAAGTCCTCATGGAGGTGTGTTGGAAGTCGCTGTCATTTCCCACCATCGCTACGTAATAATAATCTTCACCATCATCTACTCTCCAGGGCAATACCCTAAATCTTGCTTTGTTAATCTACACTTCCCTCCTCGCTAAATGCTCCCCACAATCTTCACTAAGAGGTTGAGATGCACATCATCACATTCCAGACCACTACACCAACCCAAAGACGCACACTCCTCCAACTCCATGGAAAGATTGTGCATGATCTTTTGACACAAGCCAAAACGCTTCCTTGAAGAGAAATCTAGTGGTATTTCGAACACTATGATGACCTCGTACGATCAGTTTGAATACCACTCGCTCCCCCGTAGCGAGCCAAACCAAAGACGAACGAGTAGGTTTTATAGAAATAATATGAGCCGTGCACGGACGCCGCACGTGCTAAGCGTGGAAGTCAAGTGCCTTTGATCACATGAATACTAGCGAGAAAGGGATGTGGATGGGAAACTCTAATTGATGATTTGAGGAGTATCATACTAGATAATTAACTATCCTGAACCTAGCTGAATATCCTTGTAGCTCCTTCACTACGATTCGTCGTCTTCGACTGGCGGAAATATCGCTGTCGTAGTTATATGCCACCGCCCTTGAACCCATGAGCCATGACCATCCTAACCTGGTAGGAGTATCCTCATAGCTCCTCCACCATGATGAGACGTTCGCCGGATAAACCATAATCGCCTAACTCGTCCACTTACTGATCCCAATAAGCTTGGGACTGGGCGGTAATGGTGGCGGAGTCAGCGTTTGCCTTTCGTAGAGCAGAGGAGCCTCGCTTCAGGAGAATCCTAATGTCAGCATCGAGCTAGAGCCTCAGGAATCTCCACCCTTCCCTAGGGACTTCAAACTTCGCTTGCTGGTCGATCTCTTCAACTTACTCTTCAACCACTGCCACCTCCCCGCGAGATCGTTATCCCCCTTCTCCTCTCTGTCTTTCTTCCCTGCTACATCTGCCTCCCCACCAACCTCTACACTACCCTGTGTCGCTGTGGTATCCCGCCTCTTGTTCACGCTAAGCATATATTATAGTGTCCGCCACGCCGCGAAGCCCGCCACTTGTCCGTCCGGCGGGTTAGCCTGCGCCTCCGCGTTCTTCTAGAGGCAGTGCTCGCAGTGTGTTTTAAGGAGATTAAGAAGGAGTTAGGACTCTTCGGCGTTGACTTTCTTAGCTATAGTGGCAATACACTCTTTAGTGTAGAGCTATAGTCCCACGCGCTGGAAATAGTAGGAGCACTGTGCAATATAGAGGCCATCTTAGGCAACGCTGTTCCAGCTAAAGAGGGCGAAAGCGAAGGCTGTAAGGGAGGGTGGTGGTGAATCCTTAGTAGCAGCGCTCTCTTCGGTCGCGGCAAAGAATAAGGGTAGTAAGCACTTAATAAGAGACGCTGGATTAATGCCGGTATACTTAATACACTTAAACAGAGGCAGATATGCCTTAATCGCCTTAAGGGACTAATACCGCCGCAAGAGATCCGCTTCGCAGACATCGCGTCGCGCAATCGGAATATAATAGATATCCTCTACAACCAGATTAGCATTATTCCCTACACCCGAATAGCTATACCCATCTAAACTTACTCTTACACCCCGCCCTCCTCTACAAGCAAAACTCCGCATGCCCCTTTATAATCCTCTCTATATACGCCGCCACTAACTCCTCTTTAATATTTACACTCCAATCCTCTAACCCCTTAATCTCCTCCCCCTTCTCGTCCTTCCGCTTCAGCCTTAGACTTACTACTACTCTAGCTTTGCATCCCCCCTTATAAACAACAGTATTCCACGCTTTGCACACCTACCCCCTCTTCACCCACTGCACCTTATTAATAGCGTCCGGCTTCATCGTCCAAAGCTTTACGTCCGCAAACGTCTTTAGCTGCGCCAGAAATGCGTCTTGGCTGTACGGCGCGTAGTTCGGCGTCTTCCGCGGGGGCGTCGACGCCGTCATACAACTGATACCTCGCCGAGACCGACTCAACCATCCCATCCACAAACATGAATCAACACAAATTCGTGGACTTCCCAACCACCCCTCTTAAACCGCGCCCCAAATTCCCAACCCACCCCCCTCCCCTCTTTAACCCCCCTACCCCTTAACATAAAACCCCCACTGCACCCACATCCACACCAAACTCGTCGAGCTCACCACCACCGGGCTCCCCAGCCCAGCCCCCCACCTCGCCGTGCCAAACACCCACCACTCGAGCATAAAGTGGCCCCACGCGATCGCATACGTCGCGAACGCCAACTCATACACCCTGGGATCGCTCGTATAATACGCTGCGTACAGTCTTATAACGCTACTCAGGAACGTCCAGGTCCCGAACGTGCGGGAGGAGAGGGGTGTCACGGGCGACGTAGACGGGGGAGGTTTGGGGGATTTGGACTTGGAGGCGGTGGGGGGGCTGGGGCCGTTGTAGACGCGCGCGGTGAAGGTGGTGGTGAGGTAGCATTGGATGCTGTTTGCGACGGAGACGGCGGAGACCTGGGGTGCGCGTTAGGTGAGAGCGTGGGAAAGGGGGGAGGGGGTGGGGAGGCGGACTAGGAGGAGCCATTTTGGGAGAAGGCCTTCGTGGGGTGGGAGGTAGGCTGTTAGGGCGTCCATTGCAAGTCGAGGTGGTGTTGTGTGGGGAAAATGAATCCAATTGGGGGCTGATGAATGGTTGGGATGGTGTTGATGTTGATGGACCCTGAGCAGAGCTTGGATGTCGAGCCGGGATTCGGGATGCCGAGTGGCAATTTTTGCCGAGGGTTGCATAAATGTTTAGGGAGTCAGGTAGGCCTTCGCTAATTTTCTACACTCATAATTATCAAGATAAACAGGTCATACATCATATCAGTAACCAGCTATATGCCGCTGTCTAGGGGTTGTAGACACTGATAGGCTGGAATTCAATGCACAACGGTTTCGTCTATTATTCTAGGGGATATCGAATTCATCTATGCTAATTCAATGCTTTCCTGTACAGCGGCCCCGCACAGTCTCGTAACCGTGCTGCTGCTTGCTCGGGCGTGATGTCGCGCTGCGGTTCCGCTAGCAGCTCGTAACCGACAAGGAATTTCCGGACGGTTGCGCTGCGTAGAAGTGGCGGGTAGAAGTGGATGTGGAAGTGGCTGGCCTCGATCTCTTCGTCTGTTCCCTCTAATGGTGCTTGATGAAGGCCCATGCCTGGTTTCCTTGTTAGAGGCTGATTTGAGAGATGGGAAGAGGGTCACGGGACTTACTGTAAGGGAACTGGGTTTCGAATAGGTTATCGTATCTCCTCGTCACCTCTGCAATCGCCTCTGCCAGCTCTTCCCGCTCCTTGTCGTCAAAGTCTACGAGGGCGCGCTTGTGCTTCTTGCTCACGATCATGACTTCGAAGGGCCAGACGGCCCACCATGGACATAACGCCAAGAATGAGTCGTTTTCGAAGACCACTCGTTCTTTCTTTGAAGACTCGAGTTGTGCATAGTCTTCGAGCAGATTCGCGCCTCCGTGTTCACATCGGTACTTCTTCAGCTGCTTGAGCTCCATGCTCGGTTCTTCTGGTAAGCTTGTCGTCGTCCAGACTTGGCCGTGGGGATGAGGGTTCGAGCAGCCCATTGCGGCGCCCTTGTTCTCGAAGATCTGCATGTAGCGGTACTGGGCGTTTGGTTTAGCTATGTTCTCGTTAAGACCGCCGTTTGTGATAGCCTTGTTTAGTTTGGCAAGTGGAGAGTTGGGACTAAGGTGTGCAGAGTAGAGATGAGTCCAGGTGTTGATGACAGGAACAATCTGAGCTACTTCGAGGTCTGCTAGGGTAAGGTTGTGTGATGGCGAGAACGTGATCACATAGCATTTGCCAGTGACTGATTCAGCGCGCAGGAGACGACTGGCGAGACCTGACTCGGGGTCAGCTGCGGGGGAGACTCATGGGGATTGGATTGGCCATACTGCCATCCTTGTTCTCGGGCTTGTACTCTGCCTGTTCGTCCTTGACGGCGCTGTAGTCGTTGACGAAGACGAAAGTTTTTTCATACTTTGGGTTGACGTCCCCTTGCGCGCGCTTGTTCCCGGGGCATAGGTAACACTATACGTGGTTAGATAGTGAATACACGTGACAATCAATTGGACCGACTCACTTTGGGGTCGTAAGCTGGCAGCGTAGTCTTCGTGGGGGATTCTTGCTGGCCTCTACACACACATTAGTCCTGCATATTTCGGTAATCCTTGGAGCATATCCTTACTGCCATGGTCTCTTCGTCCTATGCGGGGAGACCAGAACCCAGCTCCCCCGCAGCTGATTGTAGCGCCTATGCGAGATGTCGTCTAGAATTGAATCTGGCATAGTCAGAAGATTGAAGTGAAAGTACCAGTCTCGCGAATAGGAGCAGACAGATATTTAAAGGTCATGAACTGGAAAGATTGCAGAAACGGCAAAGGGCAGGCGGGCCGTGGAGTGACGGAGGCGCAAACACTCGGCCGCTAAAGTAACAAGCTTTCTCGAGGGCGCGAGGTTGGAAAGGCGTTCCAGCTGCCACTTGGGGCAGCCTATCCGAAAATCACGTGCTGCTACTCTATCGGCTGGTCTCCACGTTGCAGAACAGAGCTCCATCAACGAGCCCTGCAGTCTCCAAGTCCCCACCACCCACCACCATTCCGCAGCCATGGCGGCCATGATGCCCAGCTCGTCGACTTCTTCGCATAATCCATACGATTCATATGACACCGATGCCGTGGAGCGAGATCTCATCGACCCCGATGATGGTAAGGAGCTGCCTAGCGAGAATAGCTTGTTCGATGCCAGACTAATAAATTTATTTCCAATAGCCACGTTAGATGACCTCGATGATCCGCTGCAATCTACATCCGACCGTGCTCCTCTTACCGGAAACATCCAGTCGCGCGGCAACGCCAATGCGCAATCCTACCTAACTTCCTCCATCGGCGGAGAGGACCGTCGTGCGCCCACAAACACCATAGACGAGACAGTATGGGAGACGCTATCGAGAGACCTGCTGGCCATCTGGGAGAAGATGAAGCAGGTGCTCTACCCGAAATATTTGCTGGGTGGCATGATGAACAGAGGTGGAGGGATCGCAGCGGCCGAGCGAGGCGAGGCAGAGGGCTTCGGCGTGGACGGCATTAGGGGGCTGGTCGGGCGATGGCCGGATGCCGATGTTATTCTGCAGTCGGGCATGAGTGACGGGTTGCGGGATTGGGATCTATGGTAGGTCTTCGCGGCCGCATTGTTCGACAGCTTGCTGATTATGTTGGATTTAGGGGCCCACTCGTATTCTGCCTCCTTCTCAGCTTCTTTCTGTCGAGAGGAGCAAAAGATAAGCAGAAGCCACAAGTCTTCTCCGGCGTTTTTGCGCTGGTCTGGATAGGAGAGGCTGTGGTTACGATGCAGATCAAGCTTCTCGGAGGGAACATGTAAGTCTTGGTTCTGCGATACACTGGACAAAAACTAATCAAGCTTCAGATCCTTCTTCCAGTCTGTCTCCATCATCGGCTATACCCTGTTTCCCCTCGTCATCGCGTCGCTGCTCAGTGCCGTGGGTCTACCTTCCATTGCGAGAATACCCGTGTATCTGGTCCTCGTGGCGTGGTCACTAGGAGCGGGCATAAGTATACTGGGCGGATCTGGTGTGGTCAGGAACCGTGTTGGTCTTGCTGTATACCCGCTGCTTGTTTTCTACTTTGCGCTGGGATGCCTATGCTTCATCAGCTAGGCGTCTTTTTTCTGCCTGTACTACTAGATTCTTTATCATCGCAGGGCTCCGTGGGATACCCATTACTTAAGAGCGTGTATTCATAGCAAGCGTTTGGGGGCCTTTCTGGCGGTCAGGCTGTAGAATATATGGCTTGACGCTTGGCGCAATTCACAGATGAACCAATTGGCAATTTCGCTTTCAAATATGACAGACGATGCTGAAACCACAGAGGGAGACACACGTGGTCGGCACTGCTCAAAACACCAAAGCTAGACATAGCACATCAGTTTTGATTTGACACGACCGATGAACGCTATCTCTCTGACGGGTGAATACGTGATTTATGTAGCTCGCCGGGCGAGAATGATCCCCACCACGGCATCATCGCCTCCTCCCCTCATCTTCCGCAGGCGCTAAGCCAGTGCCCACTACCAACCACTCAGCACCGCCCGATGCGCAATTCGTCTGCTACGGGCACCTGCCATCGCGTCTGTGTCCCGCCAGTTGGATTTCGAGGCTGCTGTTGACCGCATTGAACCCGCGGAGGCTCAACGCCTGCAGGGTTTACCGTGCCAACAAAGCCAGCAGAGACACCCGCTTGGACCGCCAACAACATCTCTCTGACTGCTGCGCTCCGATATTTCCTTTCTCCAGCAAGCAGACCTGCATTCGCCAATTCCCCGTCTCGGACCGCGCCTTTCGTGCCAATTTCGAGCCTCGAGTGCGCCGCCGCCAGTGGACAACGCTTATCTAGTCTTGTGACGGCCACTTCCTCCTCTACGCCCTCAGTAAGGACCTCGACACATGCAAAAGCTGTCTTTGCATCCCGAAGACCTGGTGGTGCTAACGTATCTGACGTGCAGAAACCTTGCGCGGCTCCTCGATTCTGACTGCCGACCTCCAACACTCGCACGACAGCGTCACTCATAGCCGGCTTGTTTCCTGGGTCGCCATTCTGCTCCACACTCTTGGATACACCGCCGCCTGTCGATTTGCTTCGACACCCATCTATATCCAGCTAATAGGCTACAACTTGGATGGCGCGTTCGACGCCGCGCCACGAATCCCCGCAGCGACTTGCGAAAATGAACGACCAGGCCGTCCACCCCCGAGTCGCTTCCTCGGCGTCTCTGCACGCCAACTCCGCCACCAACAGCGATAATGAAGGGGGCGAGAAACCAGTTAGGGAGAAGCTGAAGGCTACCACGATCGATGGCCAGCCGGAGGACACAGGAAGTCCTGAGTACGATATGGGAGACGCCGAGGACGATGCACCACCAGCAGGAGAGAAGAAGACGGGAACAGACGACGCTCACTCTGGATCCGACAGCGATAGAGGGAGATTACGGCGCAAGAGAAGTTTTGATGATATCGATGGAGATCAAGGGCCCGACAAGACGCCCGAGAAACCAGAGAGGCACACCCGCAAAAAGTCACGAGACATCAAGACTGGCGAGATGGAGCAGTACCGGAAGTCGTCTGGAGAAAGCTCCGTGTCTAAGATCGACGAGCAGGATGGAGACGAACCTATGAAGTCTACCGAGTCACGTCCCACCACCCCGTCGGATACTGCCAGCAAGGTCGAAAGCATGATCAGCCCCAAGAACAAGCGCAGCCGGGAAGAATACCAGGATTCCGAAAAGGGCGTCCCCGAACCAGAGAAGCTGTCTTCCAGCGTTGTTCAAACTGGAGAGTCTAAGACTGATGTCGCTGAGGAGCGTCAGTCGAAGCGTCATCGCGACAGCAACAGCCCAAGGTCGTCCACAGAAGATGAGAAGCCAAAGCAAGTTAAGGTATGTCAGCGACGTTCAATCCAATAGCGCTTCTGCTAACTCATGACTAGATTCCTCTAGGAAGTGGTTTCGCGAACTTCTCCACAACTTCTCCCTTTGCTTCGATTGGCGGCAAGACCCAGTCTGGGTTTGGCTCTTTCGGCGCCAAGGACGGCGAAAACGCTACGCCTGAGGGTTCCAAGTCTCCGGCCTCTGCGTCTGCATTCCAGAAGTCTGGTCTTTCCTCGTTCGCATCCGCAAGCTCTCCATTTGCTTCCCTCAGCAACACTGGTTCAGCGTCTCCTTTCGGTGCCGCCGCAACTGCTATTAAGCCTAGCATTGGCTTTGGCACTCCGGCCAAATCACCCACATCGTCAGAAAGCGGCTTCGCCGCCCTTGCTTCGTCCGGGAAGTCGGTATTTGGTGGCGATACACCTTCTGCGTTCGGTGGAGGACTGGGGGGCGGCTTCAGTGGCGGCTTCGGTGGTGGTTTCGGAGGATTTTCGAAGCCCATCGGGTCGAGCTTCGCTGCTCCAGGGACATCGGGAATCACGGGGCTTAGCGACAAACCTGCTAAACCCTTTGGTGCCCAAGAAGATGAAGACGAAGATTCAGAGTCAGGAGACGATGACGATCAGGAGGACGCCGACTCCAAGCCTTATCACATGGAGGAGGGAGGGAGAGACAAGCGATTCTTTGCTCAAGAAGGTAATTGTTTGCGATATGCCGCTCCCTAGAACCAAACTTACTGAGTCTATAGTTTCGACTGGCGAGGAGAATGAGGAGACCATTTTCTCTAGTCGTGCCAAAATCTTCGGTTTTTCCTCGACTGGCGAAGGCAAAGAGCGTGGCTGGAAGGAGCGAGGTCAGGGCGACCTCAAGCTCAACGTCTTGAAAGAAGGACTGTCTTCTGACGACAGTGATGACGGCCCAAAGAAGCGACCCAGACTCGTCATGCGCGCGGACGGTTCGAAACGCTTGATTCTCAACTGGCTTCTCAAGAAAGACCTTAAGCTCGGCACAGGTACGGGCGAAAAGCCAACTGATGGACGGGTACTTCTTTTTGCTCAGTTTGTCGGATCCGAGAAGTTAGAAAGTATCACCCTTAAGGTATTTATACTCGTACAGACGTATCAGAGAAACATTAGCTGATTAGCCTTCCAGATCAAACCTGAGAAGGCGCAAGAACTCTGGCATCTTGTCACGGACCTTCAGAACGACATGTAGATTCCGACTGCCAACAACGTATGAACGCACCTTATTCAATCCAGTTCACAACCCAGTACCAGGATTCACAGAACGACTCTTGGATGTTTCACGACCCACGTCACGACCATGAATCATTGAGCATACCATTCTACACCACAAACTAAAGCGACCTCAACTCATTTTCACGCGCTTTTCCATGGCCACATCTGCACTTTGGCTGTATGCCTCATGTTTCCGCTAAAGTCTCGAATCCATTTCGAATTCATTTCGTTTCCGTCACTAAAACGACTAGACCGCCAACGAACACCCGTCCATCAACCCATCTTTCTTATCACCAACTATCTCGTCTCACTGACCGGGCGCTACGAATATCAGGAAAGCATTTGGGGGCCAACACGGCAGGCGGATACTAGGCGGGGGGTTTGCGTATGCATTATTGAAAATGGGACGCCTCAGCATTCTCTTGAGACAACTTCCCTCTTTGGTGGGACTACATGACTTTGGCTGCGGCTTTGGCTCCTCTTTGTGTCGACTTTTTTGGCTTCAGCTTTGGCTTTGGCTTGATGCATTGGACTTTCTTTTCTTTTTTTGGGAGGTGACATCAAGGTGGCATCTTCATGCCGTGAGAGTGGGAGTTGTTTAGACGAGGGATGGTAGCTAGCCGATGGTTAGGTATAAAAATGCATCGGTGTGTACTCATATACCATGGGACTCGCGGTTCTTACAAGCCTTGTGCTTGCTTGAATTGAATCTCATCAATCGTCAATCGTCAATTTGCTACATGTATGGTTTCCCTACCCTTTCGAGTCGAATTTCTCCACTTCTACAGGATACCCGTCGCCAAATCAAGTTTTAGAGCTCAGGGTGCTTTCCAACTAGTTACCTGAAGCCAAATATCTTTCAGCGGTTCGAAGCTTTAAAGTCACGTGCCTTGTGGACATCATCCAACTCTAGAGCCATCAAGCACGGTTCAACTATATATACCACATATACTACTAAACATCACCAAAGTATCGCAAGACACAAAACTGACACCTCCGATACCAGCGCAAACCCCCTCACGCCGACATCACCAGTTCCCCATCCCCAACCTCAATCCCATCACCACTCCACCATGCCAACCCCAACACCCGTCACACCAGCACACACTTCCTTCCGCCCTCACTCACTTCTCTCGCCCAACAACCCCACCGAACTGGCATCTCCGATCCCATCACCCTCCCCACAATCCCTCCCCCGCAGCATCAGATACAACGCCCTCTACTGCCCCCTCCTCTTCCTCCTCTACGAGCATCTCGTCACCACCCCCCTCTCCGGCTCCTACACCCTCGCCTGGCCCTCCCACCTCGCCTCCCTCGCCGTCTTCTGCTTCATCGCCCTGCCTGTCGCGCTCTTCCCGCCCCGTCGTCTCGCGACCCATTGGCAGCGTGCTACTCTCGGCGTCTATTGGGCCACGCTGCGGGTCGTGTGAGCGGGGGGGATCGGGGTATTTTGGGCGGTTTTTTGGGGTATGGGCATCTGATGGCGGGGGTTGAGATAGGCAAGGAGAGGGTTGAGGATGCTTGTTGAGTGAGTGGGGGGTGGGGTTTTATATGGTGGTTATGGGGGATGCGGTGACGAGGGGTTATGTGAGGTATAGAGATTAGGTGAAGCATCGGCAGATTTACTTTCTGTGGTATCGTAGGAAGTTGTGTGGCAGTGATTGGATGCAGGACGGCATGAAGTGTAACCGGCCAACGAGAGATGTTTAGAGTTTCGGGCAGGGAGGGATGAAAAGACGCCCAGTTGGCAGGAGAAAGAGAAGGAAGGTGGAGGGTAAAGATAACGTTGGAAGCCGGTTTTAGAGTGACTCCTACAGAGGTAATGGAGGAGAGACGGATGAATAATGAATAAAGATATTTGTTTGTCCTATTATCAATAGGGCGTTCGATAACGATGATGATCATAATCGTCTCTATCATGAAGAAGGCCCCATATATCCAAAGGCCCGGGACTCATTCGAGTTGCCCTCTACTCCCCATAGATGCAAAAACGCCCGGGTGGCCGTAAACTTTTGGGAAGAAGGTACCCAATAGCTCAAATATCCAAGACTAATAAGAGTTTCCCACCCTTGGATGCAATAACCAGCAGTCCCAAATACTTGGGATTTGCCTCTCGATAACCAACCAGGTTAGCATCCAAACGCCTGCATTCTATTCTCCAAACCTAACATCGTTCATCTGGCCTCTTGAACTCCACCCGTCGACCACCGCGGTTTCTTAGCGCCCGCAACGTTCGCGCACATTGAGAACATGCCTGGCAGCTGGCAGCAATCGTACTTGAAGTATCGGCGATTCTCTCCTTCGTTGGGATTCACCTGGTCCACGTCGATCTGGTCGTCTAGCCAGAAGTCGTGGTTCCAGTTGGGTACCAGATTACCTAATAAAGGTTAGCAATTGCTCGTCGAGAAACCTTGGTTTTCATTCACTGACCTATGTGGGTGTTCTCGTCCTCGACTTTTCTCTTTTGGCTCAACGATGAAGTAGACGCTTCTGGATTGACCCGAGATGGTATGTTCGCCGACTTTAGGCTTAGTGGCTGGCGTACGCTACGTTGCTGTCCCAGAGACGGTGAAGTTGCATGCTCTGACTCCACGAGGGCTGAAGGATACGGCGTGCTCCTCTTCGGCATTGTATTCGGTGCTTGCGTACCCTTTTCTTGCTTGACCGGATTTATCTGTGGCACTTCGGGAACCTTGAAGCTTGGTCTGTTCCGAGGTGAGCTCTCTTTTGGCAGTCGAAACTCGTGCTTGATCTGTGGCTGTGGTGCAGATTTTGGGGGTTGCTGCGTCACCGCAGCTGCTCGTGCCTGTTGTAGTGTTGCTTGCGCGAAGGTAGAGTGAGGTGCTAGACAACGAATGGCTGCGCGGCCGAGGGAGGGAGAGGAGTAGCATAGATTGAGGAAGACATCGCGTATGGCAAGGACGTCGGCGGTCATGATAATGTTGCGCAATTGATCTAGTCGCGGGATGGGGAGGTTCGCTGAGGATTGCTGGAGTGGCTTGTTCGGGATCTGAGCCTGTTGCTGACTTGGTCTAGGGGCGTGAGCGTTCGTAGCGGGCTGTTGACGTTGGCTGTTGGCTCCCTGGGCCCCTTGTACACTTGTAGCGTGCATTTGTCGCACCCGTTCACGCGCAATGCGTCGCTGCTCTTGTTCCTGCCCCTCCTTTCTAACCCGTTCTTCTCTGTGCCGTCGTTCTTGGTCCAGTTGTGCCTGATCCGGTATTCGCGAGTCTTCCCTAGACTCCACCTTAGGTCGAACAGGGTGTTTCGATTCTCCGGTCTGCGAAGGCACAGTGCCCCGTTTGACAACCTCCAATACATGCCTAAACAACTCCTCCAAGTGCTCCACCGGCAGTTGTCCCAGATCCAGCTTCCTCTCTTCCCCAAAGTTGCCGCGTCGAATGATCTCCTTCGCTTTCTTTCGGTCTGCCCCCTTCAACTGGCCAAAATGCGCGCCAATGTATTTTTGCAGCTCGAAGGATCGTGAGGACATGATGTATCGCGCTGTAGGCCTGACAGCATTGGAGGTGACAGGCACGGAGGGTCGGTTGGATGGACGCGCCGTGGAGCGGGCGAGGCTCGAGGGGGTCAGCTCGACGAAGGATATGTCTGCCATTGGGGTCGTAGTTTCATGACTTCATGATGGACGCGCGTGGTGTTGATGTTTTGGAAACAGGCTGCAGGGGTAGCGCGTGGCGCGAGTCAGATCTGGGCCGGAGGACGGGTAGCGCGATTCGGTACCGGAGCGGTGTCTCAAGCTTAAACCGACCTTGGACTTCACTTTCTTTCTATACCTTATGTTTCTATGAAAGCAGGTGAAATGAGGTATTACTGCCGTGGTCTTACGGAAACTTCACTGTTTCCCGCGGCGATGGCACTATATTGAATGGTTGCGTGGCCAACATCAGATCGAATGAAGCTCGCGAACCTCGTGTGGAAGTACATACACGCGTTGCAAATACGCCCTGTAAAAAGGCCTGAAAACTTGGCATATCGAGTGGAGTTGGAGAGTGGGCAAGACAAGGCAGCCATGCATAGCACTGTGCCGCAGTGCTTTGCTGGCGTATTCTGCGTTGGGGCTGAGCTCGCGACGAGCCTACAGCCTGCACAGCATTTTTAGCAACCTTTTCATCTCTCAAAAGTGAACAGCTTTCCATCTCTATCCCAATCTACGGTCATTCCTCCCCCAAATCCGGATATCACACTGCGACCTCCGATATCAGTATGGAACAAGCACAGCGCATACTACGGAAACGTCGTCTAGTCGATTCTCAGGATACTCAAGAGCGAAACTTGCGGGCAAAGCCTTCGCTCCAACACACCATACACGGCAGATCAGATTGTATTGTACATTCGGCGACGAGCGGATGTGCACCTGGACTTTCCACCTCCGATACTCCGCCCGTTGATGCGTCCAGAGAACCTACATCATCCTACTCGTACACAGCACTCCCCGCAGGAAAGTGGCTCCGAGTCCTAAGGCTTCACCCTGGAGGTTTCGACGATCCTATCTCGTGTGAGCTACATGTGACACGGTTGCGACGAGGCCTTTCCTACGAAGCAATATCCTACGTTTGGGGGGACCCTAAGGACACCGCTGCGATCCAATGCGAGGGCCGGCCCATGCACATCACTGTCAACCTACGGGACGCTTTACGAAGATTTCGAGATAGAAAAGACGTCAGAACTCTGTGGGCAGATGCTATATGCATTAACCAGGCACTCCTTCTTGGGTTCCACGATGGGACTGTCCAATACCTGTTGGACACTTAGGGATACTATCATGCCGATACTATCATGCAGACCGCCGATCTGAAACTGAGGAGCTGTTCAATTCTTTTGCTTGCTTGGATGAGTGCTAGCCGTCGTCTCAAAAAACATCACTGCGAGTTAATGGTATCATCTTTGGCGCTATCAAATCCTTCCATAAAACCATGTTCAGGGAAGTTCAAAAATCATCAAAGTCAAGAGACAGCACCGGCTTCAATGTACTTGAGTCTGCCTTGCATTATTTTGATACTCAAGGCGAGGATCCGTGTCCGTACCCGGACCGGGAAAGTGCAGCTAGTTTCACGTTTGTTGCAGGCTTGTGGGGCGATGAGCCTGTTGAAGATAATATCGAGCGACATGAAAGAGAGTTTACTGCCTATCAGCAGGAGTACTTCAGTGCTACCCGTAATAATGCCGACACCGAGGATCGTAGTCTCAAAAGGCTGAAGAGAAGTAGGCATGCCGAGGATTTTATCCTTGATGCATCTATAGCGTGTGGCAGCCGGAAGTTCTTCATCACGTCGAACGGCTACTACGGTCTTGCGCCCATGATTGTCCAGCAGGGCGACATGTGCTGCGTGCTCATCGGCGCTCGAGTTCCTTTCATTCTCAGGCCTACCGAAACACCGTCGCATTATCAGGTTGTCGGCGAATGCTATGTTCACGGCATTATGCGTGGCGAAGTTGTTCAGTGGTGGAAGGAAGGCAAATTCAAGATGGAGGAGATAAGTCTAGTTTGACTGAACTGGTCGGGGGCGCTCGCCATCTTTAGAATGTCTTTACTAGGTGGTTTCCTGGGATATTGTAGCGCTTTCGGGATACTGGTTGAAATCTTCAATTTGTAGGTCTTCAAGAAACCGCCGTAGACAAGACTAATAGATTATAGATATTTCACTCCGAAGCAGGTAGAGCGAGGCGCTATCTGGAGCACATTTTTGAGTTTCGGCATGATCGCTGGGGTTGGATGGCGAATGACCAAGATCTTGAACCAAATTTGTTGCAGCCAAGAAATCTGATGCTGGTATATGTATCAGTCCGTGTGATCAGACCGTGCAATGCGCTTATTAGCGAGGCCTAGTTAGCCATGGGTTTTTTCGACATTTAGATGCCCCGGCCAAATTACGTGCCCGCGCTGAGGAGCTAGTAAACATGTAAGTTCCTTTCCAAAAAATCTGTCTTCGCTTTTCTGTTCTGTAACATGCTGTCTGGATCAATCGGCTCTCACGCTCCGAGGAGACGATGCAAGGGTCGCAAGGCTGAAATAAACTTGGACAGATCTAGCTCAGGCTCGAAGGGGATCCTTGTAACGCACCTAGCAGCGGGCCCTGGTGGAAATTGAGAGAGAAAAAAAATCTGAGAAACCTTGCTGGTATTCCCCCACCCATCCAGCAGACTTCTAAGACGTACAAAGTACTTTTGACAACTCTTCCTTCTAGTAGTTGGAATTCTTTACTTGTTGTTATATAAAAGTCTGTTTGAGAAGTGTTCTGCCTCGATGGGCCTCAACCTGCTCAGGAAGCTGGGGTTCTCCTCATCACCTTCCTAAACGCGGCACCAGTTCTCCTTGAAGAATGTCACCGGTCTTTTTTCCGGTGAAGACACCCCAACTTTCTTTCATGGGTACCCTGGCAAGTCTATCTACACTTGATGGCTTTGATAGGCCTGCCTCTCAACCCCTGATGTACCCTGTGTGAATCACCACCAAGCCTCGTCCGAAAGGCCTCTAGTTGAAGGCTGGGCCAAAGAAAATCGTAGAAGCAGCCCCTCGGCTGTGCGATCCGAAGCCACCGGGTTCCAAATGCAAGGATGAAGATATCGTAACACGAGGATTGTATGAGCGGCTGCCCGTTTTTAGGTGTTGCTACTTCAACTTGGCCCCATAGTCTTTGTACGCTAGTAAGGGGGTTGGTCGTTGAACTTCATACATATTCATAATATTCCCGCCGGAGCATTGCTGAAGAACGCAAGTTTTCTGTCCAACCTCACTATCGTTTCAGCCCATCTTACTACCGTCGTTATCATTGTTCTCTACCAACGTAGCGCTACTACTTTACAGAAGTTGTTCACACTCATTTTATAACTCAAGATGTTTGGAGCAATGATGAAACAGTTCAAACACAACAAGGCCATTGGAATCAGATCGTCTCCCGGACCTAATAACCTCACAATCGCCGAGTCAATGAATCTCAAGAAAAGGGACGACGCAAACAACCTCCAATGGAGCTTTCCGCCCGGCACCACGGACGAAACAAGCGACGTCGCCGCCGGGTTTGGCCCTGTATACCCTGAAGATGTGATCATAATAGAGTATACTCCGGAAGACCAGATGTGCCAGATCAATCTCTATTGTGACTGGAATGACGGCAACGGAGGTTAGTACGAGCAACTTCTCATCGCGCGCGCCTCAGACCAACCACTTACTCCCACACAGCCTTCCAAATTGCGACTCGAAACTCCAACGGGTCTCCAATGTTCTGGCATCTCATAGAAACTGCCAGCCTTAAGAATGGCAACGCGCCTGTGTGCCATTTCGCCTTCGTCTCTGCGTCAGCGGGCAACGGCGACTACTGGGTATACATGCCCACCTCAGCTTCTTCGTCCAACATATGGAGCGCTTCTACTATGGTTGGGCCTCCAGCAGCTACCAGCGAGCAAGCGAGCGCAACACCAGCCGCGAGCACTGCCCAGCCCGCCTCGAGCGCAGCCGCAAAGTCGAGCGCAGCAGCTCCCGCCTCGTCCGCAACTTCAGCTGCTACCCAGCCAACCTCACCTGCTAGCACCAGTTCAGCTATACCCAGGGTCGTCACCGTTACCGCCGCAGGTGGCTCGATCATTGTCCAAACTCAGGCCGTGGTCACCTCAACAGCCCAGCAGTCAGGATCAGCTTCGCGCTCTACAACCTCCTCCGCCACCTCAAGCGCCTCAGGCACCGCGATTCCAATTGGAACGCAAAAGTCCACCACTCACACCACCGCCATCGCCGTCAGCGTCAGCGTGTCCATAGCCGTCATCGCCAGCCTGGCTCTGATCCTACTCTTCCTCCACAAACGGCGCAAGTCGGCGAAGAACTTCCAAGCCATCTCAGACACTTCACGGCCTAGCACGAAGCCCACGGGGCCAGCACCACAGGCTCTTGCAAACAATGGGCGCATGGGTGGGCAGGGAATTGAAATGGTGCCGCGGGAGAAGAGTCAGTATGTTGAGCCGTACGTCAACACTACGGAGCTTGGGGGAGACAGCATACATCAAAATGCGTACCCAGCCCCAGCACCAGTGTCTGGGTACCCAACTGAAAAGGGCTATCCGCCAGTAGCGGAGATGGGAGGACAGGCTGTGAGTCCGCAGCAGGCGTATCCGGCGGTGCCGCCGACGTATGCGTATGAGATGCCGGCGCAGTATGGACAGCAGAGCGGGGGGCATAGGAATGAGTTGGCGTAGTGGAGAGGTCAGAGTTGTTGCTACAGGACTTCGTAAGGGCGGGCTATGGCGCGGTACAATCTCGGTGACTACCATAACCACGATGGCCAAGAGAACTTGGCAGTTTCGCAGCTCCAACGAATATCATGGCGCAATAACCCGCGGACTGCGGAAATAATCCAAGTAGCCCTATGGGCTGGAGTAGAGGTCGGAAAGGCGATGTCTCGTGTCCGCTGTCTCGGTATTTTTGAGTTTCGGATCAATTACGTCTGTCGATTCTTTTATTTACAAGTGTGCCTTGGCTAGGGGTTAGGCGTAGGTTTCAGTTGACAGAACTCGGAAGCCGAGGCAGCCAATAAGATCCCCAGAAGCGTACAACACCACTCACCCCTGGACAGGGTATATGCAACCCGATTTCAATGTGGAGGTGGAATCTCTGCAGGCATACACCATGGAGCTTTACGCTCAACTACTAGGAGACTATGAATGCGAGAACAGTAGTGCGAAAGCCGCTGCTGCATGTGCGCCGATACTAGACCTCCATACATACAAGGGGTTGGGTCTTCAACACCAGTCTCTCACTGGTTCCGTATGGCGGGGGAGCGCGCTTGGGAAGAAAGAGCTTCGATTCAACTCCAGCTGGAACCCCGTAGTGTCGGCCGCAGGGACACCTGGCCGCGTAGGGCCTCGAGGTCACGGGGAGTGTTCACGGTTCGCATTGTTGCGGCCGATGTCCGTGCATGGCATGATCTGCCTTCTGCAGCATGCGTAATCTTGGCCAGGCAGGCAACAGCTCAGGAACACCACCGCCCTCAAAACACTTCCAGCAACTTCATGATGGTGTTGCAAAGCCAAAGCGCCGATGACGAGTTAGCAATTGTGCCGCAAGTCTGTAATGCGCCGGAAATACTTCGAAGAGCCAAGACGGATCGGACACCCGCGAAGCGATCGCAAGTAACGCCACTGTGCCTGGGACGGTCCGCAGCCTTTAGCCTTGTTCCTGCCCAGCTGCCGTTATCACCGGGCGCAAAATTGCGGTCGGTGGCGTCATGGCTCAGGAACCCCAGATTTGTATGAATACCAAAGATTTCCTCTCCCTCTACTTTTCTTCTTTTCCGCCGTCTCAGTCCCGCGAGTCCTCTTCGAGTCCTCGTCACTGTCCTTATTGTCGCCGCTTATTCTTATCTCAATACATTCATTTCTCTCCGTGCATCCGCTTCGCAATCGGATTCGGCTGAGCTGCCCACGGGCACAACATATCAGACCGACCACTCCTTTGCCTGTCGTGGCAATTGACCACGTTGATGGCCGATCTCAGTCGTCTTTCAGATCGAGAGATTGTCGAGGCACTGCTCGACAGGTATGGTGTTGGCGAACTAGGTCGCCTTATCCTCAACATTGACCAATCTCGTTCGTAGTCTCCCACCCGCGAAATGCTTGTTCATGGCTAAGGACCTTGCACCAGGACGCAGCTCTGTTCACTCCTCAAGACCAGACTCACCGATCTCGACTGTATCGCTCACATCGAATTCCTCTCAATCAGGGCGTTATGCTGCATCTAGCGCTTCAAGCGTCCCACCACTTCGCCGGAGCTGCGACACGAACAACAGCGCCATATCGTTCGCTTCACAGTACCTACATGCACCACACCTCCAACATCCTTCTCCTCTCGGTCCGGACCCAACTCTTTACGAGCCCATAACCCAACCAGGAGCTTACCAAGCTTATGGTGTAACCTCCGCACTCCCAGGAAGCAGCCCTCTGAACCAGATTCAATCGCCACTCGATTGCCCTACTGTCAACATCTCGCAGCCTAAGGAGATGATCGAGCAACCGAAAAGACAGTTATTTTGCACCTTTTGCGCTGAGCAAAATGTCCAAAAATCAGTGACTTTCAAAACGAAATCGGACTGGAAGAAACATGAGACAAACTTTCACGAAACAGGACATGAATGGCGATGCAACGTTCATGGATGCTTCCGGATATTTGAACGTGCCAGCGACTTCTTGAAGCATCAGCAGCGAGAACACCGGCATATTCCAGATTCTACCGACGACGCCATAGTCAAACTACCAGACAGGGTCGCATTTGGTTGCGGCTTCAAGGGCTGTAAATATGTATCATACGACTGGGATGATCGTTGCAATCACGTTGCAAAATGTCCGCTCTTCTTTGCTGGCGCCGACTGGGATTATTCAACAAGGATACGAAATCTTCTGAGACAGAATTGTATACATGACGAGTGGAAGAGATTTCTTATCAGCATCTGCTATGCCTGGAACATAGATCGCACCAAGCTACGTTGGAATCCAAAAACCTCAAGAGTACTCCGACAAAAGCTCGAGTGTAATGACTTCGCTGATGTCCCTCTCTTAAATTTCTTCATCAATGCTGTTGAGCTCGGACTAGGCCAATCCCCAGTCCCGGATAGTTTCACTACGCCCAGAGCTCAAGTCACCCCAGACCAGAAGCCATCAGATGTTCAACAGCCTCATGCGCAGTATATCCCTATTGGCCCTCAAGGCTCAGACAAGCTTGTGCCGGATAAACACCCTCACGAAGATATGGAAGCACTCCTAGGCGAGAACCATGAGCTACCTGCAACTTTCTATCTGCCGGACGACACTTTCGACCACGAACAGACTGCATACTCCACTCTGAGTGATATTGATTCCCAACGTCGCGCCAGCGTCACCATGCTTGATGTACTCGACGAACCTGGTCTGGATCTATGGCCGGCTACTGAACCTATCGAAAACGTGGGTCTGCCTGCTTGTGGCAGCCAATCTCAAGAATTACCGAACAGTGAACTACAAATCGTCAATCCGGGGCAACCTTCCCATCCGGTTGTCGAAACATATCATCAATACACCGACTCTGTTGGGCCTTCGCGGTCGACCCCCGTTCAACGTTTCAATTTCAAGAAGTCCGTCAAACGAGTAAAAAGCAATCTGTCGTCTAAGAAGTCGCAACAATTCCACCAAGGCATCACCTACAATCACCCTGATCTTCCCTTGGGGGCTCATTCACCGAACACAAGTTCTGTCAGCTCACGTTCGGCGGGTGGTAGTCGTGTTGATCTTGGCCGCAATGTAAACATGCAATCTTGATCCTGCTGACTGTTATACTTGACAATTACTCTTACTTTCCTTTCATTCGTTCGTTGTTCTCTTCTAAAGCTCGGTGTTTTGTCTATGTAACGTTCTCGGACTCTCTTGTGTCACCATGGTCTTTCATGAACACATGAAACGCGTCCAGTCTTTTGAATGCTCTTTTCATTTCATGTAGTGCTTTCAACCTTCTTCAATCCCTCTTTTATATGGATCTTACATAGCCTTTTCACTCTCTTCTTCTTCTCCTTCTTCACTTCGCTCGGAATTCTGGATATTGGTAGGGGCATCATGGGTAGGGCTACGGGCACTTCCTTTTACAAGGAGTTCACGGTCGGTCAATGGGATGCATGGGCATAGAACAGGAATGGGAATTGATACCAGGTTTGGGAATACGGCATTGGCTAGCCTTACTAAGGATAATTTGGCATCGGGTGTTTAGCATTATGAATTGGGAATTTGCACATTTGGTCGGATATCTTAGGGCTTCTGTTTTGGAATGTCGAAGCTATTTATTACAGTGCTTCAATGATACAGCTCCGTTACTCCGATATCTCGGGAGCTATTTACCGTTTAAAATACCTTATCATTGCTATCATAGGGCTAATTACCCCAATAACCCCGCCAAGTTCTAGGAACCACAGAGTGACACGTCACTCGCCACCCTCAAATACTTACCAGCATTCATCACCTGCGTCGCTTACATCGCGAGCCACGATTGCGGCTTCAGTATACCGGGTATTGCATATTTCGCGCACCCTTGACACTCCAACATCACTGGAATATGGATCATTACGTAACGTCTTCTCATTCTCCTTACAAAGAGCAATAAATTGCACTCATCAAAACGGGACGTGCGAAAAATGGGATGTCATCTCTTTCAACAGCCATATATACCAGTTTGGGCATACACACACCAACGCAAAGCCTACATCTCTACGAAACCCAGGCCTAGAATTTAGGCTCCTTCCATCTCCTCAAAGGACCACAGCGTATGCCGCTATACAGCATATACCACTAATACACGTCTGAAAACCAACCCTTCCATCACCCCCATTACCATCTCTCAGAACCTCCCCCCCTTCCCCTCCAACGGCGAACTCCCCTCCATCTCAACCGGCCTCTCCGGAATAACCGCCCGCGGCGAAAACGCCGGCGGCGAGTTCGGCGAAACAGGGCTCGTCACATTACTACAACCCACATCAGCAAAACATCCCTCCCTCAACCACACACCAACGCCCCCTAGACTCAACAAAACTTCAGCAACTCACCTCACACGCGCCGCCGCACCCACAGGCCACGGCCCCATCGGGCCCTCCCCCCACTCCGCCGTCCCAACCTCCCTGACACTACTCCCCCCCGCGCTACTCGCCCCCCTCTTGACCCCCTCGAACCGGCTAAACCCCACCGCCCCCGCTGCGTACAGCGGCCCGCCGCCGAGCCCCAGCTCGCCCTCCGGCCGCACGACCGTCGCCTGGCTGCGGCTGAGGTCGTGCGTCAGCGTGCGCGAGCGCCCGATGAAGAAGCACAGCAGGGCCGCGAGGGCGAGCACGGCGGCGCCGGCGAGGGCGATGCCGACGATGGCGGCGCGGGTGAGGGGCGCGTGGTGGGTGGGGAGGGTGGTTGGGCCGGTGGGAGAGGCGATGGTGGTGCTGCCGGGGGAGGGGGAGGGGGAGGAGGATTCTGGGGGGAAGGGGTCGCCGGGTTGCAGCATGTAAGAGGCGTTTAGGGCAAGGGCGCGCTGGGTTGAGAGCGAGGTGGTGGCGTTGGGGTTGATGACGCCGACCATGCCGTAGTCGATGCAGGAGCCGACGGCGGAGCAGTAGAAGAAGATGGGGCTGGAGTCGTTGATGCGGAGGGTCCATTTGGGAGGCTGGGTTCAGGTGTTAGTAAGGAAGTTGGAAGAAAGATTATGGATGGAGGTGGGCTGGATTTATGTTCCCTTCGTGCTTGTTTGCGAGGCTTACGTTTGATAGGATGGCGTCGACGGGGTGGAAGCCGGAGAAGAACCCGACTTTGCCTTTGCCAGTCATCTCGTAGGGGATACATGGATGCAAATACTCCGCGCGCACGACGGAGTGGTTGGGAGGGAAGAAGTCGAATTCAATGATCTTTAATGTTCGTCAGCTTTGACGAAAGAGTCATCGGGATAGGGGCAGGCCTACATCTCCAACGTTCGCTTGGGTAACATCAGGCACAAACTTGTGATCGCCATCGCCAACCGTGACAGTGAAAGTGTGTGCAGGCGCAGAGGATGTTGTTGATGGCGATTTAGACTGGGCGACACTCTGAGCAGAAACGAATGGGTGAAGTTGGATTATGCTGAGAAGTAGTATAGCAAAGAGAGTAAGTGAGGGAGCCATATTGGCTTGATTGCCATGCAATTTAATTTCGAACCCGTCGAAATTGAATTTGGAAAGCTGGGCGCGTACTACGAAAGCGAAAATCGAAAGGAGAAGAAGTTGGGTCGCGTAGGTTCATTTCACTTAGAACGTTCCTTGTGCACATGTCTATGGCGCCAAGGTAGCGTGGCCCAGGTCTTTGTACACGAACTACTGATGAGAAGCCACTTCGAAGCCGTGGCGGCGCCTAGGCGCGAGTCTATCGCCCCAACAGAGATTTGGGGCAGCTATGAGGATACCTTAGACGAGTGAGATCGGAACTGTTACCTGTGGTTCAAACAGAACTACACTTCGATACCTAGTGATCTAGATCTATGATCCTAGTACCAGCGACATGAGAACCATTGCTGTGGGGTATTCTACGTTAAGCAACAGTCGTACATATTGAATGCGTGGTGTGGAGTCCACGGAGGACGAAGAACTTACCGATCGCTGCATCAGGGACAAAGAAAGGATTGCGCAACCTTTGAGTGGGATGGCTCTTGCCTAGGAGGTAAGCATCAAAGAGAAGAATGTGCATTATGATAGCTGAAACACTGCGAACAACGAGAAATGTTGTTGTGAAAGGAAATTTTCGCACTGCGAGAGAAGAGGACTGGCGCACGAGGCTGGCTACCGAAGTAGTACAAAGACAACAAGTAGGTTTTTACACGGGCGACTTCAGCTTTCTTACAAACATGATGTAACTTAGGTTATACAGATTGATGATGATGAAATCTAGGTGACGAGAGGGTCTTCCCAATTATACCGCCTTTTCCGTTGCACGGTATTCGACAGCAATGAAGTTCGCCTCCTCGTATTCCGCAGTGATGTCTAGACGAAGTGCTTCCGTTTCACCAGCTCCCGGACCTCTTCGCTATACTCCCGTCTTTGGAACTAACATATCCATCACAAGTTTTGCCGAAGATAATACCTCCTCAATGGTCATATTCAGGTATTTCTGTCTCCGATCGGATAGGACTAGTAACGACACATGCTCTCGACGATATCTTGATTCGTTTTTCAAAGCCAGTACCAGGATGCAAGTGCTGTAGCTATACTTCCCGTTATTCAAAGCTGAAGTATTCAACCGGAAGCGGAGGTTGCTGACATTGGCAAAAATGGCGATCCTATCGGAAACCACTAGATTATCCATGCGCTCCATAAGCTTGTACATAGGTGGCCTTTTCCACGGTGGGTAAATCGACATCAGTATTCCACTAAAAGCATCGTAGCGGAATGCAAAATTTTCCGAAGCAAACTTTCCAATTTCTAGGTACTCTCTCATCACGGGCACCATTTGATGATGCCCATCCTCGACTCCGATAAATTGCAGGCCATTTAATTGGCGTTGGAGCCAGGTTTTGTCAATGCACATGTCTCTACCGACGCGCTCGATGTGATTGATAGTCATCTCGGCGACCGAAGGTATCAAGAAGTAGAGACGGCTTGCGCAGAATTTCTCATGGAATGTCTAAGTACGGGTGAACCACCTATCTTGGACGATGAAGCTAAAGATCCTGTGTGCTCTCTTATTAACCCGGAGGTCATCGGGGTCGTCTTGGTAGTAAGCAGGAAATCCTCTAGGGTGTCTATTAGACTCTGAGAAGTGAGTGTCTGAGATAACACTGCTACTGTGAAGGCGCTCTCGGAGTAAACCCTGTGCATGATCTGCAGATGAGCCTCGATGTCGTCCGGATCGTCCTGAACGATGCATTCCTGATCGATCTAGATTAAAATTTGGCCTGGATCCATCTTAGAAATTGCGAAGCGCAAAGCCCGGTGGAGTACTTCGACGCGACATCTTGGTGGTCGTGCATCGCAATCCGTAGCATGGAAGGGTTTATTGATATCCCTGCCTGGCTTTGGATCCCAGATCACGTATTGTAGGATCGAACCGTCGAGAACTTGCGGCTTAACAGTATCCTAGGTATACGACATAGCGACATATGGCAAGCCGGTGCTGTGATGCTCCCATGTGTCGGCAATGCGCAGATGCACCTGATCTCTCCGGGGTAGGGGTCGAGGCTCAACAGGGACGAGGAAGCGAAGACGGAAGTCCTGGTCCGGATTATTCTCGACTAGTGCGACCCGTTGTATCTCGTCGATACTGGCCTGGAAAACTTCGAGGGAGCCGTGTATGTCGCCGAATGTGAGAGCTGTATCGCGCTGCATGACGCTAGTCTTCGTTCGCAGTCGTGCGGTAGTTTTCTTTTCTGGTGACCGTGGAACAGCGCGTAAAATGCAAGCAGTCCTCCCTCGTTGACTCGTTCAGTATCGAGTTGCTGCAAAAGCCTTTGAGCTGATGCCTGGCGGACAAGGCTGATGATAGCGGGGACGACGTGATGTGTTGGCACTTGTCGAAGACAGCAAACAGTGATCAATCGAGGCTTATCTTGACGCGTACGCCGTTTGAAAACAATTCTGTTCGCGGCATGAAAGTATCAAAAATACCAAGGAAAGATGTCTGGAGTGGGTCGTTTGTAGGTGCGAGGCTGAGTGTGGAGAGAAAGTCGGAGGAGCGAAACGCGGATCAGTTCTTCAAGACGGGCTAAATTATTTACAGTCAAAATACCCCTTATATTTTCCGGCGCGGTGGGTTTTCCGCGACCCGCCAGCAGTCTCCATCGGCCAAGATTTCGCCCGCTAAGTTTCTAAATTATGTGAAATAAAAAAAAATGAACGGCTAGAGCGCAGTTCGAACCTGGTCCTCCACAAGGGCAAAAAAGAAAACACAACGCAGGATAATAATACACTTTTGGTGACTTGTCACGCTGGAAGGGTATGACAATTGTCAAGCCTTCGCCACTAGGCTAAGGGGTATGAACGTGTCAAGCTTCCATTGTGATTTCGTTGAAGGACAGTCAAAATTAAACAAAATATATACCTCTAAAGTAAGTCAATTTTCTCGTTTGCTCGCTCCCCACATCCCTTCACTAGATCCATCTCTTACGTTTTTGCATTCCACAGATTGTCTCCAGGGAGGGACGTTATACCTAGGTACTGGGCGTACGGGAAGGAAGGTGATGCCGACCACGTGATATAGATGGCTAAGAAATGAAGCGACAGATTGGCGGCATGTGACAGTTTCGAACTTTTTCCTAGACTTTCACATGTTTATCGTGAGAAGTTTCCGCTCTACGGAAGACACGCTCGAGGTTCGGAGAGGAACCGGCCCAGCAAATAACAATCACCTCGTATTATTTTTACAAGAACTGGCAAAGTACATAACGCCAATGCTAATCCAACTCCACGATTTCAACCGCTCACAACTTGGGCTTCGATATGATAAACGAGTTGCCCTTCTGCAGCCAAGAGACCGCATCTCCGACCATCTCGTCCACGATAGCCTTAGCGCTCTTCTTCTCGTTAACAACCGCGGCAGCTTTACCCATGAGGAATGGGCGAGCGTTGTCCATGGTCTCGTCATCGATATCATCACCCATCTTTTCTAGGTCGTGCTCAGCGGGGATGATACCCTTGCCTGTAAGCTCCTTGATCTCCTGCTGCCTGTTCTCTTCCCAATTCGCGATGTATGGGTTGGTGCGCACGCGGAGTGGCCGGCCAGTGAAGATGATTGTGCGGACGTTGTCATCAAAGCCAGAGGTGCGGACCGCTTCTTGGTGAGCCTTTGGGGCGCCAGCCTCGTCTGATAGAATGAAGCGTGTGCCGATCCAGACAGCCGAGGCGCCCAGCATCAGCGCAGCAGCGAGAGATTGGCCGTTGTAGAGACCGCCAGCAGCGATGATCTGTACCTGGGCGCCAGTCATAGGCGATTTATGACCCTTGACGAGTTCGACGACGGTCGGGATGAGGACTGTAGTCGGGACATCGCCAGTATGTCCTCCACCCTCTCCTCCCTGGGCGCAGATGATGTCCACGCCCACTTCGAGGCACTTCTTGACGTGCTTGGGGTGTCCGATCATGTTCATGTAAAGGATGCCGGCCTTGTGTAGCCTCTCGACGACGGCCTGTGGTGGGACGCCCACGGCTGAGACGAATAGCTTGGCGCCGGAGTCGATGATGATGTCGACGAGCTCATTGAGCTTTCCCTTGGTGTAGTCGTAGCTAATCACATGAAAATGTCAGCTTAGGTCCTCGGATCATCATCCCTTTGCTGAGTGATATAGTAATCACGCGGGTCCTAAGGCGTTCTGATGCATAGTTGAGAGCTGGAGAATAACAGTGCTTACTTGGTCTTCCGCGCGCTTCCACCGACTTGGGGCAGCAGCAGGTCAACACCAAACGGCGCATTCTTGTCGGTCAAGTAGCTCTTGAGTTCTGCGACTTGCTCTCGTAGCATGTCAGGCGTGTACCCCACACCTCCAATGACACCGAGACCTCCAGCATTTGTGACAGCAGCGGCGAGCCTGGGACCAGCAGCAACGTTCATGCCAGCAAGGAGGACGGGGTGATTGATCTTCAGCAGATCAGTGGCCGTGGTGCGGATTTGCTCTGTGAGTTGTTAGAAGCAGCGCACGTGCATGTGACAAGGAACAAAGTGGCGTACGCGGAGAGGCCATGGTGGCGGTTGATGCTTTCTGAATAGGAGAGGATGCTGGAAGGGTGTGTCTTCTGTGTGGGTGAGAGCGTGGAGAGGAGCTGGAGGATGTGTTTGCAAGTGCGAGGACCGGATCTTATGAATGAATGCGGAGAGTCGAACGGCGCGACGTCTGACGCCCTTCCCCAGCAATCGAGAAGATACCGAGGCACCGAAAGAAACCGGGTTTAACTGCGCTCGGCTTAGTGCGGACGCTTTGCCTCCTCCATCTAGCTGCATCTCCGCCAGCATCTGCTGGTGCTGGCAACTGCTTCGGTCGATTCTGCCTCTCGAGGCAGCATGCGCCTGAGCAGACGGCATCGCTCTCTTATGACAGGTCGAACGCTCTCACAGGTGCTTGACGAAACCCAATAAGCAGGGTTCAATATGCCATTTTGGCGAGGGCCCGATTAAAATGCCAATGGACCCTGCGCTAGTCCTCGGAGCAGCCGGCGCGATGAAGATTTATTCACCTAACCACCAGCATCATCAAAATCTCCACTTGGGAAGGCTGATGTTGCACAATACGCCGCCTCGATGAGGATCTCCGCGAGCGCTTGTAGAGCCTCTAAAAGCTCGGTCTCGCCAAACTTCCGAAATACAACCCCTGCCGTATTACACTCCATTCGGAGTCCGCGTCTGTTCGCCGGGGGTGTGTCAACCTCTTCACTTCACTCCCACTCACCAAAGCGAAAAGTATGTGATATGGCTCCTGTCACATTCACACAGTCCCTCGTGCGTCGTTTCCACGATGGGCCTCGTGAGAAACACCGCGCCTTCATCGCCCTTGGGAGTAACCTCGGAGACAGGATTCGATGGATTGAAGAGGCATGCAAAGCGATGGAGTCGGGGGGTGGTCTTAAGGGTGAAATAGGACACGATATCCGGATCCTACGAACTAGCAGCCTTTGGCAAACGTCTGCTATGTACGTTTTGGATCAGGCGGACTTTCTGAACGGTGTATGCGAGGTAAGAAATCTCATGTCTCAATCATCTTCTCGATGTTGTAACGTTTCTCATCGGTTACCACTGTCTGCGGTGCCCCGCCATACTATCAAATACAGGACAAGATGTCAATTTTACCTGCTTCCAATTTGCAATGCCTTCGTTTCGAAATTTCCCGTTACTTGCCGCTGTCTGTGGTGGCTCAACAAGTTACCAGGACTAAGACAGTGTCGAATTTTGTCACATCGTAGTTTGCACTGCTGTCTTTTGAAAGTTCCAACGACTTGGTGCACTCACTGGGATACCTCAGGCAGCATCGTTCATTGGTCATAATGGACCGTTGAACCTAGTGAATCATCATCGACGTCTTATGCTTATTGAAACACACTTAAAATTGATCTAACTTTGTACAGATTGAAACCCTCTTGAGCCCTATAGAGCTCCTCGACAGGCTTCAAGCAATCGAGAATCAACTTGGCCGCGTGAAGCTGATTGACAAGGGCCCTCGGAACATAGACCTCGACATCCTTCTGTACGATCAGACAATCTTCCTCAACGAGCGCCTACAAATACCGCACAAGTTGATGCTTGAGCGTGAGTTCGTCCTGCGCCCTCTTTCCGAGTAAGTTATCCCCTACGCGTCTACCCAGCACATCTACCTTGCGCGTCTACCACATACGTATGTCCCACACGTCTGCCACATATCTATATCCTCCACGTTTGCCTTCCGCGTCTTCCCCTCTGTTCAACGCTTTGCGCTAAACATCCCAGACTGATCCCCACCGAATCTCTCCCAACAACACCAACAACCACCATAAGCGCCGCCTTAAACCGACTACCCCTCGGGGGCGCCCCTATGACCTCCTATACCCCCCTCTCGCTCCATTCACGCCAACTACCTCCCATAACACCCCACCACACCCACCGCAAAACCCACATCATGTCCATCCTCAACGTAACCCCCGACTCCTTCTCCGATGGCGGCCTGCACTCCCCTCACGACGCCACCCACCTGTCCGAAACCGCCGCCGCCCACATCGCCTCAGGCGCCACCCTCCTCGACGTCGGCGGCCAGTCCACCCGCCCCGGCGCGCCCCAAGTCTCCTCCAAAGAAGAACTCGCGCGCGTCCTCCCCGCCATCCGCGCCATCCGCGCCCTCCCCGCCGCCGCCGCCATCGCCATCAGCGTCGACACCTACCGCGCTGGTGTCGCCGCCGCCGCCGTAGCCGCCGGGGCGGACATGGTCAACGACGTCAGCGCCGGCGCCATGGACCCGGCCATGCTCGCGACGGTCGCGCGGCTGGGCTGCACCGTGTGCCTGATGCACATGCGCGGCACGCCCGCGACCATGAACGACCGCGCGTCGTACCCCCGCGGCGTCGTCGCCACCGTCGCGGAGGAGCTGCTCGAGCGCGTGCGCGCCGCCGAGGCTGCGGGGATCAGGCGCTGGCGCATCGTCCTCGACCCTGGGATCGGGTTCGCGAAGACGCAGGAGCATAACCTCGAGTTGCTGCGCAATTTGGGGCAGTTGAGGGCGTACCCAGGGCTCGAGGCGTTTCCGTGGCTGGTGGGCACGAGTCGGAAGGCGTTTGTGGGGCGGATTACGGGGGTTAAGGAGGCGAGGGAGCGCACGTGGGGGACGGCGGCGGCGGTGAGTGCGGCGGTGGCGGGGGGCGCGGATGTGGTGAGGGTGCATGATGTGGATGAGATGGGGAAGGTGGTGGCGATGGCGGATGCGGTGTGGAGGGTGTGATGGAAGGAGAAGAGGGGGGGGATAGAGTTGTGGAGCGTAATTGTACGGGCGCTCCAGTCTACCGTTATAATGGCGATCGAGATGGATGAGTGGTAGTTGGTATGATCGGTAATCGAGCCGGGCTACGTCGCGCGACGGCTGACCGTTGTAAGGGGTGATAGTTACAGGGCTCAGAGAATAACGCGGAGTGTTACAGGCAGTAACATAAGATTATCTAGCATGGTTATGAATCGCGAAGCAAACGTGTTTTCGGCTTAATGAGTGTATGCCAGTGCTGTTTTTATCAGCGGGTAAAGTAAGGCATGTGAAGGCAACGAGTGGCGTCCGATGCTCGCGTTGTTTTGCCTCGTTTGAAAGGCGGGTATGAATACTGTCGGCCAGCTGGATTCTTAGAGGAACCAGAGAGTAGAAGCTAGAAATCAGCACGTATGAAGCCGGTAGTGTGCACCAAAGATACTGTATTGGTGCTACCGAATACTACAGAAGCCGAGAAGGTGTGCTTTTTGGAATTGCCTGCAGTCTGACCAGATAGAGATCATAACTAAAGCGCCAATTGAAACCCCCGAGGAAATCGACCGAGGAAAACCAGCCAAAGTAACCGACCAAGAGATGTCCAGACGAGGTGCTGTAATGAGCATATTATACAGCAACCGTCTCACGATTGGATGTGCGAGAAAAAGTGAGATTTGCACCATCCGAACCACCTGCATTAAGATCGCCCGCGGGCAACACTGTGTACTACGCGACTGCCGAGATGGGCATGACGCTGGAGATCACAGGAGGCGGATCTACCTCGACCATAATCACGCCCATCACTAGCTGGAATTGCCGCGACAATGCCAGGATAGGGTACTAAGAGACCTTACACAAGCCCGGTAGTGGTGAGCACGACGGGAAACTTCAACGGCCTTCGTGCTCTCGGACACAATTAGTAGGAAGACTGGAGGAAGGGCATCTGTGGGAACTTGAGATTCGTGCAGCCGACCGTTTCGCATTGATGACCTAAGAGGGTACATGCGCAGTACTCCTCGAACTGATATTGTGTCGGCTCCGGCTTCTGCCGAGACATATCCACAGTAATCTGGTCTCGCACACCGATAGTAGACGCCGGGGGTGAGGATTTGATACAGGAGTCTCGCAGACTATTTGGGGGATTAGTTGAAAGTCGTTCGGGTAGAAGGTGCTCCGACTTGGACTTACAACCCATCTCCGCTCCGGCGGGCACGTTTGATTTCCCCTCCGCGATCTGAATCTTCGTACTCGCTCACCATGTCGCCGGCTGACTCTGCACTTTCGTCGACCGACGGGGAGCGAACAGTTCTGCTCCTGCGCCTTCGCTTGTAGGAAGCAGCTTTGCAGGTAACTGGTTGAGGGTTAGAATATACTTTTGATGAACAGAAACACCACGTCGAACTTACTCTTATATGCCTCTCTGCCACGCTGCTTGATTGCTTCTACTTCTCTGTCAGTCAATTCACGTTGGCTGCAGAAAGACAAGATCCGATCTGTATGGGGAGTCTCCTTGCGAGGTGAAAACGCGGCGAAGTCCACATCAAGTTCCCACTCCTCCGGGTGAGATCGTCTGATATGGCTTCCGAATCCATTCAGTCCTTTGAACTCGGTCGTCTCGTTCGCTCCTTTATTGGTGCTATTGATGTCGCAACCCTTAACGTTGCATTTCAGTTCGACATATTTTCCGTTCGAAAGCTTGACGATGGTTGGGAAAAGCCGCAGCACGACATCAGTCTGGTTGGCAGCGCTCGCCTTGACTTTACGCATGGATGGAGCACCAGGTTGTCCGAGACGAAGGGCGTCGACTTCGTCAGTAGACAAGTGCCGTACTACTTTGCAGTGAGCAACGACCTGGTCATCTGCAAGGTTTGCCATATGATGGAACCAGCTGAAATGGCGTTTGAAGCCGTTCAAACCTTTGTAAAAATTGTTCTCGCTGCCGCTGTTCACACCGCATATGCCACATCGCAATTCAACCCACCTTCCATCATCTAGCCGAGTAACGTGCGAGTATTTCTCCAGATAGGTAGTCCCGCGTTCGGTTTTGACCCCAAAAATATGGTCTGGCCACCGTCTTCTTTTGGGGGATTTCAGTGCTTCTGACCCGAAATCGTCACCAGAATCATCGAGGTCATCTTCGGAACCAGAATAGGGAAGTCCAAGGTGATTTGAGGGGATAGGACTGCGAGCAGCTCCCGAGAGGGAGGCATGATTGATGGTGGGTTGCTTCAACTCATCCTGAACACTCTGAACAGGCGATTGGGCTTCCTTCTGCGAGTTTGGGCGGCCACGGATTCTGCTTGCCAACGAAGTGACCAACGGCATTACCGTTGGAAGCGTGGGTGCAACTGGGGACCGCGGTGGGGTAATATCGTCGAAACAGCTTGGGGAAGCCTGTTCCTTGGGCTGCTGTGAAGGCGGAGTCGCCAGGCTTTGGTAGTCTGGAAGTAGAGATTTGCGATGCACACGCGCTAGTCTTTTGAGGTCCTGAGAAAAATCCAAAGTTAGTGAGAGGCCGGCCGCTGTGCTAAATTGTGGATTGACTGACAAGATTTCGTTTGGCAAGATTCTATATTCCCATCCACGGTTAGTACTGATCTCAACACAACATAGCCGCCACTAGACTTACAAATTTTTCCTCTTCAATCTTGTCCAATTCCTCCTCAAGTTCTGTTTCCCGGCAGAACGTGTCCACTTTCAGTTTCTCTGGGTTCTTGAGCTCAGCAGAGATCCGTTCGGTATCGACTTGTATCTTCTGTAGCTCTGCTGAGTTCTGCTCGAAAGACTTGTCAAGGTCGGCGAGTTGGCCGCCGAATGGATTGTACTGGGTCTTAGTGTCCGACATCTTGCAAGTTAGAGTGTCTAATAGACAATCGATCGTAGAGATACCTGGTAGAAGAGAAGACAAGACGCGATGACCAGCGAGGAGGAGGCTAGAGTACCAGGGCTTCAAGTCGGGGGGAACGCCAGTGTACCCGTCTACGCGCTGGATTTGAAAAAGTGACAGGTAATATTTACATGAGTCACTGCTCATCTGCACGAAGGCACTATTTCATCTGCACATCCCATGGTTAGTGAAACGAAGACGAATATCACCGAAGCCTCAAGTCTCTTAAAGGGCTGACTTGAACCAGTAGGCTCGAGTGCCGACCTCTTCCTGTAACATAGCAAGGCGAAAGTTATCGGAAGGCTAGCGGGTTGACCAATCCGAAGGGACTGTATAGACAGTTGCCTACGTGTAGCGGAAGTCCGTACGGTGCGTAGACTCGAGGTGGCTTTTCAATGTGACAAACGCGTCGGTGGTGGAAGCACGACTAGACGATCCACTTCCCGTATGAGCTATTGCAAGGGCCGGATGCCATAATTAGAAGCTTCTCAAGGTCCAGGTCGCTCATCTGATCGGTGTTTTGCTCCGAGAAAGGCCTGTTGCAGAGGGTGGCTTGCAGGAAGCAAGCTTTGCGGGCTCGGGGGCGAGTAGAATAAACCGCGATCGGTTGCTCTCAGAGATTGGCGCCAGGGATTGTCCGGGAAAAGAGGCTGGGTGGGGGGAGTGGGAAGTCCGACATGTTATATATCACATTCTCGCTTCAATCCCTGCTTCTAGACCCTCGATGCGCCAATGTTTCCCTCTGCACACATGGCGAACCTATTATTCCCTTACAAGACGTGTGAACAGGATGATTCGAACACCTACAATTGCCGGAGTTTGGGTTCTCCGTCACTCTCAAAGAAGTTGGGTGCAGCGGGAGTAGGAAATGGTACGCAAGGCTTCTAACGCCCGACTACTGCGCCAAGTCCGCCACTAGTTTTGAGACGGTAGACCTGCATTTTCGTTAGAACCTTATCGGCGATGTCGTGTTGGTGGATGCAGTAGGATAACCACCTGACTACCGACTGCTGGAATGGTCACTGGCGGCCAGTCCCGTACGAACAGTTCGGTAAATCCAAGAGCCCTATCAAGCCCCGGCTTGCAACAGGATCTCGGACGCCGGGGCGACCGACCGCTCCCCATTCAACGATATCTCAAGAGCAGCATCACCGGATAGTCAAATGGCATTCTTCGAAAGAACATTCCTAGAGAGAATGAGATTTCTCATTACAGGTTACCTATAGAACCTTTCCACCCCGTTGTCTCAAACAACATAACCCGGCACGGACATACTCATCCCTTGTAAGACCGTCAGGCTCAAACTATATCAAGACAGCAAAGATCCTAATCAGCCTAATACGTTGCTAGGCGATGTCGCTACAACCCAAGATCTTTCCAGTTGCAGATTCGGTCCTAGCCGCTATCCGTAGGCCCGCAAGCGTGCGCTAATGTTGGTTGCAAACATGGCCATGAAAGATTTCCTGTCTGACTTCGATATCGTCGTGGCCGTAAGTGCAGTTGTCCGTTTCGTACGCCGGACACTGGGTCCCAAATATCATTGAGAGGCAGGTAGGCCGGGCGACGTGGTCGCGAAAAGCGCACTGGATACCGTGACTCTCGAGCTATTACAAACGATGGTGATTAAATACGATCTTCGGTAGTTGATATAACTTTGACTTACAGTGCACACTTTGATTCTCATGCAATCTTCGCTGCAAAGGTGTCCCGATAGTGTGCAAGGGCAATATAGGAAGAAGGGGTCCATGTCGAAGCTAGGTACTTCGAAGGTCTGGACCTCATCCACGCCTTGGGAAATGCCGAAATCGGGGGCGCTGGTACAGTGTTAGCTTAGGTAAAACAAGAGATAGCATCGCGGCGAGGAAGAAAATCGGACACTTACTGCTTGACAACTGGATTGTCCTCTGGTAGGCTGAGGCGTAGTCTCTTTGACTGGCGGCGAGTCTGCGGTGAGTTGATTTCACTGCCCCCTCTGCCCCTAACAGCGCCAACGGTCGCTTTGCCGTCATTAGAGGCATTGAGTTCCGGTTCCATATTGTCGGGGGAGTCCTGAACTTTGCTTGGCTTATCAGGATCTTCGAAGTACTCGACTAAGTAATGATTAGTCTACGGTCGCAACCAATGCTCAAGACGAAAGTCGTTCATACCTTTGTATCCTCCCGGGCCTTCAACTTTGATCTTCTCTACCTCTTCCTGCGTAAGCTTCCTATACGTGCACATCTGCACAGTCCATTCATTTCTAGTCAGAATAGGATCCTCGAGGTCACTGTAGTATTGACTATGCGCCCCTTGCAGATGTGAGATGAATCCCGAGATGCCCTTGTAGAATCTGAGACTTGAGGATGACCCATAACAGTTCGTGCCGCATAGACAGCAACGCATTTCGATCATCGAACCATCGGAGTATCTGACTACCGTTGGCAATCCATCAACAGAGCCCAATAGCTTGACTGGTTTGGTATCTTCCTCTGCAATGATCATGTCCGTAGTGCGGCTCTTAATCTTTTCAATACCGTGGCATAGATCTCGGATAGCCTCAGGAGATAATTGGCGGACTGAGCATAACCTGATAATCTCATCGTCGAGAATCAAGCCCTTTCCGTTCACTTCTGAGGCTTCTGCGGCCTTCAGGTCGTGAGATTCCACCAAATGCTTTCTCATCCCTGTGGTGCCATTGATATAGTTCCCGGTACGAACGGTCGTGGCAGTATTGCCGCCACAGATGTAGCAGCGCAGTTCGTGCCAGATGCCTTTCATATACACGATGCTTCCGAAGGCCTTAAGGTAGGCCCCATGCTGGCTGCGGGTAAGGAAATGAACATCCACGGGGAACTCGGTTTGCTTGTTCTTCTTTCCCTTCCTATGAGTGGGCTTCTCTGGCGTATTAGGTGGTGTCAAGGTTGCGAATCCGCCATTCGTGTCGTACTGCTGGTGGTACGGTTCACCGCTGCCGGAGCCATACAAGCTAGTCGAGTGCAAAGTCAGCGACGAGGTGCGCACCTCTCGAAGCTGCTTGCGTAGTGCCTAGAAGTGGAATAGAGTTAGAATTGAAGCGCGATAGATACCCAAGCAGACGACATAGCGCAAATCAGATAGTTCCTCTAACGCGCTTGAGCACCCTCATCACCCTCTGAGGTACCTCGTGGGGTGGTCTCCAAGAGGAAATGAAAAAACCGCAAGGCAGCGATCTGGCCCCACTGAGGCTACCGGTCCGTATGGCGCTGCGAATTGGGGTGGGTTTAACTCACAAATTCTCGGGAGGACAGCGCTTCCAGCTCATCCTCAAGTTGGATCTGCTTTCGAGCAGTGTCCTGTAGCAGTCCCTCCAACTCAGCCATCTTCTGACGCTTGATGCCATCTAGGTTGGCTAGCTCTTGCTCAAACCAGCCGGGATCCATGTTGGCCGCCATGTCGTAAGTGCGGTTTGTAGACGACATGGTGTAGGAGCGAAGAAGAACAAGAAGTAGAAGAAGTACATAAAGGTTAGCGAGAGGGTGAAGGAGACTAGCGCCACGCTTAGCGCGATAGGACTACCGGCAATGGCGTGATAGGCGAAGGTAGAAGGGAGGTGAAGAATCTCACTTGGGTTCTATCATCCTTCATGAAAGGTGAAAATATCGGAACGGAACAACTTAGCTGCTGATCTACCGAGTAAGGCATACCTCATGTTACACTGCAAGATATGGAAATTTAACATCGATAGGGGATGGACGAGAGGATAATTTTGATTGTCCAAAATCTCTCACCGTCGGGAATCTACCTATCCGACCATCACATTCCATTCCACCATCCATCAAGCCATTAAAATACTAACATAGCTCTACCTCAAGAAAAGCAAGCGCCGTTGAGGGCGCTGAAATGGGGTATCTCAAAAAGATCGTCTCGTCACTCCTTCTCGTTCCCACGCACTTTGTTTATGTCTCCGTTCATCATGAGCCGTCAAGGTTGAATAGACGCCTGCCAATGCAATATGTGAAAAATCACAACTTTTATCCCCTCAGGTTGACGAAGGGACCCCCGTGTTGAATGCAACCGATTCGTAGGGTCGCCGCCCTTGAAAATGCTAAGAAGCGAAGAAGAAATTCCAGAAACGCCATATTAAGGTAGACTAACAGAGATGTTGAATGTCTTGAGAAGAGATTGACACACGATCTTCGAGATGGTACTAATTTTTTTGTTCATGACCATTGACGCCGTTAGTATGAGCAGCTGCGCCATTCGTAGTAGGCTTTGATGACTCGGTGGGCTTTTCGTCTCCATTTACGATCCCAGTCGAATGAAGAGGCTTTTCCATGTCTTCAACTTCAAGTCCGTTGAACAGAGGGAAGATACCGTGCGGAACGTGGAAATCATTGTGGACTATGATAACTATCAGTACATGTGGCGTAGAGGAAGGGAATATTTTACTAAAACTCACCGATGTTGACAAGATACCATGTATCCATGAGGTCTTCGACAACGTAACGGGACGGGCTGACGGAACTGTAGCAATTTGCCCAATCTTGACCAAGTCTGAAGAATTCATCCTTCCAGGCGAGGAAGCTGACGGTCTCGACAATGGTAGGTTGCACGATCTCTTTACCGGGGAATACACCCCAAGTCACAGCATTTGGTCCATCTCCAGGTGCATTCGTTTTGAGGTCACCAGACTTGTTGACAGCGTAGTACGTGATATCAGGATCTCGTTCGATTCTGGTGATCACCTCTGCAATGTACTCCGGCGAGACAAAGACCTCGAGGTAGGCCTTCTGGTAGACGTATCCATTGTGAGGGCCCCATCCAAGAACAGGGTCGGACGATTTGACTCCATCCGCAGCAGGCTGGGAGTTGATGGTAAGGAAGCCTCGGGTGTTGAGATTGACAAGGTCGTCTTGAATGCTCTCAGCTTCCTTCGAGATGGGGGCTTCGCTCCAGGGTAAACTGTCGAGCTTCCCGCTCATGTAGCGAACAAAGAGGTTCGCAATGTCCTTGACCGAGGTGGGGCTTCCCCAGAGCTTGATGTTCTGTTCATTGGTACCTTTGAGACCGACACCGTACGCATCCAGTTCACCGAACGCGGGAGAACGAGCGTCACCCCAGCGACCGTTGGGGAATTCGTCCCAGTCCTGGGTTCTAGCGACGTAGGACCTGTTCCTGTTTCGCCAGAAGATGGGGCGCACATTTTCCTCTCGGCGGTTGAGTCCAAGCGATGGCCGCCATGGTAGAGGCTTTTCGATTGGGGATTCCATGTCGGGCATCAAGTCCAACTCCTCTAGGACCATACGAGTGGTTTGGGCGAGGTTCATAGTGTAGAAGTGGAGATGTAGAATGCCCGCTTCGAGAAGCCGGCGACACATCTCTGCAATAAGAGTCTTTCCGACCTCTCGTACTTGAGCGTCATCGTTCTTAATTGGCTCCAGTGCCTTGGTCCATGCGGTCGGGATGTTGCATTTTGTCCATGTGGCTCGCCTCATGAAAGCAGCATGGGTATGGATTGGCATGATACCGGGGATGATAGGGATGGTCACACCTTTCGCTCGAACCTTGTCGACCCAGTCAAGGAAGATATCGACGTCATAGAACATCTGCGTGACGATGAAGGTAGCGCCGGCGTCAACCTTCTCCTTCAAATGGTCCAGGAGAAGCTCATGGTCGTCTTGGTCTTCACATCCTTCAGAGTACCCTGCGACTCCGATATCGAAGTGGTTGCCATAGGTGTCACGAATGTACTTGACGAGGTCCTTTGCGTAGCGGAAACCGCCAGCTGTGGCCTCCCACTTCTCCTTCTCCCGAGGAGGGTCTCCTCGCAGAGCCAGGATGTTTGTGCAACCCGCCTTGTATGCTTCCTTCAGTGCCTCGTCAATCTTCGATTTTTCCATGTCCGTGCATGTAAGGTGCATGCATGTCTCGAGCCCGTACGCAGATTGGGCGACCTTGACCATATCGCTTGTAAGGCGTGCCATGCGGCCGCCAGCGCCCCAGGTGATGTCAATGAAGGCGGGCCCGAAGCTGTGCATGCGGTCCATACGGTCGTACAAATTTTGCACACCCTAAAATTCTATCAGATTTCGCTCAACCAACTTGTAGAGTGCCGGACGTACCTGAGCTGTCTTCGGAGGGAAGAACTCGAACGAGAATGTCGCCTTGTTCTTCCTCCGCGACTGCTCCAGCATCTGAGAGATATGCATTGTGAATGGAGAGAAAGTTGAATTGTGGTGGAGGCTACGTGAAGGAGAGTTGCCACGCTACTGAATGATGTTGAGGGACAAGTTAGCAAAGATGAAATGAGTCACCAATTGGTCTTGAACGTGGTTGAGTATCAACTCATCGGAGTCGGTGTCATGTCAGCTTACCTACCGCACAGCTGATATAGGGCAGCACTGTTCGTTCGCACTCCGCCGGGGTTTCCACTGCTCAGATCTGCACCTTTCCGCCTGTCTGCCGGCGCCAGCTATCCAAAGTACCGCGCACGAGCCCAACGATCAGCAAGCTGCCGATGCATGTACCACAGATGCTGGTCCGAATATCGAGCGAACGGGCGGGTCTGTGGTGAATATGGGTGGTGTTTGTGTCGTAGTGTTGGAGTTGGGAGATTTCGGAGTTTGAATCGGAGGTCAAAGAATGACGCCGGTCGGCCCGCTAAGACAGGAAAAGTCCTACAAAGTGTGGGGTGCGCTGGCCCTGTCATCCACGTCGAATAAATATGACCGCAATCTTCGGCGTCCAGGGACGATGAGCAGCCATCAAGACTCATTGGCTCCCGTGGACAGGGTGCCTGGAACGAGCCGCCGTTCCCCGACCTCGTGAAAACACGTGATGAGTCGGGATGCCCGAAACAGCGTGCCGGACTCCTCACCATCATCGTCACTTTCAAACACCATATATCGTAGAATAACACAACGCACTGAACAGCAGCAAGGCATTGATACAAGATCCATTCATCACCGTACTTACCAGCCCATCTAAATATCCATAATGACCGCCTCCACTCCACTCCGCCGCCTCGTCGGCGTCAGCCTAAAAATGTACTACGACCTCTCCTCCACCCTCCGCTACGTGCAAGGCGTTCTCGAGCTCGACGGCCTCGCCTGGAACTACCGCATCGACCTCTTCGTCATTCCCGATTTCATATCCCTCGCCGACTCCGGCCGCATTCTCCAACCCTCCTCTATAATCCTCGGCGCGCAAGACTGCTTCTGGGAAGACGCCGGCGCATACACCGGCGAAGTCTCAGCCCGCTCCCTCTTCCAAGCCGGCGCACGCATCGTTGAGATAGGCCACGCAGAGCGACGCGCAATATTCAAAGAGACAGACGCGCAGGTTGCGCTGAAGGCGGGTGCGGCGGCGCGGAACGGGCTGATCCCGCTCGTGTGTATTGGGGAGCGGACGCATGGGAACATAGCCTCGGCGGCGGTGGGCGCGGCAGTGGAGGAGTGTAGGACGCAGGTTGAAGCAGTCTTAGCCGCGATTCCGGAGGACGCTGAAGTGATTCTGGCGTATGAGCCGGTGTGGGCGATTGGAGCGAAGGAGCCTGCGGACGCGGATCATGTTGTTAACGTGACAAAGGAGATCAGAGCGATGGCGAAGGGGAGGAAAGGGGTTACGAGAATAGTTTATGGAGGGAGTGCGGGACCGGGGACTTTTGGGAAGATAAGGGACGGGGTGGATGGTTTGTTCCTTGGGAGGTTTGCGCATGACATCCAGAACCTAAAAAGGGTGATTGAGGAGATCGGTGAGTCGTAAACAGTATGGGTTTGTCGAAAAGCGCTTTGGATTCTATTGGCGTGAACTGCTCTTCATGTATATTTGTAAGTAAGTAGGCAAGTATGTTCCCAAGTCCTTCAACATGCTCTCCCCAATCACATAGAGCTCACCAAAAGAAATCTCATAAGCTCTCAGCCACTGCCACCAACATCGACAAGAACAGGGACAAATAGAAAAAAGTGTGCGTGGTGTATTTCGAGCGCGGAATATGTCCTCCCATGCGTAGTAGTGAAGAGTCCAGGGGCAGCTGAGTTCTGAAGTAGACCAGCTCCAACTCCTCCTCAGCCTCAGTCCCATAATTCTTAAACCCAATTTTACATCTGACATATGCATATATTTAAAGACTACACTAACCTAGGATACCAGAGTATCCAGCGCTCACACAACTAAACGCTTCAAATAGTCACTACGTGAAACAAGCCACGGATCATGATGCTCACTAAACACTCCCAGGACCAAACCAACCGCCCACGTTCCAGTCGTGAGTTCTTACGCACTAGCACTCACCGAGCTATGATCTAGGTAATTTTCGCAGCATGCTTCCCATTTGACGCAGAAGGTCCAATTTCAGGAACGACAGCGATCTTAGCAAACGCCTCCAGGACCATCCCAATCAGCCATGCTGCGGTCCCAAGCCCGCATTAGCACTCACCTAGTTTCTAGGCAGTCACACCAGCGCCCTTTCATGCATGTCCCGATCCAGGAACAGATTCGTTCCCTGACACGACCCCGGGACCCCTCCCCACCCACGCCCAGGCAGTCTAGCCTCACACTCGCCTCGAGTCTCGACACTCACCCAACGGCTGGTTAGCCAAGTCCCCAGTTTCCAGACCCGCACATCAAACACCTACCCGCCCGTGTCTCAACGCTTCACGAACTTCATCTCCGCAACTTCGCACTTCGCCCGTATTCACCTGGCCATCCCAATCTCGCGACCCTCCGCTTTTCCTTCACCTCCCTGCCTCAACGAATCCCCGTACCATTATCTCCGAACCCCCAGGAACACTGCCAATCGAGTCCCTTATCAAGCCCCTCTCAAAATGCAACCCTTATTCCCGTCCCGCCTGCCCAATCTTCTAAAAATACCCCCGCCCAGTTCCTCCCCCTTACAGTACAATACCGACCTCCCGTCTCACTCCACTCCACTCCACTCCCCATGCTCCCACGCCCCGTATTCGCGGTCCCCCTTCCCTTCGTCACACGTCCCCATCCCACACCCACCCAACCACACCGCCTCCCCGATCCCACAGGGCTGCACGAACTCCGTGGCTGCTGGCCTGCACACAACCCGCCCGCTACGCCCGTTTGGTGACCCCATCCTTCACACACACACACACACCCAACCACGCGTCACACCGCATGGCCGCCTGCACAGCACAAGAAACCGGCAGCAGCCCTATTGGCCGGCGGCTGTGCGCCGGGTAGCCGGCACGACACGCGCCGCAGCAGTGGCGATGGGGACGCGTGGTGCGGGATCTCGGGACGAGGAGGCTGCTCGGGGGAGGATGACGAGGAGGCGTTGTGGGCGTGCAGGAGGGTGAGGCTGCTGGAGATGCGTCGGAGTTTGATGGAGGAGAGAGGACAGGAGGGGAGCAGGGGGAGGAGTCAGTGAGGGAGTCTGGGGAGGATGGCGGTGGGGAGGGCGCGGGTCGTTGGTTCGCGGGTGCTCCTGGTGTTTCTCGTTACTTTGAGGGATTGTTTTTGAGAGTCTGAGGTGGCAGTTGAGTTTTGTTTGGTCATGGATTTGGTGGTTGAGTATGTGTGTCACGTGATAGAGCAGTTAGAGAGAGGTGATATGATCGTAAGGTAGCAACACCATATTACTGTGGTCTCTAGCTCCATCTCAAACTCATAAATGAATTTCGTGAAAAGATCAGCGCCCGTAGACGTCCGAGGACGGTTCTGGAGGGGAAGGAAGTAAAGCCCCGCCCTAGCCTCAGATACCCAACCCCCCCTATCCTTCCAATACCCAAAACACCCGCTGGAAGTTCCCTCATTAAAGTTGCTAAATCAGAAGACAGACCCGCCGCCCTTTTCGCTAGTCGCTTGCTGCAAACAGGAATAGACATGAAGAGAAGAAGGATGAAGACATGAAGCTGTTCAAGTCTCACTCTTCACCCGCACCTCCCCATGCAATATATCCAGCAACTTCCGCAGCGTATCCGCGTTACTCGGTTTCCGCTGCTGGCCCCCGAGCTCCCCTTGCTTCTCCCCCTCCGCGCCGCCGCCGACGCTCTCGCTGTCGTCGGCCGTGAGCAGCTCGATCGTCTTGCGCAGCTTGTCGTACGCCGCGTTGAGCTCCCCGTGCGACGACTCCAGATGCCGGTACTTTTCGGTCAGGACAGCGAGCTGCGCCTCGAGGTCTTTGGCGTGCTTCTCCTTGCGCTCGCGGAAGGCGCGTTGCGCGGCGCGATTTTGGGCGCGGCGGCGCTGGAGAGCGGTCAGCTGATGCTCGGCTGGGTCACGTGATAGGGAGGTTGAGGGCAAACTTACTCCGCTAGTTGTGTGCGTGCGCTCGGCGGGCTGCGGCGGAGGATAGCTCAGCTCTGTCTGGCGCGGCCGCGGACTGCAGTAGGGGCTCTCGTCCGCGCTGCCGAAGTCCGAGGGCGTCATGGGGAGTTGGTACGAGAAGTTTAGCTCGTCGGCCATGTGCGGGTATTGTTGTTGGTAGAGTTGGTGGGGGTGTTGTTGCGGGAGCGAATCGAAGGTTGCGGAGACCTTTTCGGGGTACTGTTAGGATCGTTGGTTTGTGTTTTTGTAAAGAGATGGATTCTGGACGCCAAGAAAGGCTGCGGATTGAGGTTTAGGGGGGAATTGGGGGAAGGGAGATGCTTACGGGTGAGTTGCTTAGGCTGGGGACTTGCGAGAGGTCTGCGGGGAGCTCGAAGACTTGTGTTTGGTGCGGGGGAAGGTAGTTCCCTTGCGCTAGCCAGTAGTCGAATGATTGGGAGTCCATTGTGCGGTTTGAGGGTTGTGAAGTGGTGAGGTGAGGATGAGGAAGCACAGCAGCGAAGAAACGGTGGTTTCAACAAGTAGTAGAGTTTGCCAGGAGCAGATCAGTAATAGCTATCCGGATCAGTAATGGTAGGCTGGTTGTCGGTAGGGCTGCTAGTGTTGTAGTAGGTAGATATTGGTGAGAGAGGCCAAAGGGTAGCTTGGTGCTTAGGTTAACAGAAAGAGGCCGCGATCGATCTGAGGGACGGGCTCGATCTTATACAGCGTCAGACGGTGCTCCGGGCGTGAATGGCGGAATGTTCCTCTGGTCGCGGTGACGGGGTTCAGATGCAGGCTGGGGCATGGCTGCAGCAGGCCAGGGAAAGCTTAAGGGCGGCATCAACGACGCCGCGCTGCCATTCTGAGCCCTGCAGCGGGCGTGCCCTGGCTCTGCGCAAGCTCGGCGTGCTGGCGGACCTTCGGGGATAAAACGGTGGTGTTTATTCTTGTGACCGGGGCGCTGGGGGCGTGAGTGGCCAGTGATGGCGCCCTGTGCCGCAACCATGCACCTCGGGCCGCTACACCCAACGCGGTATCTGATAAAATCGATCGCGCCAGGCCGCATGAGGCCTCGTCTGCATCCCGTTAGTCATTCCAGGCCAGATGAGTCACGCACAGACAGCGCGGTGGCCGGCTTCGAGAAGCATCAATTGCCCGTTGCAGCGTGTAGGGCTGAAGACAAGTCTCGGGCGCGGTGCCAAGCCCTGCCCTCACCACCACGCTATTCTCGCACCACCACGCTGCTGGTGTTCGCGACAAGACACCCGGCTAGTGCCCCATTAGTACTCTTGTGTAATCTGGAGAAGCCGCCGCGCGAACTGTCTGCCCGCCAAAGCAGCCGTTGCGATACTGTCCGTCACTCGACCTATCCCTCAAGGCCATCCCTCAGCCGGGACACGCGGCCGCAGGGACAAAAACCTCAACAGCCGTCGACGTTACTCCCGTCAGCTCCGGCTTGGTGTGCAGGGTCGAGCTGCCCGTTGTCGTTACCGCCGAAAACTCTTTGTCGACAGCTGAAGCTGTCCCCGCGACGTTACTCGCCGCCGACGCGGTGAAGGTGCGGCAGCCCGTGCGCGGCCTAACGTGCAGCCACATGGGATCCAAAATAGAAACCGTATCAGCGGCGCTTCTCGCTTCTCCGCGCGACGAGCCATACGAACCAGCTATATAGGCACTTGCCGTCCGCCAGACGCCGTTGAACTGCCAACCTCGTTAGGCTAACGGTCGCGAAGACACGGTGCCATTGCGAGAATGGCCACCTCCTGAGCGGCGGCACTACGAAAGAGACAGGACGGCACCAGGGAAACGACAGGTCGAGACTAGTTGAAGCGACAGCAGGACAGACGGCAGCGCGCAGGCCCGGAACCACACCGCGCAGCCGCGTACTCCGTCTCCGTGTCTACGGCGAGGGCGATCGTTCGAGTGGAGGTGAAGCGTGTCGGACGGCATGCCAGATCCGGAGTGGCGGGTGCTCGAGGCTGGAAATAACTTTAAGAACAGCTGATGCCCGTCCTCGCATCTGCTTCTCGTCGTTGCAATCTCACTCGATCTGCCTCTGTGCCGTCGCCTAGCGCAGAGCTACACAGCGCGAAGGACTCAAGACACCGTCTGCAGTTGCCCATCGCTCCCCAGCGCCCGCCGATCGGCCCGAACAATTCGGGATGGCTGCATGGTGTTTTTCTGGAGCAGCCAAGCACAGGCTCAGAACATCACCCGTCAAACGGCTAGCGCTGCCGGGGCCGAGGGTCGGGGAGAGCAGGCCCTCTGCGGCATCTGATAGTAACCTCAACCCGCCTTAGCAGTGCCACTATCTGTCTCGCCAGCGTCTTCAACGCTTAGCCCTACCTCCGTGGGCACTACATATGCTACTTGGTCTTTAGTGCGTGGCTACTCGAGCCGGGATGCTGGCTCTTGCAGAACCGGACAGGAAGCCTACTGCATTCGCCCACCTATTAATATAGCAGGCCCAGTTACCGTTCACCCAAAGCAGTATTCCACTATCCTCACCTCCAGCCCATCGTGACGCACCGCGTTCCGTGTCACTTCTGTACTCGTCTAACCCTACGGTGACGCACCAGCCCTAAATCCTTCCCGCGCCGTGGGTGTGGAGAGTCGCCTGCTCGCGTGCAGATCAGGGTCTCGGGAAGAGTGGACATGACAGGCGGCCTTGACGCTTGCGATACCGGCTCTTCGGCAATTTTCTTCCTCGACGCCGTGCCTCTATTCGGCTTTCAGAGCCGAACGCCCTCGACTCGCTCTCATTCTTGTCGTCAAATTTAGAACACTAGCGAGCTGCTACTGTACGCATCTTCCAAGTATATCGATGGCCCACGGCTACGTCATGGCAGGAAATAGCATCGGATCCCAGGCGACGTCTCCCGCTGTTTTTGCTGCAATGATCAGGCCACCGCACGATGCGGCGTGTGAACGACTCGTCGGAAACGCCGCTAGGAATCCCCAGTAGCCAGCGGTACCGTGATAGGCCAGCCCTACGGGAATCAACCCCGCTTTCAAAGTGGCTGTGGTTGCACCATCTCGAGGCTATCATATCGTTAGGTAGGCTAACTAATCAGCCCAGCGTTAGGAATTACCGCCTTCATGTGATCTGCATGTTGGTTGCTCTGCACAGAACGTGGTCTGTCCAGAAGCCCTTAGCTTGCAGGGTTAAGTCTGTCCAGACTTACATTTCCATGCATTGCTAGCCCCGCGACACGCGCTATCAGATTATCACCCTCTCCATCTAGGCTCGTACATACACTTCCAGGGTATACTAATGCACAGAAAGCCTTGGCTACAGCTGCGTATACACGCAGGAATCCTTGGCCTTGGATGCGTATACAAGCAATCGCGAAACACCGCGCTATCGCACTATCATCGTCTCTATCAGGTCTACCCAGCGCATGCCGCAACGCCCGGACTCCTTGGCTGCATACCTGTATACACGCTACTACATGCCGCATCTGCTCTGACCGGCGCCGCGCAGCATCGGACCCCACTGTTATCCGGCTAAAGTGCGTGCGAGCGTTGTTCCAGGTGAGGAGTTGCGATCATGTCATCAACAGTGTGGCTTTGGTCAGCGGGGGAGCAGAGAAAGAAAGTGTACACCTGTACCCCTCCACGGTAGCTGTCGGGCGGAAGCTATACCAGACTCGGGAGCTGTTAACTTGGTGCCCGACGGCTCGAGCTACACATGGGAATGCGGATTGTTGCACGCGTGTCTCCACCAATAGGGGATGCTGGATGCGGTGGTTAATAGGTAGCGCACAGTAGTACTGCCTTACTGTCTTACTACACGTATTCTGGCATTTTTCCTACGACGCGTCTGTACCACGCTGCGTGGACACTGGCTTTCTACTACTCTACATATCGCGTCATATATACGTACAGTATGGCAGTGTAGATACCGATGCAAGACACCCCTGGGCTATCTAGACTCTCTAGAAAGTGAATGTCAAAGTTTACACGTTGTAAATCAGACCTCGATCATGTGACTACCATCTCTTCACTCTTTTCCACGGACGTATGAAATCAGAGGTAGTCAACGTGTGTTTTGACAGTGTAGACACCAATGGAAGACCACCCTGGGCTATCTAGAGATTGAATGTGAAGGTTTGCAAGTTGTAAATTAAGCTTAGCCTGTCAGGGTCTTCGTTCCGTGGTACGAAGTACTATCGCCATCCCTTCCCCCCCCCCATCACTCACCACAACCCCCTCACCAATTGCGCAACCCTATCAAACACCTCCCCCTCCTCCAACCCGCCCGTCGCCCTCTTCACAATCACCCCAACCTGGTCCTCGCCCACCCCATACTCCCCCAGCGTCTTTTTCAACCCCAACCCTCTCACAAGGTCCAAAATTCTCTCCCCGACCTCCTCCGCATCCCTCCTCTCATCCCCACTCGCCACGCCCCCAACAAACGGCAGCACCCGCGCCACCTCCCTCGCCGCCGCCGGATCCCCCGCCTTCAGCTTCACCACATGCCCCAGCGTCAGGCAGCTGGTGATGCCGTGCGGGATCCCGTACGGGCTGCCCAGCGCGTATCCCAGCGAATGGCTCAGCCCGATGCCGCCCTTGACGTTCGTGCCGCGGAACCCTAGGCTCTCGAACGCCGCGAGCTGCAGCCGCGTGATCGTGTCCACGTCCCCTGGGTCGTGTTTATACAGCGGGAGGCCCTTGAACAGAGCAGCGGCGGCGTTCAGGCACATGACCCGCCCGGGCACTTCGCTGATGGTCTCGTGGTAGAGCAGCTCGACCGCGTGGTCGAGCGCGCGCAGGCCTGTCGACAGGAATAAGGTAGGCGGCGTGTGCTGCGCGAAGCTCGCGTCGTAGATGACGACCGAGGGCGCGAGGTGCACGTCGCTGACGCCGGTTTTCACCCCCGAGGACTCGGTGTAGCCGGCCGCGTAGGTGCACTCCCCCGCGGAGAGGGTGGTGGGGATGGCGATGTGGAACAGCCACTTCCCCGTGCGCGCGTGCGTGCGGTGGGAGATAGCTTTGGCCGAGTCGATGGGGGAGCCGCCGCCTATGCTGATCACCGTGTCGATGGTTGAGTCCTTGGCGACTAGCTCGGTGGCTTCGTCGAGCTGGGCGATGGGCGCGTGTTCGCGGATGTTGGAGAAGGTGCCGGCGTGGTGGGTGGGGGAGAGGAGTTGTTCGACGTCTTTGACCAGGGGGGTCTTTGTGGCGAGGGAGTTTCCGGTGATGATGAAGGCTTTGGAGGTGGGCGAGGGGAGGGTGGAGAGGAGGTGTTTGGCCACGGAGCCGGGGCCGTAATAGAGGCGGGCGAGTTGGGTGGGGGTGTAGAGGCCGGAGAGGGGGGAGGTGGTGGATTCGGTCATTTTGGGTTTGGTGTGTAGAGTTCGTGTAGATAGAATTGGAAACGAGATGTTAGTATTTTTTCTGAGGCTGGGGAAAGATGGGGTGTGGATGACGCAATTGAGACTGAAACTTCTTAATACAGCTGGTTGCGCGATTCTAGTTGCGAGGGTGATGGGGATACCGAGCTTCACCGACATGCGTGGTTTTTGGAGCTCTTTATGGGGTTCTCTCGGTGGTAAGCTGACCGCGCGGTTTGATGATGTCTTTGAAGGTTGAGCTATGTGGAGTGGGGATTACGGCGTTATGGATGCCTCGGGCAAGGCTGGAGGAGATGCGGGGATGGCTCGGGTATCGCGAATGACTGCTGTGACCGCTGGTTGAATCAGGTAGCACTTATAGGTGAGGTCAGGGTTGAGAAACAAGTTTGAGAGCTGTATTTGCGTTCGATTTGGGTGCCCCTGGTCCCTGTTTCGAGATATTCCCACTGGAAGATAGAATAATCGTTCTGCGGGATTCCTTTGTGATTTCATATTGAGGCTTTCGGAGCGCTTCGTTAGGTACGAAGTAAAGTCAACTTAATACATCAAGGTAGTTAGTGAGATTAGTGAGTATTCTTCGTTCAGGCAACAAGGCAGAAACGACCCCACCGTATTCTAATCACTCCGTCGAACTACCATCAGATACGTTTAGGCACCTACTTGCCATTGAGGCTGGACAGTGGCTAGGTAGGCGGGAAAGAAGTGGCACATTCAACTAGTTCAACACCGTCTGAGGTGACCCGGAGAGCTATCAGGCTTGCCAAAGCTGGTATCTCTTGAATAACAATGGCATACTGGAGAACCTCAAGCGGCGGTAAACAAGCGTACACAAGCACAGAAATAGTGTGTATAGTAGAGTGCCACCCTTTTCATGCCCCGCGTGAGTGGCTAGGGCAGTGGTACCTTAGGTAGGTATGGCCTTAGCCATCCTGAGGAAATGAAGGTAGAGCCTCGTTGGGGGCCAAATCCTGCGAAGCGCAGCTGCAGGGATCCCCTCAACTGACATCAGTCTACATATCTTCACCGGAAACCTTCCGTCTCATAACTACCAACCTCCATCCTTTTCTCAACTCTAACCCATCTCCACAATCGATCCTTCATCATGGCGCCTCCCATAGCAATCCCCCCTTCAGACACCACCAACCTTGGCGCCGCCCTACAAGCCACCCTCTCCAAAGTCGTCTTCCTCCTCAGCTGGATCCTCCACATCCTCCTCTACATCCCCTGGGCGATTCTCTTCTTTGCCGGCCTACTGGTATCAATGATGGTTGCAGCTATCACCATGGCCGTCACCGGCAGAATTCTCAAAATCGACTTCATGGCCAAATACACGTTTGGACCCGCATTTATAGCGATTTGGATGGGCCATTTCCTGATGTTTATATTCACGATCCTCACGACTGGGGAACCGAAAATCACCCTGTCGGTATGGCTGCAGAGTCTAGCCGTTGTTGCGATCACGCTGAGCGTTTTGTGTGTTGTGATGGGTGCACTAGTGGTGGTAGGAGTGTGGACGGCGAGGGGGATTCAATACGCGTCGGAGAGGAGGAGGGCAGGCAGGGTAGGGGCTGCGACTGATGAGAAGTCGACTGAAGACTGAGTCAAACGGTCTTTGGTGGGATATCGACGATGGGCGAGCCCGTTCAAAGACTGAGACACGAGTCACGTGATGACGGATCGGTAAGTGGTTTATAGGTCCATCGTCATGTAAAGGTTTGCGTTGGAGTTTCGGGCGCTGGTAGCGAGCGTGTTGGGTTGGTGCCGAGAGTTGCATCAATGGAGTTGATTGATCAAACCATCTATGGGTCTGTTGGTGATCACTACATATCGGTTTCCGTACCGTAAGGTGCATCTTCACCGTCTCCACTCTGCCAATTTCTAGTTTCTCGCTCTCGAGTTATTGATATGCTTCCCCCAAACATTATACTCTTCGCCCCTGTCTGTTCAGCCATCTTCCGTCCACGCTCCTGAGACTATGTCACGTGGGCTGATATACCTGCACCTTCATTTCAAGACTAACCTTGGCTTACCCCGAGTTGTCTTCGGTTTGCCTGAAACTGAATTGGTTTTTGCCACCATGAAGTCGTTAGCCGTGTCTTGCCTTAGTCGAGGAGCGGTGTACGAGCAGACGGCAACGCGCATGACTGAGTGTCCATTACAGGTTTGCTCCCATCTACCTATCTTTCAGTCCAATTCAATTTCTCTGGCACATCTGCTTGCCTGTTTTCCTCTAGTGCCTCTTTCATTGATCATTGTCGTTACTACGAACTACCTTGCGTCCTACACCATGGCAGACCCTTCAGGCCAGCTCAATCTCCTCCGTGACCAACACGCCAGCTTGAAGAGTTTACATGAGCGCAAGTCCAGCGAACTTCGGAAGCTACAGGAACAATCCTTGTGTCTTCAAGAAAGACTAGATGAGTTGGAGGATGAATTGGAGAAGGTCGAAGAAGAGAAATTTGGTACCAAAGTTGTAAGTTTCTCCACAGTAGCCGCGCAGTAAACCGTGAACTAATCTCCGCTGTAGGCAGTCAGAAAGCAAGAACGCGCAATTCGAGACTCAACTCTTCGTTCTTCGCTGCTAGCGTCCTATCACAGCCTCAAAAATTCCACCTCGAAGCAATCGGAGACACAGCTGCGAATCGAGAACGACGATTTCCGCCACACACAAACAAGAACGGATCGTTCAACACGAGCACAAGGCGCTTCGGATCGGCTAGGAAGCCGGCCATACCGAGTAGCTCCAATGGATGAGAGGCGGCAGGCTCCAAGTCTTCGATCGCAGGCTGAGTCGGACGTCGAAAGTGGCCGGGTTCAAGTGTCACAGGCCTCATCACCATTGTCTTTTATGGCTTCTTCCTCCACGCGAAATGTCGGCGGCTCTATACCATCAGCAGCCTACAGAGCTGCCGAAATACCAACGAGAACTGCAAATATGCCGCCGGAATATCGTTCAGGAGCTCCAGTAGCTAACCTCGGTATACATGAAGTAATCGATCTTGGTGACAGAGATGGCGGCTCGGACGACTCAGCCGATCTGGAAGGAGAGCACGATCCTGATTACTCTCAGTCCTCAAACGAGGACCATCGCTATTCTTTTCTAGAAATTAGTGGCCGGCGGAACTATTTGCCCAAGTATCCGCATGTTGTTTGCCTCCACGACGGAAGCTGGATCGAGCTTGCATGCGGCACCTGCGGCAGGAATTGCTTCGGGCCAGACTTCATAAAAGGGCTGAAAGGTTTTCTACGCCATCTCCAAGGCCATGGGATTACAACGCATCTAGACTACTCTGATGTAATCTCGCGTTGCAAGGTGCGGGACCTCTCGGGAGCCCAGGTTGAGGCACTGGAATTGGGCCTACCCGGCGCCCCTGAGATGAAGATGAGAGATCCGACCTACCTACAAATCGAAAAGCCGAAGATTACTAGAGTGCAGGCCCCGGTGGACGATTTCCCAGAGTTGCCAACTGTCGTCAGGTGCTCCGACGGCAACTATGTTGAACTCAGATGCAAACTTTGCAATGCGAATAGTTGGGTCAAGCACCGAACACCATACACGCTTCGTCCATACAGAAAATGGGTAGGTTTCCGGCAACACCTCCGACAGACTCATAAAGAGGAATGGCACGAGAAGAAAGATGCTGTGGGACGAGACGGGACAGCGCATGATACCATTCTCTCCTTATGTATCCAGAAGATCTTGACCAATAATCAACTACAGGCTATCAGGCAGCATGGGGCGAGCGCTTACAAGGGTAAGTTGTCCATATGCGACACTTTATTTTCACACCCTCTAATGCTCCACCAGTCAAGCTCAATCCAACCCAAGGCCCGAAGCGACAGAGAGAACCGAGCATTACCTCTACAAGCACCAACGACAACCCTGACGATTCGGGAGATGAGGACACCACCCGCTCAACAGACGACGATGATGATAGCGTGATTACGTCGCGCGAGTTACCTCGTACTCGCAATCGCGACCGCAAACGACCCTGCCCGGACAATGAGATCGTGAGCGCTCCGCATAGGTAAGTGGATCAAGGCTACATATCCATCGTCGTCCATTTACGCACTCCAAAGCTTACTTTTGCTCCCATGTGTGTAGACTTGGCAGTAAATCCCCGCCTTCTTACTTCCTGTTTCCCCCCAATCGCTCAGAAACGCTCGGCGATGAAATCGTGGTTAGTTTATCCCCCATGTTGTCGGCCGTCGAAGGCCAGGTAGCGGCGCGAGCGTCGCCCGTTTCATCACCGTCTAGCTGCTTAGACCAGTATTGTCCCTGTACCTTATCCGGCCACCTGTGCGGGATGGTTGGGTGTGCCAAAGTTAAGATATGTCTGGTTTGTCGCCCGTGCTGCGGTTCTCTCCTTGTCTTGAAGCTATCTGCTGACGCTAGTGCCAGAATTACCAACACGACAACAATTGCGTCATCGCCGATGAATGTAATGTTCGCATGACGTGTTACTCGGTTGTCAATGGAAGGGAGTGTTTGGTGCGGGATAGGGGGTGTCCGTATGATCACGAGGATGAGGATGTTCGGCGGCGGTTGTATGAGCATCGTCATGCTAGTCATTGAAGTAAGTAAGTGTATTTTGAAAGTCCATCTAGAGATGGTGCAAGCAACCTCGTCATTCTAGACACTACCGGTATGGGGTGTTGTCCGTCTTACTGGTAGTCTGGAGGACCGTAAGGATACGGACCAAAGTCTTTAGCTTGTGAGCTATTCCGTGGCCGCCCAGGGTTTGTATTATCAGGGCTCTTTGTCATCGCCAGACTTCAATGGTATGTGAGGGTTGTGCGTCTTGCTGGTAGGTTGGGGGTCGGAGGGGATACGGACCAATCTTATTAGCTACTGGACTCTATCATAACGAACTCGAGGTATATTGATTGGTAGTCATGTTCCTACTGGACTTCACTGGTGAGGAGAGCTATTCAATAGTTGCCTGGAAGAGATACGGAACAATATTGTTTATTTGCACTCTATATATCTTGACAACTAAACCGAAGCTTCTTCCTTCCTCTTCCCTCCTCTTCCCCACCTTCTCAACAGACAAACCTCAACACAGTTTCTTCCTCTTATGACCTCATCTGCTCCTGATCCATGAGGTGATATGAGAGTCTCTACATTCGTCGACTTGCGTAAGTGACGACCACTTTCCTCACCTCATTTCCATCAAACCTCAAATCATACTCAACTCTGCTGAGGTGTTCTAACTCTCTTTTCAGGTCTTCCTCTTCGTTCCTCCGGCGACACCTCACTGCCTCGCCGAATATCTATGCCCGAGGACCTGCCACGGTCTGTGGTGCCTTGAACCAGTTTTGAAAATCTGGAGCAATGATCCTTTTCCAACTGTGTACACTTCTCCGAGGCCGCTTGAGGTAGCCTGGCGAGGTTCGCACTTGCTCAACATGATGAAGTTCCACCTATTTCAGATCTCTGGAAGAGTGTTGGGCCACCACAAGCCGTGGCAGAAGAGCATGGGAGTCCTGATACTGGACTATGTAGCCCTTTGATACGTCCGGAGCTACGATCCACTCTGCCTCCGCAGTCTAACTCGGGCTTGTGTACACCCAGCTGCAACCGCCTGCGGTGGCCTAACGAGTTTTAGCGTTGTTCAAGAAGGTGGATTTTGACCTCTTTCGAGTTTCTGTCGAGCCACCGTAGATGGCGGCGGAGAAGGCGGTGTGCGTGTTGCATGGCAATTCACCGCCACACCTTTGCCCCACTTTTTCTCTCTTGGCGACATCTGCTGTTTCTCCGGTCACCACAACTTTGTCACTTACCTTCGTCAAGGCTGTTGAGAGCTGACAGGCTCTGTCAATGGCCACCATGGCGGACGGCCTCCACGAAGCAGCTACACTGCATAGTAAGCTTGCTAGGCTACATCAATCAATGCAAGAGAAAGTCGCAGAAGCAGAGAAACTCCAGAAGGACCTCAAGAGGGTGAATGAAGAGATAGGTAACACAGACTCCAAGCAGTTCGTAAGTTTTCCTATCTCCTCAAGATCTTTTCTTTTCGCTCTCTAATTGTTGTCCGAAAGACTACGCGCAAACGACTGCGAGCGCTCCAGTCGTCAAGCATGAGCTCTTTCTTCCTACTGACAAATAACGGTTCCTTTGCGTCACCACCCCATCGCATGCAGCAAATCAGAGCACGCCCTCCTCCCAATCCCCGCGATCAGGAGAGGCGCAAACCTCTTCGGCCACTGGAAACCAGGTCACACGCGGGCTGCGCTCGAGTGTTCAGTCCAATCCGCTAGTAGGATCTCCCCTTGATCAGAACGATGCCACAGCTTTTGCGAATGCATCGAGGACAACTCGCGTACGCGATAAGGAACTGAAATCGGGGTCGTTCAATAAAAAGGCTACCTATCCTACTTAGAGAAGTATCCCCATGTGGTCCGGCTGGAGGGAGGTACGTGGGTTGAGCTATCTTGTGGTATCTGCCAGACGAACGCAGCCTCTCACCGCGACGTTCCTTACGAGTATCTCAAAGGCATAGATGGCTTCAAACGCCACCTGTCGGCAAAGCATAGGTTGAAGATGGATACCTACGAAGTGGTGGAATCTTGCAAAAATCGGGATTTCACCGCCGACGAAATCAACGCCTTGTTGAAGGGTCTTACTGGTGCTCCCACTATGCAGTTAACAGCCGGAACTAATTCTGACAATCCCTTGATCAACAACGATAACGAAAATGGGCCTCTAGAATATGGATCGGGCGAGCAAGAAGCTTTGGAGAATGGCGAAGACGACTCTTCGTCGCGAGATGATGACGACTATATGGAGAGAACTCCTGTAAGGAGACAGCGTTTGGGTGGAGAGATGGCTTCAGCAGACCAACTCTTGACGACAATCTTCCCCACCATCATCAAGCGAGCTGATGGCACCTACGTGGAACTTTCATGCAGCATATGCGGCTGTAACTCGATTAAGCGATCCGAAACTAACATATCCCCGTTCAAGGGCGAGGCTGGGTTTAGGGGGCATATTGCAGCGCAGCACAACGACAAGTGGCATGAGGCTTTGGAATCCGTGGACCATGGAGCAAACGGGGTCCCAAATCAGAGTGCCACTTTGCGGTTGTCTAATCAGCGTGAACTGCCCCCTGCTGAGGTCGACAGTATCAAAGGGAATGGACGAGAGGGATATAAAGGTACGTTTTAATGCCCGAGGCACATGTAAGGAACGCCTCTGATATCGAATTAGTCTCGTATAAGTCGACCTTGGTGGGCTGGAAGAAACGTGCTTCGGCTGTTGAAGACTCGGAGTCTTCAACAAATAAGCGGACTGTCGGAGGTGGCAATCGTCACGGGTCCGATTCGGAACAACAGCAATCCTCCCCCGGAGATGTGATGGGCCCAGGGAATCAACACCAAGATATGTACACGCGTAGTTCTTCGACTGTCTTAAGCAGCATCCCAGTCAGAACGTCTAGCACTCCGAAGCTGGCAATTCCAGAGGCGACAGACGTGGAAGAGGTCTGCCCCTGCAACGTCTGCGGGCATGAGTGTAAAGTTCTGTCTGATGGATGTTCGCTTCCAAAGCTATGTCTTGTGAGTACTTCCCCTGAAAACGAGATCTTCGTGGGCTAACCCAAGTAGCAACGTCGCTATGGAGACGACTGCCACCCTCTCGAGCAACGCGGCTTGCGTCCGACCTGTTTGAATTACCTATACACGCAGCCATGCGGTGATATACTTGACGGAAAGTGCGATTTTGGTCATGACCGTGTTGAAGAGAGGAGACGCCTCCTTGGCCCGGGACACCCTTGCAAGCACCATTAGTTTGGCTGCACGCATGGCCGTAAGCTCGGAATTGGCCTTCCTCTATACTAAGAGGTAGGTTGTGTAGTTTGTGGGGTGAAAATTGGCTTTTGCATAAAATCCAGTTCTGGGTCCTTCGCTCGAATGCTCTTTTTTCTTATGAGGACTGAGCCTTTGATGTATGTACACTAGCCAAATCCAAAATGATGTCTCTTCTCTCTCCCGCCACTCAACCTCTCACCAGTCATGATTCTTCCCATATTCTGACTTCTCCGCCGGCGAGCTTGGATCAGTACTGCCCACGCGATGTCTCACGCCACACGTGTGGAGTGCCTGGAAGATGTTTTAGAATTTCCTTTGCTGGGTAAGTACTCCTATCGATAAACACGGCTAACGCTGATCTGATGTGTCCGTAAAGTGCCAGCATTATGACGATGTCTGCCACCTCACCTACAAGCACGACGTGCTTCCCACTCGCATTGACTTCGTCTACACCGGGAGATGCACATGTGCAGACAGCGCGAATGGTGCATGCCTGTGTGGTCACAACCTTGCTGATGAGCGAAGACACATTGGCCTGGTACACGATTGTACTGATCATCAGTCCGGAGTGATGCGCATGTACTGCTTGAAGGAATTCGCAGATGATGTAAGGCGGATGGCGGTATACGTGTGTTTGCTCTAACTGCGAGGTTAGATTGTTCTCATTAGCGACAAACGGTGCGGTATGAAGGATACCTCTTGGCTTTTGAATTAAACTTAATACCCCAGATGACCCGATAGAAGCTGCGCAAGACCAGCTGTATAACGAGCTGTGACGCAAGTGAGCAAACATTTGTTAGCTATATTAACGACGAGGCAAGCACTCTTAAGAGTATGTGCAGTTTCTATCTCAATATTTTTTGAGCACTCCTTTTCCCGAACGTGCTGGGTTCTCTAACAACGATGAAGAATGCAGCTTTGCTGGAGAATCCACTGATCAAGAGAGTAATCTTGCTTTATATTCTATTTTCTATGTATCTTCGATCGTTGGCAACGATCTAGTGATTGAAGCTCCTCTAAAATGGTGATAGATAGTATATACATACATTGCTCACCTTAATCTTTATAGTTTAAGTACCCTTATATCAGGCTATTGGACGTCTTGGGAAATACATTAAGAGCTCAGGCGCGCAGTACGCTGATGGAGTAGCAAGTCCCTTTGGAGGGCCAGATGTCTCGAATGATTCCCCGAAGTCAACTATGGCAATTTGGTCCTTGAATAATTGGCGATTGACTTTGTGCCAAGCTACTGTTGCTACCTGGTACTCTGGAGCCGTTGGAGCAGGATCTTCGCCGGAAGTAGTTTCAACATACTCCAAAAGGGGCTCTCCTAGCTCTTCCATCACTTCATCTTCGCTAAGATGGTCGATATTCGTAACTTGAAGCAGTATGTTTGCTGGGCGGAAGTCTGAAAGCTTAGTTAGTCACTTCTTCGCTAATATCAATACTTCAAGGGAGTAAAGATGGACTGACCACCATGATATAACCCTCTACTGTGGAGAAAGTGGAGCCCTTGAGTAGCTTGTGCCGCAAGCCCTCTCAAAATCGTGCCAGATCCTTGAAAAATATCCCATGCATGATCTACGTGGGGTCCTAAGACCGGTAGAACCAGGCAAAGATGTCGTCCATTCGGGCCCTCAATCTAGAAATGCCCTCGAGCTAGACAAAGATATTCAAATCCCGGCTCTCCAGGTTCGTCGTTCTCGAGACTCGCTATTCTTAGCTCCCCGCAATCTTCACGAGATTCGTCCGCGATCATGATCTTCACAGCAACGTAGTTGCTCATCTGAAGGTCTCGGCAAAGCCAGACGGTTGCTAGTCCACCATGGCCAAGCTTATGCATAACTCCATATTGACCGTGGTAGAGCAGATCTCCAAGATGCACAGGATGGAATCCACCGACGATGTAATCTTCCGTATCCTCCATGTCATCGGAGAACCGGATTTTGTAACTTGGCGGTACCCATGAATGCTCGAGGCTGTTAGATGACGGGGAGCGCCCAACATTTTCGGAGTAGTCTTCGGTGGTCTCCATTGGAGGTATCGCAGAAATTTCCAGAACTTACGCAAGAAAAATGGTCCGAAGTAGCGAAATGTGATAATAGACGTTGCATCGATGCCTGACAAACTTCACTGTGCCGCAGCGCTTATTCCAACACAGCCCCGGTACCTGCACCCTGGTAGTTCCATCAAGTGAGCGCTAAGAATTTATGATTGGACATAGCGCCACCGTTTATGAGCCTCTAATCAGGCCCGTATTGAAAATTTTGATGGTTGAGATGAGTTGTGTTAGATGTCGAGGACAAAGTGCGAAACGCTTGACGTTGAAGAGGCCCGTAAGTGATGTCCCTAGAATTACGCACGGCATGATGAAATGTATGTACACCACTCAACCACTTCTAGAGCTCTAAGTCCAATTTCTCCTCCATCAGAGCATGAGTCTTTCATTCTACGGATAGAACGAAAAAGTCTAACCTCCCTATTGCTATGATAATCTCCCTTGTGCACTGCCAAAAGTCAGAAAGTAGTATATTGGCACTCTTACACCACCGCCTCAAGTCCCCTTACCTTTTTGAGAACGACCCAACACGATGGAACTATTGTAGGCTGCAAAACAGACCCCAGGATGGTGATACCTCCACTCTAGAACTGAGTCACTAAGCCCCTTCAGCAAGCTTCAAATCGAGCCCCTACGTCCTTCAACTTGATCACTACGACAAAAGTCCGAAGCACCTCCTGCCCTTATACGATTCACAATACCATGATGTCAAGTTCCCCAAGTTTCAGGTCAGACCCAGAGGCTCCCCATGTTAACCACTACGATACGAATCTCCACTTTTCTACCCCTCTCAAATCTCCCCACAGAATCAAGGTCCAGCATGACAGTACCTGCACCGCACATGCCCACACCGACACGCCGCGCGTACACCTATCTTCCCGACCAACCAAGTCGCGCATTCGCAGCACCTGTAGTAGAAGACCGCCGGCAGCCCGTGTGGTCGTTCGCCCGGCATCGGCATTTTGGGGCCAGAGAGCTCGTGGGATGGAGTTGCTTGTTCAAAGCTGATAGTTCTCTCGGTTGCCGTCTGTTTGGGTGTAGGGTTTGGCGTTTGGCATGGAGATGTTGGAGGGTGGATTTATTGGTAACGGTGCGGGCGCTCTTAGCGATGGAGTGAAGGCCGAAGGTGATGGGAACGGGGACAGCGCATGCCAGCGCACTGACGGGCGGCATCAGAGGCCGCGACAGGCATGTGAAGATATTTTGCGACAGAATTCCTTGTCAGAGGAGAGTAGATTGGCAAGGGAACATAATTAGCGAGAGTCTCAATATTCCCCCCAGGATCATACCGTGGCTCTCACTACAGTGACAAGTCACAAGTCTGTTCACACGCGCTTACCACTGTTTGGGGGGAGTGCCCCCATAGAATTTTTAAAACTTGGGCGCGATGTCAAATTCTAAGTAGTGCAAATCTGACTGGCTCTTGACTAACTGGTTGCTTGCTAGCTGGGCTGCTCCTCATAGTGGTGTCGAGTGAACAAGATTGAAGTCAGGCAGTGATAAATCCGTGTGCCCAGACTTATGGCCTAGTACTGTACTTGAAGCAGGACGACGGGCAACATTTGAAAGCAGACTTGTTCAACCAGAGAGAAAAGGCCTTTGATAGTGAAGTAATTTATAAGGAGTAGGCTTCATAGAAAGTCTGCAAGCATAGCATGCCAGCGAAACTACAAAGCGCCCAGTACCTGATCATCTGCCCAGTACCTGATCATCGCGCAGTACCTGATCATCCGCCCAGCTTTCCTCATACCCGCCATCGCAACAGCCCATAGTCTGAAACTTACCCGATGAACAGTCCAGGCTAATGATTACCGCATTGGTGCTCGTCATGGATCCGTTTCCGCTCAATAGCATTGTCATGGCTCAGACTGGCCTGGCAGTACCTGTCATGGCTGTCTTGCTATGAAAAGACGACGGATTAGCTCAGCGATAAAAGTCGTGGGTGGGGAGGTGTGTGTTGGATACTAACCACACAGAGCTTTGGTTTGTTGCATTGTCCATACATGTTGCACTTGTGTCCAGAGACGGTGCAAGGGCAATAGTCAGCCAAAGTAGATGCTGCGGTGGCTTTTGAGTTTGGCTTCGTCGCCGAACGCTTGTGTGTCGGGGAAGGGAGTGAAGGTAGATTCGGACGAGTTTTCCTTCATATTCCAAGTGATCTTTTGACCCCAAATTATCCGCAATACCGTATGCTCCAACGATATCAGCTCCTTCGGTCTACCCCATCCTACTCGCTCAATCCCCGCGTCCCTCCCTCATTCTAATAAATTTCAATATCTTCACCCTCGGACGCAATACACTTCATCGGCAGAATTCCCGCCCCAACCCTCTCCCACCTCGACCTCCTAGCCTCCCCACCCCCCGCGTTCGCCACAACCAGCACATAACAATTTCTATCCTCTGTCTTCGCCCCTTGCTGCTTCTGCCGCCCCAATACCACACATAGTGTCTCTAACTTCTCCGACCCCCCCGGCGTATCTAACACCAGCCTGCCCCCTCCCACATCTGCAGCTCCAGTATCATACTCTCGCACCACCGCCCTCAATGCTCTCCCCACACGCTCATCATCTTCTACGATCTCCGTTCTCGCTCCTCCAGCGACCGCTACCGCCTTCGATTCCAACCAATGCAACGTCACATCCTCCCACTCCACCTGCCCAAACTCTATTCCCAAGTAGTCGATGCCGCCGGTATACGCCATCCAGCTCCAGCTGGGAACGCCGCCGCGTTCAGGAGGGAAGTTGATGCGATGCAGTGTCGCTTCGTCATCGCCACGGTGCCAGAGCAGACTGCGGCATAGGAGCCCCTTGTTGGGGCCCTGGTCGAAGACGCCAAAGCCACCGCGGGCTTGCATGGTGCGCAGTAGGCGGATTTCGAGTCCGCGGATGGCTAGAGGGCGGTCGGCGGGGTTGACGAGAAGGAGGCGCGAGTACGTGGCGTAGAGATCTTGGTATCGCAGGATGCGCTCGCCAAAAGGCGCAGCCTCGACAAGTTGGGGAAAATTGGGGTCCCCGAGCAAGGCGGCGAGGTTGCTGGTTGGAAATGGCGATTAGTTTGGTTTGTAGGATTGAGAGAGAAGAGTTTCACGCAGAGGACAAAAAGAGCGGTACACCAGACAGCCGAATCTAATCTTGGCCAAGGGCTACTATTGAGCAAGGCATCGTGTTTCAAGGCTTCCAAAGTCAGCTGCTGTTATTGTACTAACACTGCTTGGGTGCACCAGGGGTTCAAAAAAGATTCTGTGTGAATGTCACGTTTAGAAGTGCATGAATTGGAGAACAATTCACAAGCTTCAAAACTTGGCATCCACCCTGGAATCCTCTTCCACTCCTGAGGCACCCCATAATGTGTTATTACGACAACAATGGCAAACCTTGGAGACCGCAAACTACAGTGTACCACTTTTTCTGTCATCCGCGTGAGTATTAGTGGGAATTATGTAGAAACTCACTTGTTCATCCTCATCCCCGTCTCGCAGCGAACTCCCTCGCCACATTCCCAGTACGTTTGGTGCTCGGTGAAAAATATAGTCCGACGAGCGAGCGCATGTTCCTGCAGTATCCAAGCGCGCTGATTTAACGCACCCTCCAGCACATGGCTCTCGAAATCGTCGATCATCTCACATATGTAGAAGAATGCTCCGCCATCGCGGCGCAGGGCGACATAGTCTCGTACGTTCCGCGGCTGGAGGAAACCTGAAAAGTGATCAGAGGCACAATTGGCTTGAATGACACAGTAGGCTCCGCTGAAGACCTCTTCCATGCGCTTAACCTCTTGGATGAAGTCGCCATCTCTTCCTTGGATGATACAAACGCAGTCGATCCAAAGGTACCGGCGGCCGAGAGCGCGGGTGACAACCACGGCGTCCCTGAATGTGCCGGCGAGGGTCTTCAAGTTTATACCTTTGATGTGTTCCGCGAGATTGTTGCGTGTGGTTACAAAATGGGGACTAGGCCCCCATGGATGGGACAAAGCTACCCATTCTCCACTGTCGTTAGCACCCGTTTCCAGGAGGCGGACCGTGGTGTCACCAGCCTTGCCGACGTCGATGAGCCTGGTCGGCAGCTTCCTCTTGTCGTTGAATCTACTATCATGTTTAGGTGGCTGACAAGTAGAGTGCTTATGGTTGTCGTCGCAATTGTTCAGCCATTGCCGGATAACTTCGAGGTGAGCCGGCTGTCCGGCTTTGGGAAGTTCAGCATGACCGATCTGGATATGGTCGTCGATCCTCGTGTTCAAATCTAAACCCTCAATTATCAGCAGGAAGACGAAATTTGATGATACAAACGATTGGCACCCGGCGGACAGAATAAGCGGTACACTCAGCGGCCCAATCTAACCTTGGCAAAGGCTACCATTGAGCAGGCGGCGGATTCTAGGGCTTCCGAAGTCCGCTATTGCTATAGTGTTGCTACTGACTGAGGTGCCCTAAAGGTGCGGAAAAATCCTGGGTGGAAGTAGTTTAGGTTCAAGGAGCTAAATGCCGGCCCTAATTCACGGGCTTCAAAACTTGACAGTCGACTAAAGTTTCTTCCACGTCTACCTCTGAGGCACCTCAGATAGTGTCAAACACTATAGCAGCGGCAAACGCCGTAGGGCATGAACTACAGTGTACCGCTTTTTCTGTCATCCACGTGACTGGATTAGAAGGCTCACCAGGGCTGCGGAGTAATGAGAGCACATTCGTATTTCCCCCATTCATTTTGAGAGAAGACTCGACTCTGCCAAACTGCACGGTCGGAAATGTTGTGCCGCTATGTTTTTCGCATGTTCTCCAGAACAATCCACACAAGCCACACTCTTTCAATGTAGCCCTAGCCTTTAGGCTTCGCACTTCGTAGGTTATGCTGAATCCTGGGCTCCACAGGTCGTCCCTAACATACTTACATTGGCTGCAGAGACGTAACGCTTCATGATTTTGGGCAGATTCATATGAGCTAGAGCCTTCAAAAGTAGCGACGTGGCTAGCGAGAAGCCTGGAGGCAAACTTGTTGTCGACATGAATTTCCCAGTCGTTGTCGAGCTGCGCGAAGTCGCGAATGATTAATGAGTTACCTTAAGTCTCATCGTAGAAAGGATACATACTCTCTATAGTCATCACCATTAGCATCATTATCATGAAGGCAAGGTTCAATAGCGGAGCTTACTGGCTAATGCGCAGAAGGGATGGAATGGTCAGTACTCGAAGGCTAAATCGTGGTCAAGATGTTACTCACATGCTGGAGCAATGATATCAGCAACTAATAAGCAAGGTGAGGTCAGGGTTACTTACTGCCTACGAAAAACGACATAAGTCACGTGGTCAGTACATTTGCGCAGCACGATCGACTCAACTTACATACTACCAAAGGTCAGACTAGGCAGGCAATATCAATCTAAAGGGGTTATACTTACGTCCTAATGAATTGAAAATTGTCACCTCAGTAAGCTGGGTCTGCTAATGGGGGAGATCGTGAACGACGTACCACCTGCAGTCATCGGGCCATGTAAGTAAGGGTTTTCAGATGTTGAGAACGGGAAAGGGAAGCGGCATTTCATACTATTTCTGTCGGTGCGACAAGGCCTTTGGAAGCTAATAGATCACTGATCGACAAGGCTGTAGATTCCGTTCTGTACTCCGTCTCTCCTTGCGTTAGACTATTCGAAGGGTCATCAGGACTCTCAGGAGGCGGGAGTCGCGGTGCATCTGGAGACCAATAGTTATCGCTTTCGTAGTCACCTACCAAGATGTTTTCCAGGCGATTTCGCAAATCAGTGGCAAGAAATCTTACGTCACGTCTAATCTCAGGCTCCGGTAGTAGGGGAACTCTGACAGGCTCGGTAATTTCGAGTGAGGGAATAGGCATGCCTCGTAATGGTGTTTCCTGTGGATCTGAGGGTTCCAGCAAGACGGGCTCGTCGGGCTCGTCGGGGAGTTGCTTGTGCGGGCGTGCATCTAGAGAAAAAGGGTTAAAGAGCGCTTCCTGCGGATTCATTAGGTTCGAGCCCATCCGTCGCGGGAGATTCACAACGAGGAGGCCGGTTTTGACAACTTCGAGGAGATCGCCTAGTGCAGTAGTGCCAGCCTGGCAGGCGGGATCCTTTGCCATATGTTCCATCCACTGTACTGCGACGCTGTGCACCCTGGCTATCTTTGTTCCACTTTCGTCCTGGCTGATTTGGTAAAAGGGTGCTCTCTCTCCACCTAAGTTGAATCTGAGCCTCTTGACTTCAGCCCAGCCATAGAGAAGCCAAATAATAAACTCTAGAGTGATGCAGCCCATGGCCCAGACATCGTAGAGCCGGGAGCGGCGCTTTGGCGTCTGGCCGAAATATATTCCTCTCACGCCAGTCTCAACTTCTGGCGCAGCGTACCGCAGGGTACCCCATTGAGATGTGGTCTGTTCAGCTCGCATCTCTGTGCCGATATTGTTCTGCTTAGCTATGCCCCAGTCGCCAATCTTGAGTCTCCCAATCTCGTCAAGGTCCTGAAACCACAGAATGTTCTCCGGTTTCAGATCCCCATGTCGAATAGATGCCCCGGATGTGTTGAGGTAATGGGCTGCACACAGCGCCTTGGCAAGACCAAGTAACTGCTTGAGTACAGCTTTCACAAACGATGCCTGGAGGGTAGGCTGGGGAGTGGCTTTCCAAAAATCACAAAGATTTCCACCATTGGCCCACTCAAACATTAGACAATAATCTTCCCGATCCGCCTGACGGCGGCTAAAGGCCGTGATGAAGCGGACAATGTGATCCTGATTGAGTGAATTCAACATCACCAGAGTCTTCACCTCCCTTTCCCAGTTGGCGACTACCTTCTCTACCGAGCGCATTTCTTTGACTGCAAAGAAATCAGGACAAGACTTCCCCTAGTTGGAGTCAGTAAGCGCTATATATCATGATAATACTTTACATATTTAAATCCTCTCACCGGATTCAATGGGTCCTTGAAGTGGTGGGGATGGATCTCATATTTGTAGACCTGACCGAAAGAGCCATTTACGATATCGTGCTTTCTGGTGAAGGGAAGGACGGCATTCGGATGAAGGTCATGGTTGAATATGGCGGTAGAGAATACGGGTGCTAGGAATGACCATTGCTCCTCGCAGAACTTGTTGATCCTCCTTAAATTCCAAATTCTGCGTTTTTGATCAACCGAATTTTCGAGGCGAGCGAGAACATTCAGAGAGACGTCCTGAGTATACGCAATCGGCAGTTTTCGGTCGTTGATCCCGTGCTCTTTACACAACAACATGGCCTTTCGGAGTTTGGCGTCCTCCAAGCCGATGTAAATTGAAATGGCAAAGACTCTCCTCGCATATGCCAAGACGAAATCAGCCAGCGATTCATCATCAACGTTTGGCCCCTCTACCTCCATAGCTTCGAAAACCGAATCCCTGTTGAGAATCATGTCTAGGGTTCCTTCGGGAAGGAACTTGCGTACGGAGCTGTCGAAGACGCTGTGCCTGATGTGACTATAGAGGGTGTTACTAAAAAGCTCATCTTCCTGTGCAGTAGTTCCGGGTATGAACTTGTCTGTTCCATAAGTTGTGTTATAGAAGGCGGTCTCTGCACTGCGATGATGGAGGGTGACATTCATTACGTCCCCGTCGGGCTGAGCAGCCAGTAGCGATAACAAAGCTTCTTTATTAGCCACTCCGTATTGTTTGCAAGCGAAAGCCTCAATATGTTTGTCCTTGAGTAGTTCGAGGTCATCATGAAGTGGTTCATGTTGAGCGGCAATGACAGGAATACGTCCGTATTGTTCCAGTCGGTCTGGCTCAGAATTTGACGTTTCCTCGCTGTACCGTTCATCCTGTGTATTTTCGAAGGGTGGCAAGGAGTCTCGGGCTTCTCTTACGGTTTCTCGAGTATTCTCTTTAGAGTCCATAGTGTCGGTCTTTATGTCCTCAGACCGCCCGCCTGCGTCATCCGGCAACGGTATTTCATCTGGCAACGGTAAAGAGCGCAATGCGAACTCTCGCAAATGCCCACTAACATGGCCCTCAATATCTCCGTCTGATATGGAACAAAATGGACAGTGCTCAAGGGTAGGAGTGATTGGTTGAGCACTGATTTCCAGAATGAAAGGTAGCTGCTTGTCTGAGAAGCTACCAGCGTGGACGGTCCTCATATGGGTCTCGAAATCTTCGGATGTTTTGCATAACAATGGCTCATGGCCTGTAGCAAAGCACTGCCATCTCATCCGATGTCGAGTGCTCATATGCGACAGCCATTCCTTGCTGGAGGAGTAAATTTCATAGGGGCTGTCGCATTCTTTGAATACGCAAAAATATGCGTCCAGGTCTTTCTTGACATGTGCCCTGTGATAAAGTCAGATATTAATAGAGTAGATGTATATGTGCCTTGGAAGAAGGCGTCGGGACCCTTACGCCCACGTCATATGATTCAAGGCTTCGCGGCTCGGAAGAATTAAACAGCAATAAGGGCACACGAAGTCTTCTCCCATGCTAGCTGCCCTTGGAGGTAATGGAAATGGCATGCCGTCCTCGTTTCTCCAGGGGGCAGAAGTCGCACGAGAAAGAGTGCCGTAAATATCCACGTTAACTGTGGTTGCCGGCCGAGGATTCTCCGGGGGTGTTGTGATCCGTTCGATCATCGGTCTGGGCGTAACCTTCAAAGGTTTTGGCTGCCGCTGCTGTATGATTGATGTCTGTTCTGAAGTGATTGGATTCTGGGAGTTGGTAGGTGTGTCCACTTTCCTGGCTGCATAGTGCACTTTTGATATGGCCCAGCTCATCTGGCGTGATCTCCTATACAGGATTCGTATATGGCGTGTAATCATTGTCTCGATTAGCCTGTCCCTCAGGTTCTCATCAAGATCCTCGGTGTTATGTTTGACAAAGTACTTGTAGACATTCCTTAGTCCAGTGGTCATCTCATCTGTCAGCTCTTGGGACTCGTTTCCCTTGGAATCCCTCAAAAGGAAGACTTTAGCTCGTCTGTTTTGGTTGACAAAGCTGGCTTTTCTAACCCAATTCGAGAGCCTGTGTAACCAATCAACGCTCTCGTGGATTGATTCAAGCGTTTCCTTCACATCCCATTTCTCAAACGAGGCATTTGCATCTTCGGCCTCAGGAGTGGCGACAGGGCTGGAAGATTGCTCTGCTCCCCCAACAGCCTGGTCTTCTCGGACGTCTTTCGCCTCCACATCTTCGCAAACTTGAAAGAGGGGTCGTTAGTGCTAAGACTAGACATCAACAAGCCCATACTAAAAACGTACGCTGACCGAGTCGACATTCAATCGTGTCAAGCTGTCTCAGGAACAGCTCTTTTACCTCGGGGAGTTCTCTAACTCGGAAATCCAGCGATGCATGGACTTCTGCAAAGACGCCAATGTTGGAGGCCCAGAGCTTGAACCGAGCAAACTCGTCCTCGAAGCTGGCCTTGACACGGCTGGCATTGTCGTGTGGTAACAAAGACACTGTGTTAGGGCCTTGCGAGAAGAGCTTGAAACATCTTTCTGAACACTCGCCGATGGTGCTTGGCGGATCGGCTGCCCCAACCATGGCAGTTTGAGACCCAACCTAGGAGCCTTGGTATCTAGAATCTCGATGAGCTAAGACTGACCAAGTTGTTGAATCTCTCATGAGCGAACAAGGCGAGCATAGAGATGGAATGAGCAAGGGGCGGAGAGGAAATCCTCGCCAAGTCGATGTCGTTGCTTGTTCTTCCTACCGCGGTAGGAGAGCGGACACGAGTCTTCGGACGGGTCTGATCGGGAGCGCGTCTCAGCCTTGTCGCATGCTGGATATCTCTTGGAGGTCGTTCTTTGAGTGTACCGAATCCACCTGGCCTGGGCAGCGTGCGCGGCTTCACGGCATTTTGCGGATGTCATCCATATGGTGGCTGTTCGAGCGCAGCTGGCGAGATGTCGGAAGGGGAGCTCCGACGGCTTTCGATTGATCTCGTGCATCGGTCGGGGCTGCGCTGAGGCGGGCTTGCCGGTGCTGGCTCCCAGGTGCCTGAGCCAATGGGAATGGGTGTCTTATCGACGCAATGCTACTGGCGTTTCTACTGCATATTGGCCCCCACATCACGCCAAATCGCCCGCAGAGCTCGAGAACTCGATTAGCAGGTTGGCATCCTACGTTGTGTGCAGCAAAAGCTTGCTTTTGGGCTTCTATCGAGGTTACAGCAACCGACTCCCTACTACAGCTATATTGTAGAACTGAAGTAATTGACGCTCTGGACTATGAGGGCCTAATCGCCACTCCACTCGAGTTGAAAAGGCGTCCATTTCAACGATGCATAGCAAATATTTTGTCCACATGTTGCCCAGAGAAATCTGCATCCAAATGGACGGGCGCGTGGTGGTTGGCTGGCTAGAATAAGTGCCTCGCTGCCGCCCAGGTCTTGCGTATTCTAACGCAGCTGCTCCCCAACTCTCCGCGCCATCCCTATTCCAAAGCGCAGTCCTCATGGTGCGAGCGCGTGCATTTCACGTATTGGATGAGACCCGGTGCGACACTCCCATCACTGGATTCTCTTGGGTCTAATACGAGGCTTCGGGGCTTGTGGCCGCCCGCTCTCGCCGCATCGCTGCCATGGGGAACGTACTCGGCCGTGCGACCGGAGATGGCGTGGAGACGACCAACAATTTACAACTCGTCCAATCCGTTCTTCCAGTAGTGGGTGATTTGAGCAGCAAACTGGACCGCGAGACTGATAAGAGGGACAAGAGATACGGCTACCTAGGCAATATTCAGACATCGGTTCGTATCCTCGCCGCCCACCTGAAGGAGATTGAGGAAAATGGACACGCTGCATCGTTCGAAACGGAAATTAACCAAATAGCCGACTGTCTTGAAGAGATTTTCAGCGACCAGGTGGTCAAGCTCTCCAAGCTAAAAGTGGGTGATGCAAAATTGGCGCTGACAAGCCGTTGACCAGTACGCAGGCGTCCCACCACCGCCGGCTCCATGCAGTCATTGAGATTGCCTCGCCAAGTTACGGTTTGGAGCCCAACATGAAGCACCTGTCCGACTTTTCCGTCTTGAACGACATGGACGCATGGGGCAAACTGCAGCGCAACCTGAAGTCTCTTACCGACAAATTGCAATCGTACGGAGAGAACGTAGACGAAGTAGACGAGCAAAAGTTGCCCATGACCTCGCAAGAGCCGGACAAGAGCGTCTGCGACTTTGTAAGCCGGGTTTTTGAGGCCGCTGTATGCGACCGCCACGCGACGCCCAAACGCGCTGTCAGGCTTAGAATTGGCACGTACAAGAAGGGGAACTTGAAACCGAAATCTAATTCTGTATGTGTCTTACTCGCCCAAGATAAGAAACCTCTGCAGTGGCATGAGCTTCATATCCATGACCAATTACAGCCAAAGTAAGTTTAAGAGTACGAGAGATAGTCTTTCAATCCTCTGACAAAGTAACGCAGAGAAATATCGAAGTCTTCCAAGGCTGAACATGCGCCAAATCAAGCGGAGGGTTGTCATCCACACATGCCTGGAAGCACCTCGTGTGTTTGCGACTACCTCAAGGCAAATACCAGACCAGATTCCATGCGGTTAGATCTTGTTCTCAACCATGATACATTGAACACGTCAGGCGTCCTCGCCATTAGACGGAAATTCGAGCCGGAATCTCTTCAAGAGCAAACTAGTCTAAAAACTCTGCTTTCGGTCCAAAATAAACCCTGGACAGAAAGTTCTAAATGGGCTCTCGCCGTAGTTCTTGCTCATAGCTTTCTTTACTTGTACAATGGTTCTCGAACAAAAGGGCAATGGCGACGGGAAAACATACATTTCTTCAACGACGGAGCTCACATTCCCTTGCAACCGTTCTTTGGCATATCGTTATCTCCAAGCAAGGAAGAAGCAAGCCAAGATACGATCAGGTTCCATCAACACCCCGAAATTGTCGAACTTGGAGTCATTCTCCTGGAAATCCACCTGGGACAGAGGTTGGAATCTTTTCTCAAAAATAGCCAGGATATTGAGACGGACAATGACTTCTACTTGAGCGCTTGTGAAGCCTTTGGAATGGAGAAGGTTGGTATCATCTCTAGAAGGTACCAAAAGGCGATTGAGGCATGTCTAACGCCAGCAAATTTCGCCAGCGCCGGTAGCGATGCTGAAAAGCTGCGGTCCATACTGTTTCAAAAAATTGTTCAACCACTTGACGAAGAGCTGGAACAAAATTTACCGGAATTTCTGAATTCTGACGACCTGGATGAATACGCGGCAAAAAAGTGTGACCTTTCATTGTCTATGCTATCGTCGAGCCAGCGTTCCGCCAACGCCAGTCGTTCTTTGCAACCCCAACAGGACGATGTATATGTTGCTGCTCAATACAACGCATTGCTTCAGCTGCAGCCGCTGGGCCATGCCAAAGCCAACCAAACCCAGGATGGGTATGGGAGAGATGTCATGGACACCGAACTTCTCGACAAAGTAACGAATCGAAGTAACGATTTGCGTTGGTGAGTAGAGCCGTTCATCGCTTCGAGCTATGGCACTTGCAGTAACAGCTGGCTAACCTCGCCTTAGGAACAAAGGTGTTGTAACATGGGCAGACGAATCTCCGACAGGTGAATTACACATGAGTATGACAACACCAGTACAGCTGTGCGAAAACTGACACTAGTATGCTAGACTCAAAGTCTGGCCTCATCTATTCGGAGCGGCGCTTTGACGAGGTAGTCAGCCCTACCGCAATGCTCTCTGACGCGAGGATTCCTGATAAGGACAAAAGGTCGGCGCCTTCTTCCCCTCCGCGACTTAGAAAACAGAAGTCGTTAGCTGACAATCCTGGTCTATGCAGAAGAATAAACGACTGGACAGTGTGGCTCAACGACTTCAAGAGGTTCCGACAGCAAATTCTCCCAGACGCGGTAGATCCAGAGAACCAGCAGCGAATACGAGTTACTGTGATTGACACGGGCATTGACGGGTCACACCCTTATATGCAGCTAAAAGGATGGAGAAGTCAGGACGAGAATGCTATAACGGACGATCAGGATGATCCAGTGCATCTCTTTTGCGATTTTGTTGAGCCGGATTCCGCTCGTAAACATGAACCTATCGATGAAGATGGCCATGGCACGTTCATTGCCGGCATTTTGCTACAAGCGGCGCCTGATATCGAGTTATCCATTGCAAGAATCGGAGCGACGCGAGAGTCAATAAAGAATGACATTCAAATTGGCAAAAAAATTGGGGATGTAAGATGTTCACCTATCTTGAGACTAGAGAGCGTTGATACTAATGCATTTTTCTTGTATATTTAGGCCATTACACATGCCATCGAGGAATGGAAGACAGAGATAATTTCCATATCGTTTGGCAATGAGGATATGTCATGGGAGATTCGCGATGCTATCGAGAAAGCTATCAAACAGAATGTTATCGTCCTTGCTGCTGCCGGCAATTCCGGTAACCGTAAAGGCATTCCATATCCCGCCGTGGAGGATGATGTTTTCAAAATCTTTGCGTCCAAATCGAATGGCTACGCGGCAGGCTTTAGCCCCCCGCCGAGCCACGCTCCAGATTACAGCTACTTCATCTATGGCGATGGGGTAGTATCCACGTGGCCGTCAAGTTTGCTGGAGCAAGCGAAGAGCAACGGGCTCGAAGTCTTCCCCTACAATTACGAAGGAGTAGAGGAGCATTCGAAAAATGCGAGTGGGACATGGACCCTTCTATCTGGTACATCTTTCGCCACACCCCTGGCCGCAGCTTTAGTGGCTATCATCTATCAGTTCCACGACGTCAACAAGTCGTCAAAGTCGCCCATCAGGCTCAGACACGAAAACAAAAGCAACTTCAAATCGCGTAAAGCGGTGCGTGCCATCTTTACTCAGATGAGTCGGACGTCTGATAAAGCCCCGTATAACGTTCTCGAGCCAGCAAGAGGGAAGGATGATAACTTCCTCTTTCGGCCACACAAGTTCACTGGACCGCACAAAGCATCCCCTCTGAACATCTGGGACCAAACGCCAATTCAGTTCTTCTCAAAAAGGCTTACTGATATTCTCTACATAGCTAATGTCTGATGTTCACTGGATTGACTGTGTATGTGTGTATTGGCCAACCCTTGACTTTGCGCGAAGTACCGCGTTTCTTTCACGATGAAAAATGCTGCATGTGTCTTAAAGCTGTATTGTCCCAACCTTTGTGGGAACTGAACCGTACAAGCCTATCTTGTTAATATTTTCAGCTGTTCTAACCCCTAGTCTTGATAACTAGACATACACTATCATCTTCCTCATCAACTGCCTCAAATTTCTTGTCCTTCACGGGTAAAGATTCTCCAAAATCAAGCTCCTCACACAAGACACTCTCAATCTCAAAGGCAGAATCATCGTCCTGACCTTTCCCAATTCCCTCGGAATCAATTTTCCCCTGTGGAAGGCCGTACAGATCACCACCAGCCTTGTTGTCTCCCAGCGCGAATTTGTTGTGCCATGCCACCCTAAGCTTTCGTAGGCGGTATGCAAACACGTAGGCAGCCTCAGGCCTCTCCTCGTACGTCACAGCATTTGATGTGTCTCTACGGATCTCACCGCCCCCTTCGACAACGCCGTTCGGGTCCAGAGTTGCCTTGAGGTTGAGGTTGAGGTTCGAGGAGTCAGATCCATCATACGTGACCATGCCTGGATTCTTTGCAATCTTCAGCCCCACGATCATATACACCGTTTTGCCGAGGCGGCGGTTCTTTTTGAGCCATTCTTCCACCGCTTTGACTTTGGTGGTTCGATCCACATACGTCGGGTCCTCGCTGATTTCGAAAAAGCGCGTCTCGAGAAGTGCCGCTTTCCAAGTCTGCGTTTCGTCCTGAGATTTCCCACCGGATGCCTCAGCCGTCATTATATTGACGACATGAGCGAAGATGCCGACGGACGACTCGCTCGTTTTGGTGTTGGTTGCGCTCCATTCGAGGGATGGCGAGGTGCGAGGCGCGAGGACCCCTTCGAGCGGGAGAGGCTGGGCAAGTCGTTCAAAGGGCTTTCTGGGGTCGGTGATGACCTGGCCTAGCTCGATGTAGTCATTGGGCTTGTAGATCGTTGTGGGGAGAATGAACCAGGTCTTGGGGTACTTCATCTCAACGGACTGAAGAAGCTAGTTTGTCCGTGTGAAATTTTTAGAGCAGATGCTGCTTCAGAAGTGCAGGATTTATAATACTCTAGGCTGCAGTTACCGGAAATTTCCGTAAGAGCGGGGTAGTTCTACAGCCAGTCAAAGTTCACCACGACTTTGCGTGGCTTTTGGTTGCCTTTTCGTCTAAAAGGAGGCAACTTGGATGCAACAAATGATATCTGTTCCTTTCAAATACTATCATGGAAGTATATGAAGTCGAAAGCACTGCTGTCTATATGCTAAGTGTTTTCAACAGCAGAAAATTGAAATCGAGATCAAAATCCGAGGATCACACGTGACTACCACATGACCCTCGAAATCTCTTTCGCAGCTAAAATATACACTAAAGCCATCTCTCCTCCAAGCCAAGTCTCGCAGGGCAGGTCGGAGGTTGGAAGATCGACACCGAATGGAGACCCTCTCCATGGTTGCTCTCTCTAAATGCGGCTATATATAATATAAGTAATTATATTATACTAATTTATATAGCCTTACGTATAGCCTTATATATAAGCTTACGTATAGCTGTATATACAGCTGTATAAGTTGGAAAAAAATACACCGTAGAACGGAGAGGCTATATAGCCATGCTAATTTATATAGCCTTATATATAACCTTATGTACGAGCTTATATACAGCCTCGCGTACAGTATTACGTGTAGAGAGACGTAAATATAAATGCCTAGAGGATGCTCCGTACTACTTCAAGCTAATCAGAAGGTGGTGAAGCGCCAAAAGGAGGGGGGTGTGTGTGGAGTGAAAAAGGGGTGTGCGTGGAGTGAAAAAGGGGTGTGCGTGGAGTTAAAAGGAGGTGTGTAGTTAGTGGCCCCCAAAGTCTATTAAGGCGGAAGAAATTAAGCTTTAAAAGTAATAGGAACAGCGTTATAGAAAGCGTTAATAGAAGTAAAAGGCTATTATAATTGCTAAAAGGAAGCGTATACGGGCGTAGAATAAAGCCTTAGGAATTAAGACACTATAATATAGGCGTCCTGTTAAGTAATTTACTATATATTGATTTTGGTGCGGTTAAGCTTGTGGTGCGGCTCAGCTGGCGGCCCCCCTCTACGAGGGGGGTAGAAAGCGCCGGGTATTGGTTTGTCGCTCCTGGGGGTACACCGAAAAGTATATAGCACTCTCAACCCGACCCAACGGCTAATGTAGTGTAGATTGGGCTACATTTTTAACTGTCCAGCGACCCGCTAGCTGGACCACTCCCTACGGCGGCATCGAGATATTAAGGGTGAAGCTTAAGCAGTAGTGTATTCGTGTGCCTAATCCAATGACGTTAGCGTGATATACACTGTCTTGCTAAAAGTCAGTGTACACTCACCTGTCCTGCTTAGGGTATCCCCACAAGCTTTGAAAAAAATTGAACGGTGTGTAAAGTTCGACGCGGTAGAAATTGAGTTACCCCTTGACTGACTATCCATCTGCCCGCTGAGGTACCCCAGACAGTGGCATGGAGCGGTCAAAACGACGCCCACGCAGTGCGATATTAGTCAAGGTGCCTAAATCTCATCACAACACCCGAGGAGCCGATAACAGAAAGTAGTAGAGATTCTCAACCTACAAGCCCCATTTCAGAGATTCCCCTATCTACATCTACAACCCCTTTCCCAAGAGCATAGTAATCCCCCTACTTACACCCCGAACCCCCACCCAAATCCACCCATCCACCTACCCCAACAACTCCCTAACCTGCCCTTCCCCCCCCTCCTCCAACATCTCCCTCGCACCACCCGCCCTCACCACCCTCCCCTTCCCCAACACAACACAAAAATCCGCATTCCGCACCGCCTCCAACCGATGCGCAATCGTAATCACCGTACTCCCGCGCATCTCCTCCCGCAGCACCGTCTGAATCCGCTGCGCCGTCTCCATATCAATACTCGCCGTCGCCTCATCCAGTATAATCACGCTACTCCTGCGCAACATCGCCCGCGCCAGCCCCACGAGCTGCCGCTGCCCCTGGCTCAGCCCGCGTCCGCCCGCATCCACGCGCATGTCGAGTGTCCACCCGTGGCGCTCCGCGATCTTGGCCAGCACGCCCGCGCACGCCGCGTCCGAGTACTCGGCGAGTGGGTCGAGGTTCTGGCGCATGGTGCCCGGGAAGAGGACGGGCTCCTGGGCGAGGAAGGTGACGCGGCGGCGGAGCGCCTGGCGGTCAACGGTCGCGAGGTCGACGTTGTCGATCAGGATGCGGCCGGATTCCGGCACGATGGTCGCGAGGAGGGCGAGGGCGAGGGTGGATTTTCCGGAGCCCGTGCGGCCGATGATGGCGGTGTTGGAGCCCGCGGGGATGCGGAGTGTGATGCCGGCGAGGCTGGGGTCGAGGTGGGGCGCGTAGCGGGCCGTGACGTTCTCGAAGACGATGTCGCCGGTCAGGGAGGGCCACCAGGCGGGCGGCTGGATGGTGCCGAGGGGTTCTTTGTCGAGGTCGAGGAGCTCGACGACGCGCTCGACGGAGACGAAGTCCATTTGGAGGGCGCCGTATTGCTTGCAGAGGATGTGGGTTGATAGGACGACTGGGTGGAGTTGTTAGTATAGGGAAATGCCGAAAGGCTGGCCGTACGTACATTTTGAAGCAGCGATTAGGACAAAGGCGGTCAGGCCGGGAGACACGTTGGTATAGATTGCCAGCAGAGTGAGGATTAGGGTTGCAAATGCAGAGAGGGTATCGAATCGATATGTCAACCATGCCTGGAGACTCCAGTAGAAATGATCCATCTTCTGGAACCTGTCTGTAACTTCAATCACACGTTCTTGAAATCTATGCTGAGCAGAGAACGCTGGAAGACCTGTCAGAATCATAAGAATGATAGTCAGATTCGGTTGTCTTACCTCTAACTGTCGTCAAACCATCTAAGAGAGCACCGAAATTAGACATAAGCGGGCTTAGAGATACCATCTAGATCTTTGTCAGCGTGTCAAACTTGAGAAGAGATTAGGCGTATATACCTCAAGGCGCCGTAAACTTTGCGACGTTGGAAGGAAGCGTCTAAAAATGAGCACAAATGCCGCCGCGAGAGCCAAGGAGAACACGAGGAAGACTGGCGTAACGGACGCAATAATGACGAGCGACGTGATCCAAGAAATAGTAGACCAAGTCGCAGATGCAAACCCAACACTGATGTTCCCGTCGATCGTGTTAATATCAGATGTGAGCCTATTCATGAGGCGACCGACGGGAGTGACATCGTAGAAACGGAATGATGCGTACGCCACACGGTCCATGACATCCCGGAACAGGTGCTTCCCCGTGAAGTAGGTTATGATCTGCATGACTCCTTGAGTGAGGACCAGGAAGAAAGAAATGGTGAACTGGAGCAACGTGAAAACAATGAGCCATGGTATGATGTTATCCTCTGGTGGTGGGAGGCCGTCGTAGATACCGGATAAAGCTTGTTGTTTCACCTGGCCGTCTCGTTCACCCCAAGCTTTGATGAACCAAGTATTTGCGAGATCGAGAACACGATAAGCTGTCATGGTAAGAGCCAAGACGACCCACCATCTCAATTTCCCGCCCTTGATATATTGCCACCAGACGTGCGCTTGGACTCCGCCATGCGCCCGATGCTCTTCCTCAATAAATTTATCGGGGATTGCAGCAAGTTGTTCTTGTTCTCGTCTCTTGACTTCAGCCTCATCCAGAGCTTCTGGGGATTTGACCTTATGTAGGGTGTTCGCCGACTCAGTAAAGTGATCCGACAAAGTTGCTTTTCCTTCCGACATTTCTATCCATTGCTTCGCCAGACCACGGCATAATTCAGTGCGATGTGTCACGAGCACTGTGGTCCGGCCTTCTACTAACGGTCCAGAAAGACATTTGTGAACAATTCTTTCGGCAGTTTGATGATCGAGAGCAGAAATCGGATCGTCGAGAAACAAAATCCGAGACCTGCTATATACCGCTCTTGCCAACGCCACGCGTGCTTTTTGCCCTCCTGATAGGCCCACGCCGTTCTCGCCTACGTTAGAAAGATCTCCGTCTTTGAAGTTGGCCATATCAGCTAGGAGAGCGCACGCATCTAGAACTTCTTTGTATCGAGCGTCTTCGTAGGGCGAGGAGAAAAGAATATTTTCGCGGATGCTCATACTCTGTAGCCAGGGAGTCTGCGTGCAATACCCAATCATCTCGTCCGGCCGGGTAATTTCGCCTCCTGTCTTATCTAGTTCGCCAAGTAGAGCTTGCAATAATGCCGTCTTTCCTGACGCGACTTCTCCGTAGACTACTGTCAATCCTGTTGGGAATGAGAGCGACACATCGTGTAACGTATCTTCATCAGCACCAGGCCACGCAAAAGAAGCATTCTTCAACTCCAGCTGTGTAGTAGTGGTCGGCGGTGTCTCAAAATGTTCCCTGTCCGGCTCGCTCATAAAGTTCTCTATTCGATCGACTGCAACGGCAGCATTCAATAAGACCGTTATCAAGTTGGGTATCTCGCGAAGGTTTTCTTCCAGCATGGCGAAAAGACTAAGAGCTGGAAATGCAATATCTATTCGCAGCGGTAGGCCGGCCAATGTCGTGTAAGCGGCAAACGCGACTACTGGGAAGAGGCCGCTTGCCAGGGAGTTGAAGTAATATATGAATAAGCGGAGAACCCCGGTTACAATTCGAAGGTTTAGCTCATGCTGCCGCGCCTCCATGATATCCGTAAGCCATGTCTCTTGCCAGCCATACCAACGGAGGTGGCGGATTGCTTCGACGAATTGAGATATCTTTTGGAGTTTTCCATCAGTTGCAATTCTACGTTTCCGTTCCCAGCGCACAATGGCGCGAGCAATAAAAGCATTAATAACCTGGGCGAGTATGACTGTTAGCATTCCGAGGAGACATGGCCAACCGAGAATCCTCCAGACAAGAACAATGGATAAGATCATGCCGAGAGGCTTCGTGATGAGGTTAGGAAATTCCCAAAATCTGATAAAAGGGCATCAGCAAGATCTAGCAGGGTAGTCGAGTAGCTTACCTTTGTGCTACCTCATACACATCATTTCTAGAAAGTTATTAGCTTTTAACTTCAATGTTTGGGTCAAGACAGACTAACCTCATCAAATTCAAGATCTTACCCATCGAAGCCGGCTCCTTGACCGTTTCGGGAGCTTTTCCGACATTGATCCATCGGAATGGCAATGAGACAAAATGGGACATCTTATTCCATATCATCTTCGGATAACCTGTTTTGCTGCTCTTATGGGTCGAACTACCGTTCGTTTCGCCATTTGAATGGCTATGCGTATTCCCATTACCATTAGAGCTATCCTCCGACGTGTTCGTGGGCCGAGCAGAGACAATCTTCCTGTTCAGCGTTTTCTCGTAGAGCATCGTGATCATCTCTCCACGAGATCGCTCATACGCGCGCCTACAGAACCAAAGGTTAAACACCGCCGATTGGCTTGCTACTAAGCGTACGAGAAGCGACAAGGCAGCAAACGTGATCGCTGCGCTCCTAGGTGCGTCGCCGTCTTCCATGGACCGGAGAAGTTGCTGTAATAACACCGGTGCCGAAAGGTTCGCAAGAAGCTCCAGAATGCTCAATGAGGTTGTAATTGCAAGGTCAAGCCCGTTTGCTTTTAGTAATCTCCTGATCACGGACCCTCGCAGCTCTCGGAACACATCGTGGAGTCTCCTATGCTTGAATTCATACCCGAGGTCCCAGACGTCTTCGTCGTGAAGCTGTCGTTTCGAGCCCAAAGAAACCAGGGGGGCCATCCAGGATACTGACATCCACTGCCAGGGCGTCAGGTCGTCTTCTGGAGTGCGTAGAGTAGAGTTCGGTGGCGTAAACACAGTGCTGATCTCCTCGTTGGGCAATTCGGGGTCACGCAGCGGCATACAAAGAATGACGATCATCCCTGCAAGCGCTGCAACAGCCCCTACGATAATAGGAGCGTCCTGGCCAGCTAGAGTTGTGTGAGTGCGTGTCAAAATGATACAATCCGAAACGAATAGAGAAAGCCAGAGAATGAGCAACGGTATGAGAGCAGTCCTTGGGTGCTTTAGTATAACCATCGCCAACGAGATGGCCTGTTCGTGTTAGCCGTAGACGAGCATGTAGAGGACCGACGTACCCATGCGAGAACTGAGTAGTTGGCCGTTACACGTCGATAGGGATAGAAAACCGTCGTGATTGACATCGCGAACCCTATGCATGACAGTACCGCAAGGCACCAAGTCCAGAAGCTTGGGCGTCTGCCAGGCACCTCCAGCTCATCGGAGGCTTCCTTGACCTCCGCAACAAATGCCTTCGTCCATTTTGGCCGTGACACTCGGAATTGAGAAACGCAATACGCAAAAACGATCAGTAGCGCTATCACCGCCGGGATCGCAGAGATGACGGGGAGGAAGCAGATATTGAAACGGGCTCTTTGAGGATCCTTTATTGGTATCAAATTAGACACCACAGGCGAATTGACAGACATCGTTCTCGGCTTACCCATATCGAACATCGCGGTGAGTCTTCCGCTAGGAAATAACGCGGTGTAGCATTATATGCCAGCGGCACCTGGTACTCCGCCATCGCGGTCGGATCGAATTGGCGCAAGGGAGGGTGACGACGCAATTCAACATATAACAATCGGACTTCCCTTCCACCATGAACAAAGCAGCAAACGCGGAGGGATCGGATTCGGCTGGATGTGCATTGAGACAAGCGTGGAATGGCTCGTGGGGGACGGCGCGTGCAGTAGTAAGCATAGAGAGGTGAGGGAGAAATATTGTCGATGTTAGAATATCTCACCGCCGCCACCCCGCTTGGGCCTTCTACGGGACAAGTATGCTACAAGGGGAGGTGACCACGACACACGGTGGGGTTGAATCCTTTGACTCCGCAACTCCACTTAAGATCACATGATATATCTAAATTATTTAAGAGTAATGGGATCAAACATATGCTTGACTCCAATAAGACTCTTATTCAAGCCAAGCGTGCCTACAGCATTTAAGAAGCCCTTCTACTAAGCTTAGATAAATATCGTGTCATACATTGGAAGTGCTATTTACTCGTACATTTTGTGACTTAATGTATATTCTGTGACTGCTGATTCACTTATTTCATCACTGCCCTCAAGGCTTCACTTCTGACAGTGCACTTAGACACCCATATCACTCAAGTAGATGGGCATAGAAATCGCACAACAACACCACATCCTTCATCGACTACCTAGTCCAGAAACCCAGCCTGATATCTAACCCCCCACGAGTCCAAGTTTTCCACCATAGCTTTAGCAAAACGCCTCGAAAACGCCTTGATTTCCCTCCGAAATACCCCCCAAAGCCCTAAGGTGATGTACCCGGGTCGTTCGCCAAAGTGAGTGCAACTGCAACTCAACACTTAAAAAAGCTTGGACAAAGGAAAAAGAAGAGAAAGGTGGGAAGGTGCCCAATCCGTGCGCCAAAACAGAACCGCTCGTAATTATAGTACATGAAGGCGTGAGCGTGCATGGGGTCGTGCGCAGAGCTTCCCCGTGTGTGAATGGAGGGGAGAAGTCATTGTCAGCTCTCGTCCATGGCATCAGTCGTAGCTAGCTTATCCAACTCGGTCTCAACTTGCGGGTCCACCTCGGACGGCGCCGCGTGAGGCAGCAAAAGTAGCTTATCTGACTCAGGCTCAACTTTCGGGGCCACCTCAGACGGCGCCATGTGAGCTTGCGAAAGCTCCGTTTCCGTCGCAGAGATATCCATGGGATTAGGAGGGCTTCCAGAAGACTGACCGGACGATTGAGTGCCTTGGTCAAGTTTCTTCTTCCTGCTCATGTAATCGCTCAAGCTGAACTTCTTCCGCGTTGGGCCCGCAACAGCACTAGAAATTGAAGGAGAGACTAAAGCCGTGGGAGGCACCAGAGTGGATGGAGACTGCGCAAGCAAGCCACCAGTTATTACACTGCTGACAGACGCCGGAGTGACGACCGAAGAAGTGACGAGAGTAGGAGTGTTTGAAGAAAAATCAGGAGAGGGAGGGAGTTGAATAGCAAGATCGACGGGTCGTTGATTTTGCGTAGGGGTTGTATGAGTATGAGATGATGCAGATGGCCACGGTGGTGGGGGCGGTACGGGACCTTCTGGATCATTTTCTTTTGACGGTGTTGAGGCATCCCCGACAGTGTCAACCAATGGTAATTGATCCTTCATCTCCACATCCACCTGTTCCGCAGAGCTTGGCACTGGATCCGATTCAGCCGACGGTCCAAATGCCGCAGTTGTAGATGTGTCCTTGGCACGTTGGCCATCCTGATACGTCCCGGGACCACTCCAGACGGCAGTGTCAGGGTTGGCGCTAGCATGCGAAAGCGACGCAGCCGAGCGCGCTACAGGTGTGCTTTCGATGACATCTCGCAGAGCCGGGGATTCAAACTCCTTCTTAACCGAACGACGTTTCTCACGCTGCAGCCTTTCCTCTTTGGCTTGCAGAAGAAGCTTCCTTTTGAACGACATGGGAGGTTGAAACGGGGTTTGGTTCAGCGCCGGCGACATCGGTGGACTCGAATGATTCGTGCCCTCGGTTTGCGTCGAGGCGTCAGCATAAACCGGACGCGGCTTAGGTGACTGCATCGAACCGCCGGTCGTCTTGCTAGAAGAACCACGGCTTCCATTGATGCCGACAGATTTGCGAGTATTGCAGCCGTTTGGTGTGCGGTGTTTATGGTTGGAGGTTGTGGGAAGGAAGGGATCGGGATAGCCAAGATGCTTCTGTGTCTCAGGATTAGCGCCGAACACGTAAGAGTACGGGATCGTCGGGAAGCGAGAACTTACGGCACTGCCAACGGTGGGTGTATTCAGGTTTGATCCACCGCTGTTGCGTTTCCGCCGCTTGCCGCCGTGCTGCTCGTCGTACTCCAGTTGTTCAAACAGTCGTTCCTGCTGCTGTATTTTTCGCTTCTCGCGATCGGAATTCTTAATGTCCACGCCGTCGAGCGAGAAATGTGTGCCAGGTGTATTGTCGCGGCTACCTTGCTTACTTCGGGTTGAACCAGACGTCGAGCGCAAGTCGGCGTGTTCATCGTCGTGTGTGTCACGAAGGAAGGCTTCGCTGTTAGCGCGGCTATTGACGGCGTGGCCAGTGCTCAACGGCGATATTTGATTCTTCTTCGGTCGTCTTCCTTTCGCAGGTTTGTGCAGATGGAGGGCAGGTTCCGACTGGGTGGCGGTGGGACGGGCGCGTTCCAGAAGGCACTCTCTGCCCTTATGCGGAGCGTGCGGATCGCAAGCGCATCCACCAAAGTTTGCGAGCACGCACGCAACCCAGTTTGCAAACTGCTCGACCTTCTTGAAGCCTTCCTTTCGCAAGTCGCCATTCGTCACAGAGTTCGATAGCAGTTGTCGGATCTCAGGACTTATTTCCCAGCCAATTGTGAGTTCTTCTCCAGGTTGGATATCGTCAGTCGCGATGAAGCAGAAGTGACAGCCAAGTTCAGGGCTTTGCGTGAAAATTTTGATCGTCATGTTTGGATTGCAGCTTCGTCTCGTATATCGTAGGATGGTGCCTTCGCGTCGAGCGTCAATGTAGATGGGCAGGTGAGGAGGGAAGAATACGAAAGGCTCCGGATGCTTCAGGAGTTCCCATCGATTGGACGGATCAAGCTCATAGTCAGCCTTTTTTCCAATCTGGCCCTTCAGCTCCCCAATGTAGCTGCCCTGGGCTACGGGTGACTCGACGGTCAGGTACTCCCATTTTGGATGAAGGCCATGCGCGACAATGTTGGGATCTTCTTCCGTCCGTTTCGTGATCACTGGCGCCATCTCGTCCAGTTCCTCGATCGACTTCTCAACTCTTTGGAAGACCTGGCCAGGCTCCATGCCGTTAGTAGCCTCCGCAAGCTTTTCGCGATCTTTGAGCCACGTGAAGATCTCGTCGGTGATTCGTATGTCTGCGTATGAATTTGAAGGGATAGGTTGAGGCTCTGGCTGTCGATAAAGTCGCAGGAACTCGGGCGAAAACTCTTCTATCGCGTAGCCGTTAGTATGAGGAGAGGTAGGTGACTTGACAGGACTCTGCTGGCCGTTGTACATGGCCGAGCTTGCCCGTTTTCGAACTGTGGGTGTGAGGTTGGGTGTTGAGCTGAGGACGTTGACGGATCCCGTGGCTCGATGGCCTGTCTTCGGCCGTTTCGCAGGTGGGAGTAGGTCCCGGGGACTTTCGCTCTTCCTGTTGGCGACATAGTGTACGTCATTATTGGTGTGAATGCCCCATCCGTTTGTCTGGACTGCGCCCGGTGCATCCTTGATCTTCTTCTTGTGGCTCTTTGTTGCAGTCTTGGGCCTGCCCTTGCGTTCGCCGACGTTGTGCACCTCCCGAAGTTGTCGCTGTACATCTGCCGCCCGTTTCGAGTCGAGCTGTCGGGGCGAGCAGTCGGCGCACTCGTGGACTTCGGGCACGTCACGACTCTCGTAGTAGCAGACTATGTGCTGCCACGTGTCGCACTTTTCGCACAGGACGGTAGAGCCGTCGTCGTCTGGAAAGCGGCAGATGCACTTGATGGTAGAAGACTCTTCGTCGTCGAGGGTGCCGTCCAGCGCAGGTGAGCCGTTGGCGTAGGCGAGGGTCGGCGGGCCCCCAAACGGCGGGATAGAGGCGAGCTGAGACTCAGCATGCGTCTTGAGCGACGGGATGTCTGTCATAATACGCCAGACGGTTGTAAGAGAATGAGGTGTGTTGGTGTCGTGTCGCAGCTCAGACTTTTCTTGGTTTGGATCGCATGACGGCCGTGGCGCGCACAACAAGGACACAATGACGGATCTCGACCGCAGCCGAGTCCGATGGCCTAGTCGCGGGTGTCGAGCGATGGATTGAGCGGCTGCGAGCTTTGTGCAATGGCTTCGTCCAAGGGAGCGTGGCGGCCACGAGAGGAGAGGCGATCGGCAGCGGGTGTTGAGGCGGTCGATAAGAGTCGAAGCGGTTCAGAACGTGGATTTGCTAGAGCGGCTATCATTAGAAGTCGTTTGAAGGGTGTCGCAGTGGTGCTGCCGGCGTTGTTGGGGGGGGTGGGCAGGAGGGTGAGGAGGTTTGGCGGCGGTGGCTGCTCAACGAGGCCTTTCAGCGACTGCAAACAGACAAGGGAGGCAAAAGGCGGCGACAGGAGAAGGGGCAACGGGCACAGCGACGCCGTCTGTTGCTGCGCGAATGCGATCGGGGGATTGGGGGTGTCTGTATGGAGAGTGGATGGAGGACTGCGAGTGTGCCCAGGTGAGAACTGAGGGAGGAGACGGCAACGAGGACGCTAGAATGCATTCAGGTGAGCTGCCAAGCCCAGTTAGTCACGTGCGCTAGGCCGCTGTTAGCTGAGATGAGAGACGAAAAGCCGGGAGCGAGGAGCATCCTCCAAGGCTGCGTGCACGCCGCGAGAGCGGCCCCGAGTCGGTGTCGAGGCCGGAGACGGCACCACAATGTGCGAGGCGCAGACGTGTGCCGTCATGGCGGCGTTGCGAGGTGCGGAGAGTGGGCGGCGAGCATGGTGATTAAGAGAATGCAACGCTGCAAGCTGGATTTTGAGGTCATAATCGAGGGGCTGGCGCGCGCCGTCGAATGGCGAGTGCTGGAGATTGTGCCGCATGCACGCTACGCCGCCCAGCAGCTCGCCGGCGCCATGTTGATCGTTGATACGCTGCAGGCTGGTCACCAACGGGGCGCAGCAACGGGCTCGGCACCCGGCAGCGGCTCTGGCCTCCTTGCTGATGGCGAGCATCGTCTGCTGTCGTGGTGTTGGTGCGCGTGTTGTTGCATAAGCCGCCTGTGTCTTGAGATGTGCGCCCGGCGCCCAGGGGCAGAAGTGAGGATTGCTGTGAGGAGCGGAAGAATGCTAACCGTGACGAATGGTGCAATCGCTGCTCTCTAGCCGCGAGAGCCAGAGCAATTTAGGCGCCCGAACAGTCGCCGGCTCTGAAAGTTGGCTTCGAGCTGTGAAGGCTGTTTCATGGCTCTGGAACACCGTCTGTTGTGCAGGGCCCTAAACAGTGTTTTCAGCATCGTAAGTTCAGCACCCTGATACCCAATCTCGCCATTCGAAAGGCAGGAAGCTCCTCGTGTCAGTGTGTGGAGCACACGGAGTCGCTGCAGGATGCTGACGCCTGCCACCGCCGACAGCAGACACTGTGTGAGCACAGAACTGTGCATTGCGATCCGCAAGAGTATCTCGAGAAACCCTACCTGTATATTGCGTAGGGAGTTCCATTTCCAAGATTTGATGCCGATGTTTGTGGGATCAGTTGGGGCCACTGGCAGATGGTCTCGTTCTTCTGGTATTCTAAAATATATTACAGCTTAGTCACAGGCCATTCACCGGGTGCTCCCCCATCAAGGTGGGGCCTTGATGAAACCCGGCTAAGCTCGACCCACTTGCCTCTAGCCCAACGGTCGCCGTCCAGAAACATGTTACAAAATGTGGGCTGATCTGTCTTTTGCCTCTCTTCCTACAGTATTCGTATGACTCCGTATCATGCTCCCAGAGCCAACAACCATGAATACTTGTACCTAAAAAGAAATACCTTTCCATATTTCCATTCTTTGGTACCATCTACGCCGATACCGGCCTATGGCCAGGCAGCTGCGCTCTCAATGCCAGCGCATCCAGACCGTACAACATTTCTATATTTACCCCGCCTGACGCCATCGCATCATCCGAACACATTCCATCTCGCTGCTGAAACAGACGGCACGCCTCTGCTGGCGCCAATCCAACTGATCCTTCCCGCCCGCTGATCCCTGTCGGCGAATCTCTCCGAGCGGCCAGGCCACGCCAGCGAACTGCTACAAGGGTATCGAGGCCTCCCACTACCACTCGCACTGGCTTCCTGGTGGAGATTTTGCTGTTCTATGTATCTCGACGACCAGCACATTACGTTGGCATGCAAAAAGCGATTTAAACTCAGTCGATTCCTACGTCGATGCACGCATTAGCACCGTAAAGGCCAATAATAAACCAGACCATTCATATGTGCAGTACCAAGACATAAGTTTAGGCACTCCTTGCAACTGGCTGAGGACCCCCAACAGGCTTTGTCGACTCCAAGTACGATGCAAAGGTCAACACAGTGTAAATCAGACTACATTTTGACCAATGAAAGACATTTCACCCGGGGCACTCCTGACAGTGGTATCGAGAGAGCAAGAGCGAAGCCAGAGCAACCGTATATTCGTGTGCCCAAACCTATGGCCTAGTACTGTACTTAATCTCTCACTGTCACTCCGACATAACCTACCAGTCATCCATTCCAAAGTTCATAAGAGCTATGTTCCATCTTCCCGCTCTCTCAACCCGCCAGTATAGTCATCAGCCTCCTCGCCAACATCGCCATCGTCTGCCTCCCAATCTAGATCTTCTTCCTCAATAATTGTTAATGTCCTACCCCTCCACTAACCGACCCAACCAACCTATACAGCAAACCCAGAAATAGTCTGACCAACCCAGCCCCGCTCAGGGATACAACTCCTCATAGCCCAGAACACCTCGACTACCCCAGTCTCAGGGTACAGTCCCCCGACAGCATAGTGCGGGAAGTAGAAGCTCGCGGGCGGGGCACAGGTTTATGTGAGCGCATTGCCAGATCCAAGACCAGTTTTGACGGGGTGTATTCAGGACGGCGTCCAGTGGACAGACGAGATATCATCTACCACCTGCGCTGAGCTCGCCGCCGCAGGAGGGCCATTTGAGAGTTGGTACAAAGTCGGTGGGTAGAGATGGCTCGGGGTAGGAGGGCTGGACTAGATTCGACGAGAGGCTTGGGTGATATATCATTGATGTGGACAGCAATAAGGTCAGGTCAGGTATGGTGATGAATTTGATATAGATATCCCTATCGCTGTATCGCGATATCTCCCCTAAATATATCCCAATGCGGCTCCTTAGAGCATCTCCCCCCCTTTCTACTTCCCCATCGCTCTTCCCCTCTAACAACGCCATAGTAGCTAGAGACATCCCACCCCTAAACCCCCGACGTATTCTCATCTATAAAGTTAACCGCCTGCTTCAACGCCTTCTCCTCGACCTTTCCCTTCTCCTCCACCTCCCCCTCCCCCTCCTTCTCCTCCGGAATAAACCTCCTCATAACCCCCTCCACATACCCCCCCGGCACCCCCATCGCCAACGCATCCGCAATCCCCCTATTCATCCTATGCACATACTCCGCTTTCGGCTTCGCCTCCTCGCGCCGCTTCCGGTCCACATACACCAACACGCTCCTCCTCTCCGGCGTCCCCCCCACATCCGTCCACCCCGGCGTATCGCTCGAGCCGTCAGGACGCGCCCAGAACTCCACCTCCAGGTACTCCTTCGTGTACGCCTCGGGCACGCCCTCGTTGACATCCAGCCGCGCCTCGTCCGCGGGGAGCAGCGCGTACGCGAGGCCGTAGACCTCGTTGTCGGCGTGCTGTTGCGGTTGCGCGGATGGGGCCGACGAGGCTGCGGCGGGAACGGTGGGGCTTGAGGAGGTGGAGGTGGAGGTGGAGGTGGAGCTCTCGACGACGTTCGCGTACCCGCGGCTGTTGATGAGCCAGCGCCAGCCCGGCAGGCGCGCGACGCCGAGGTAGCGCGAGGTCGGGCAGCGCAGGCGCATTTGGTGCAGCCAGAGGTTGCTGCCGTAGCCGAAGTAGAGGGTTGGCGGTGGTGCAGAGTCTGGGGCTGGCATTTTGGGGGATGAGATGAATGGATTTTGGTCGGATTGAGTTGAGTGGAATAGAGAAGTTGAAGAGCGGCTGACGTTGTGGTTTGCTCGAGGAGAGGGCTTCTTCTTTTTCTTTTTTCTTTTCTTTTTTCCCGCTTTTCCAAGTTTGGGAGGAGGTTGGCTGAGGTATTGATATATAGCTCTGGCGTCTTGAGGATTTGGGGGGGTTTTCAGACGTGTGGGTGTGAGTTTTGTCGGATACAGAGAACGTGGAAGTGTGAACGACAGTTTTTTTTGTTACAAGCTCAGCTTCTTCTTTGGAACCTTTAACTTCCACCGTTGCAGAAAGCTGTAGAGTCGGCTGTAGAAAGTTGCAATAGTGGAGAAGATTGATGTTAGCTGCACTAGCCTCGGCTCTTCTTACTTGTATTTATTACGAATATAAAGCACTTTTCCAGAAGCTCAGCACCAAACATCAGTCCAAAATCTTGAGGTGTAAAGATTACGTTTCTTTCGCTATGCTAACAGTCGAGTGATCGCCCAGGTCGTTTGATGCATCCCAAGCAACACACCATCGTCCCGCCTGCTAAACCCTTATCCGGTGCCCAAATGAAACAATAACGCTAAGGATATACATGCATCATGAGGCTCAAACGGTGTCATCCGTATCCACCGCCGCATAAGCTGCTCTATTGCCTTCCGACCTACGCATCGTCATTCGCGGTGGCGGCTCATACAGCCTCGTGTAATCGACCCTCTCACCTCCCAGCCTGGCTGACCCATTCTCCTTAAACCCGAAAATTGGCGACCCGTCGCAAAAAAAGTCCTTGCAGTTCCTGATGATGCCATGGGAAAAGGGGTTCCCGCGTGAGCGGGCCTGGTTGGCCTGCGAGCCGCGGAAGGCGGTGGCGAAGAATGTGTCGAGGCCAAGAAGTCGTTTCCATTGGTTCCAGACGGAGTGGTGCTGGTGAGGCCGACGAGGCACGTCGCCGATGTCCTGGCCAGAACCGAAGCCATTGGAGGCGCCGGTGACCTCTTGGGAAGTGGTGCCTGTGGTGACAAAGGAGGTGAGGGCTTCGCCGGGGGTGTGGCTATTAAGATGGCCGCGCATGCTTTCGAAGGTCGTCAAGGCGCGGGCGATCTGTAGGAGTTGGACGACAACAAGCATCGTTACCCATATCGATTGGGCTGCGCACCAGAGAGAGAGGTCGATGGTATAGGGATCTTTGTGTAGGATTTTACATAGGTCGTCGGATAGGACGTTGCAGGTAACATCCTTTGGCGTTGGAATGATGGAGAGGTCTTGGGGGTGTTAGTAAAGTCAGAGAAAAGACACGATGCTGCTACTTACAGGCCAAGACCAGCTGCATTAGGAAGATGAGGCCAATTTCTAGGGTGAGAACGTAAAGAAAGAAATGGCGATGGTTGTTATTCGCAACGCAGTTGTTCACCCACGGGCAATGGCTACTATTGTTAGCAGATGCCTAAGTGTCTCAAAGGGACTATGGACATACTGATCTGACTTCGCGACACATCGATTGCATCTCTTGCAATGCCGACTCCGGAGAGGTTTGCGAACCATGCAATTGACGCAGAAATGATGCTCGTCAAATTGGCGCAATTCCACGAGCTCGTCAATGACAGCTTTTTGCCCACTGCGACTTCCTGACTTTGGCACAAAGCCGGGATCTTCGTTCATGCTCATGAAGTAGAAGTATCCCGAGAGTCCATAGAAGGTGACGAAGAATACATTCAAAAACGGGTTGGTTATGAAAGTCCCTGTAGCAATCAGCACGGTATCGAGAATCCTTTTGGATTTGCTTACAAGGTAGGAGTGTGGTTAACCAACGAACACCAACCCAGAACATTGAGGCTGTAAAAATGCCTGCCATGAATGGCTTTTCAGGTGTTAGCGCAGAGTCTTCAACTGAAGGACGTGAAACAAACCGTATGTCCGATGTTCTTCATGTTTGACGGCGCCCACCGAAGGGAGTACTGTCCTATCCATTGCAGCCCGAAGACGATGGCTAGAGCAGTAGGAACGGCAAAGTATATAACCATGTGGCTCAGGGCATACATGCTACCGAGGATCATGGGGAACGGTAATAAGAACGTGGCCCGGTTGAGGAAGGTCTTGACATCCTTGACCATGAAGGAGAGCGGAAATTCCTTAGTAGTCCCATCCTTATTGTATCCGCATTCTGACAGCGCTCGATACCACTGCCGCTGTGTGTTCATTTCCGAGGCCGTCGTGGCCGGTGTCTTTCCGTCGTTGTTCTTTGCAAATCTGTCCGATCCGTATTCGATCAACTTTTGCATAGATCCTTGCGATCCCTTCACAAGTGCCCAGTGTAATGCGGTGAATCCTTGGTCGTCCTTTGCGTACACGTTCGCGCCCCAGCGTAGAAACAAGTCTACACAGGAAGGGAAGCCTTTGTACGCCGCCCACATCAACGAGGTATGCGCCTGTGCGTCAGGGATATCCACAGGAATATCTTGATGGAGAAGTAGGACAAGCTGGAAGACGTTGCCATCGAGGGTCGCAGAGTGTAGGAGGTTGAAGCCTTGGTCATCGGTGAGGAGAGGGTCGGCACCATGTTGTAGAAGAAGGTGAACCACGTAGTAATGGCATCTCTTCGCAGCCCACAACACTGCTGTAGCCATAGCATCGCCACCTTTCGCATTCACGTTCGCGCCGTTTTGGATGAGGAAGTGACATAGAGCGTAGTGGTTATTGATAGCAGCCCACTGAACGTACCAGACGTCATCAGATATTCTTTGGAGTGTCTAAGAAGATGCAGATCATGTACGTACGTGTAGCAGCGTAATACCTTGCTCATCAGCATAGTTGGCATCAAACTTCCCGCTGTCGAATAATTTCTGGATCGCCCCAATTTCACCCAGCCGTGCCAGCTGCATTATGTCTTCCTCGATAGGCATACTGGGCTTTCCTGAACTCAGTATTTCCAGTTCAACATGTTGCTCCCCTCCAACCGGCTTGCCATTTGAAGTCTGCTCGGCGCGTGCAGATGCGGAGGTCGGGGAAGAGGACATGGCAGCAATGGGTCTCCTGCTCGAGCTGTCGTTTGCGGAGTCGGGGCTAGGTCATATGTCGCGAATCATCATGAGTGAGCCTTGTCTGGCAGAAAGGGGGGAGTTCGAAGAATCGAGAGTGGAGCTGGAGTTGAGATACTAACTGCTTGTCAGCGATCTCGAGGTGTGGCTGTGCTTGCTATCCGCGCGTGCTTCCGGCAAGTGCCGCCAGGCAAAAGCAACCACGATACCGAGTTTCAGTGTTCCAAGGTCAGCTCTATCAAATATCATGGTGTGCTAGTTATGGAAGAATTAGTCAAGTCATTACTACGCGGTTATTTGTTGGCGTTCGTGCGGTTTCATCATCTCAAAGAATAATGTACAGATATGTATTTGTTTAACGAAGGATTGATTCATCATTGCTTCTAGGCTTTTTGGAGACGTGCTCCAACACACGCTACATCTGATCATTCTCCCGTTGTGAATCTACCCGGGTACGCCCTATTGAACGCCTGACTAATGCCAATCCATGCATCTTCTCATCTTTATTATCCAGCTCGTCTAAGTGGCCTTCTTCGCGAACTCGACTCTGAGGATCAAATGGCCGAAACCAACTGAAATAGGTTAGCAATGTTCGCTGATATAAGTAGAACAGAAAGCTCTTACAGCCATCCATCTTTTCGCACGCCTTGGCAGCATCGGTCCGATCCGCGTAGCTGACGAAGGCAAAGCCCTTTGCTCGTCCCGTTTCCCGGTCCTTTGCCAAGAAGACTCTGGTGACATGGCCGAATCGTGAAAACATGTCTCGAAGGTCCTGTTCTTCGGCGATTTCGCTGACCTGAGAATCGTTAGCAAATGCACCTCGCTCAGGGTCATGTGTATACATACGTTTGTGACACGAAGAGTAGCCAGGTCATCCCGCTCGTATTTCCCACCCATCTTCTCACCAGCGCCACCGCGGCCACGAAGATGAGGAGGCACGTAGCTCGATCCGCCCTGTCCCAATCCACCCTGTTCGTCTGGTCCGTCACCAGGCACCTCGGCGCCGGCGTTGTCGCCCTCAGGAGCCATGGTGTCCTTGAAGGGACATTTGGTCGTCCAATGGTCTCCGCTACAGATACGGCACTTGATCTTGGCATCCTTCAGGTTGTTTTTCTTCTTCTCGTTCTCGCTCTTGTCCTCCGCCGACGCCTTCCAGTTCGCCATCGGCCTGAACACGATGTTTTCTCCGACGCTGGTGGTATCGCTCTGTGGCCCGATCGCCTTGCTCTTCTCCTGTCCGAACTTGGCCCATTCTTTTCGCTCGGCTTCGCGGGGGTTGACAACGCGCTTCACGATCGTCTTCTTGATGCGACGGGTCGTCTTGATCTTCTTGCCATCTTCGCGGATCGTGTATGTGATGGTGGTCTCGGTGCCGTCCTTGTTCTTGATGGTCTGGGGCGGTGGGAGCTGGGCCTGGGGCGAATCTTCGTCCTCTTCCTCAGCCCAGTCGGTGGTGCGTCTTTGTATGGTCAGCGACTGCAGTGCAGTTTCAAAGGGTGCGGCACTCGCCCTACGGCTCGAGACATTTTCAGCGAGTTTTTAATGTGTAGTTGTGGATGTATTCTGCGTGTTGTTGTGCTTGTATATGAATCGTTGCTGGAGAGTGAGAGAAGTTCAGGTGGCGGCATCGTGGGGCAGAAATTCAGTGGCCCGCTCTGACTCGGCCGTCACGTGATAGCAGGCGAATTGTCAGCCACCCACTGTCTCATATTTTCCCCAAAACACCAGCTATACGTACTTTCATCCATCAAAAACCTCACACGAGTGTTGCGCTCTACTTGAAATGACGAGCGTTCCGTCGGCTGCGCTCTCCACGAAGGATCTATCCGCCCCATGGACTCTAGGGCGTGCGAATTAGTCCGTGAGGCGGATACATCTATGCTTCTACGCATATACCTCCGATCAACTTATCTTCACCTACTTCTTCGTTGAGTTAGCGCTGTATCTATTATTTATAAGCAGAATTACGCCCAGCTCAGCTTCGGCTCGCCCTCTTCTCCGGTCGCACCGCCACAGCTTAGGATGCTCACCTTCAACTCACCTTTCTCTCCAGACTCCGTTAGCCAGTCTAATTATAGTGCAGGCGGAGCTATCTGTGCTAGATTTCGTGGTCAACTATACGCGAAACGTTCTAGGGGTAAGCTAGCAATGAGCCCAAAACTAGGCCACCTTGTGAAAGTGACAGCGGTGGCCGAGAGACGGGCCATCTCATGGAATGACCTAGAACCACACCATTCATGCGATGATGCCAACTGAATGCCAAACGCCGTCGAGGCTGTCATCGCCTCGCCTCCTCTCCTTAATCTCTCATTTCCCTATCTATATGCCTCTTTGGCTCTAGCTCCACTCGTCCATTTGCGACTCTTTCTGCTTCTGCCCATGATGCCAAAGCCAGAGAAAAATTCATCAAGCGAGCGAATGAGAAAAGGGGCTCTGAATTGCCTTCCTCCGTTAATGGAAACTAAATCCTCGGAAAACTCGATGATGCAACACTTAAGCCCTATCGACAGAAGCTAGACGAATGAAACCTGTAAACACACGATTTCGAGTATGGCAATCTCTATGAACTAATTACTTGGGTAGCTTTGTCGAAGAGGTGCGCCCTAGTACTACAATCGATGACGCGGAGGCTCTCAAGCATTTTGTCTACCTGCAGGCAGTTAGTACTGACGGCACGAACGGACTAGAAGCATGTGTAGAGACCGTTCGACCTAAATGGAATCAATTCTCGTCGGCATATCAACAGGACTGTGGACTAATTAAGAGAGATATTGTGGAGACTGTCACAAACATCAGCATAAAGTTATCCTAGGTCTTAGTATTCTTGTTATATAAGATCTTTATATAGCAGCTCTTTATTATAAGCGAAAACACTCTCTATATCGCCTTTCTCTTCTTCTTTATTAATCTTCTAGTCGCGCCGCTAATCTAGTTGGTAGTATAACCCTATCTAGTATTCTTCCGCAAATGACAGTACGACAGGTGTAAGGAGGGAAAGGAGGATTTAAGGAGAAAACCGGACTACACTCTAGAGCAAAAATTAATCGTACTGTGGTGGTCTAGTAAAAATGTATCCAGATCGCTATGGCTTCACGCACTATTAGGCTGGATCCGCACTTATGGATTGACGTAAATGAAATATACACTATTGCATTCAGATATTGTAACCAGTTGCATAGAATTCTAAAGCTAAAATGCTAAACACAAATACAAGCGGCAGCCAAAGTCTTGTGCTTTTACTCTGGCGCGCTTTTGATTGAGGTATTTCTTATGAAGACTAATGAAGGTGTCGATAATATTCATCGGGATATCTCTCTGCTTTTCGCCGCTTCAGGGACATCAGAAATACTGTCAAGTCTGTTGTAGGATTACAAGAGGGTTATAATGGTTACTGTACTATTATTATTAATGATATTAACTTCAACATTATGGGGAGGGATAAACGCACACCCCCTAATCACTCTACGCACACCCCTTTTCACTCCACGCACACCCTCCCTCTCGTCCGATCTTTTGATTGGCTGGAGCGGTTCGGAGCTTCGTCCGGAGCTCTATTCTCACGTGCATCCGCACGTGTAGCCTTTCTCATCCACTTAGGCGTACGTGAGCTCGTAAGTGAGGCTATACAAATCGGCATAACTATATAGCCTCTCCATTTTACAGCGCATCCTGTCCAATTTGTGTAGCCTTACGTACGAGCTCACGTACGAGCTCACGTACAAGCTCACGTACAGCTCACGTATAGCTGTATATACGGCTGCACGAATCGGAAAGAATGCACTGTAAAACGGAGAGGCTATATAGCTATGCCGATTTGTATAGCCTTATGTATAGCCTCACGTATAAGCTCACGTACGGCTATATATACAGCTGCACAAATTGGAAAGGATAAGCTGCAAAACGGAGAGGATATATAGCCATGCCGATTCGTCTAGCCTCACGTATAGCCTCGCGTACAAGCTCATATACAGCTGTGCTGGCTGTCGCATTTGGAGAGAGCATTCGGAATTAGTGAGCAAGTTAAGCGAGCGAATTAGAGGCTCCGGAGCAGTGCTCCGAGCCAATCAGAAGGTGGTGAACTGACAGGGGGAGGGGGTGTGCGTGGAATATGATCCTCTTTTTAAACGGTTTAGTCCTTAAGCCGGCTCATAAGGATGTGGCCAGTGCGGATCGGCCGTCCTCCCTGCCAGCTTGTCCGCCTTTTACGCCATTAACCACAATATATTGCCACTTTAGATGCAGGACATACCACCTAAGGAGTCTATAATAACAGGATAGTAGTAGGTGGTAGGTGGGGAGGAGGCTAAGTAAACTGCTAAGAGACATTATGGTGCAACTTCAGCAGCTTAACTACGGCCTCGTGCCCGTGCGCTTCCGCCCACCATAGCGGCGTCCGTCCATTAGAATCCTTCAAGTTAACCTCAGCCTTGCCAGTCTCAAGCAACAGGTTAACTATAGCCTTATGCCCTTTCCCTGCCGCCAATAATAGCAGTGTCCGTCCATCAGAGTCCTTCAAGTTAACGTCAACCTTGCCCGTCTCGAGCAGCAGCTTGACTATAGCCTCGTGCCTGTTCCCTGCCGCGCACCATAGCGGCGATTTATCAGAATCCTTTAAGTCGACCTTGTCCATCGTAAGCAGTAGCTTAACTACAGCCTTGTGCCCGTTCGCTGCCGCCCACCATAGCGGCGTCTGTCCATCAGAATCCTTCAAGTTGACCTCAACCTTACCCGTCTCAAGTAGTAGCTTAACTATAGCCTTTTGCCCTTTCCCTGCCGCCAATAATAGCGGCGTCCGTCCACAAGAATCTTTCAAGTTAACGTCGATCTTGCCCATCTCGAGCAGCAGCTTAACTGTAGCTTCGTGCCCGTTCCCTAAGGCGCACCATAGCGGCGATTTATCAGAATCCTCGACCTTGCCCATCTTAAGCAGCAGCTTAACTACAGCCTCGTGCCCGTTCGCTGCCGCCCACCATAGCGGCGTCTGTCCATCAGAATCCTTCAAGTTGACCTCAACCTTACCCGTCTCAAGTAATAGCTTAACTATGGCCTCATGCCCTTTCCCTGCCGCCCACAATAGCGGTGTCCGTCCGCTATTAGAATCCTTCAAGTTAACGTCGATCTTGCCTGCCTTGAGCAGTTGCTTGACAACAGGCTCTTGCCCATTCTGTGCCGCCCACGATAGCGGCGTCCGTCCATCAGAATCCTTCAAGTTAACCTCAACCTTGCCTGTCTCAAGCAGCTTACGGAGGTCTTGAACAAGTCCTCGAATCACTTCAAGTACTGGAATATCTAGTGCAATCAGCTCCCTTGCGTCTGTATGATCTGGATCTGAGTTGTACTTGTTGAGTTCCAGGTGTACTCGGTTTAACATCTTACGGAAAACCAATCGCAAGCTTTCGACGTGCTTCTCCCCAATTTCGGCTTTATCAAAACCTGATAGCCACGTCGCATGTCCAGTCAATCCAAAAGCGGCTGCCCAAGCTTGGAGTAGCTCGCGTTCAAGCCGCAGTTCCATAATCGGTGGACCCTCAGGAGGCTCGGGGGTCGCTTCCATCTGCTCGATTAAGCGATTCAGGGCTTCGAGAACGAGCGTAAAGTCTGACTTGGCGCATAGGAAGTTAAGCCGCTTGCACAGTTCTGGGCACTTCAATCTCTTGTCTACCTCGACTACAAGCATGGACTTTGAGAGGTCAACCAAATTTGCTGCATAAGTCGAAAACGGTTTGCCTAGTAAGGTGCGAAACCAATCGCGAACGGCCGGTTTCAGTTCATGTCCATTGTGAAAGCATTGATCTTCAATACGCGGATTAGGGTTTTGGGATGTTCGGTTTTGCCTGAATCGAGCAATGCCATCAGGGCCATCTTTCATGTACGTGACAATCTCTGCGACCATACAACCGAAAGCCCACATGTCTATGGCGCGTCCAACTTCTTGAGGACAGGATCCCATATCTGTACACTCGGGTGCAAGGTAATTTGGAGGACCAGCCTTCCATATTGTCCTAGAGCCATCTTCCACAGGCTTGATTTTTGATAAGCCAAAATCAGCAAGCAAGAAAGTCCTAGTATTTACAAGGACGTTTTTGGGGCGGAAATCATGATGGTATCCAATTCGCTCGAGTTCAATGCCATTGATGGTGAGTTTGAGATTATGTACGCAGGCTAAGGCAGAAGCAAGCCCTTGAAGCGCATAGAAAAAGGTATAGTCGTGGATGAAATCTCCGAAGCGATGGGGCAATTGTAAGAACTCTTCCAGGTCCATTTCAATGTGAGGGAATAGGATACTTCGCTCATCTCGATAGGCGTAACAGCCCAGCATCTGGATTATGTTTTGGTGTTTCAAACGGCCCAGAGCATTCAAACAGGCCCTTTCGTTTTCAACCATCCGGTCTCTAGATTCCTCGGTGTGGCCGTTACGCAGGACGAATTGCTTTCGGACGATTCTAACGACAGAATGGGGAATTTGATCCTCGCCAATCTCCATTTGGACAACTTGTAGATCTGGAATAAATGTGCCATCTTCTGCAGCTTGCATGGCCGCTGGATCTGTAAGCGTTTGTTGGGATGAATCCACAGCGGTCAGGAACACTTCTCCGAATGCCCCTTCGCCTATTTTCTCCTGGTGCACGAAGGGAAGGATCCACTCCCGGCGAAGAACACGATGATGGAGCCGCATGTCGTGCTTGAGGATGAACGGAATAAAGTGCCATTGCCAATCCAGCGCGAACGATCTCCCAAATGCAAGCACAATGCCCCTAGCGCGGGTTTCATCCAGAGGCAGATCATCGTCGAGAGCTCCATGCTCAATGAAGCTGGTAATGAACTCTACTTTGTAGTTCCACAAGAGAATCGCAAACGTTTTTCGCCCTTTATCGAAAATAGTTGAGCTGATGTCGTCATTTTCAACTTCGTCAGAGACAGAATCTGCTAAGGCGGCGGAAATAGCCTCTCGGGTAAACAGCGAGTCGATATCGGCCTTGCTAAAGAAGAATATATGATCCAAAGACCATTTTCTTCGGTGCTCGAGCCCATCCCGGAGGGAGGCTGTAGCAGCACCCATGGCCGCTGATGGGATGCGGGGGGACAACGCAGAAGATCACGAAAAGTAAGCTTAACGGAATTCGAAATTCGGCCTCAAGTAACAGCTGTCCAATTGTATCTTGATACGTTATCGTGCATGCGCCTCGGCACCCCGACCCATGTAGACACAGCCCGCAACCTGATCTTAGCCTAAGCGAGGCAGTCCGCAACCTAACATCAAGCCCAATTCCAGAAATTGCCACTCAAGATCCAGCCCAAACGGCACAGCCTTGACACTCTCAATCCCGGTTGAAGATAACGCTACGGATTTCGGCCTCCATTTACGTTAGTGATTGCCAATCTCTTTCAGATCAGGTCGTCACACATCTGTTAATTTCCTCTCTGCGAAAATTCTGACTTCGGTATCCGTCTTCTGGTCGGAAGTATTAGCAATGCTGATTGATTTGTCCAAAACGGGTAGATATTACACTCATGCGCCAGTCTGCAAAATTGCTATCAAGAAGCTCTATCAACCTAGCTTCCAGGAGATAGCGCAGTGATATGGTAGTTTCCTCGTTCATGCTGCTGGTTGAGGCTAGAGTACTTCGCGGATAAGAATCGATGAGCGGGAATAGCGAACAGAGTGCTTAGTATTTATTATTATCCAACATTGTATGTCTAGGCAGTAGGGCTCACCTTGCAGAACGATTCTGCCTTGGCCGCCTGCGCGGGAGAGGCCGGTGAGTGTCTTGCATCTGAGGCTGCCTCGGCGACTGGGGCGAAACAAACCAGTGAGTTGCTTGCATCTAGGAGGTAAGGCTGTGCTGCAACACACCATCCAGAGACATCTGTATAAGACGTATTGATTTGGACTTAACGATTCTGCCTTGGCCCCCTGCGCGGGAGAGGCCGGTGAGTGTCTTGCATCTGGGGCTGCCTCGGCGACTGGGGCGAAACAAATCAGCGAGTTGCTTGCATCTAGGAGATAAGGCTGTGCTGCAACACACCATCTAGAGACATCCAATATAAGACGTATTGATTCGGACTTAACAATTCTGCCCCACACACCCTTTGCAAACAGCCATGGAAATTTCCAGAATACTTCAGTTACGAGCAAAGGACCTGTTTGTCGAGAGCGAAGTGCATTCAATCATTGACTGGCTAAAATATACTCCCAAGACTGAACAACAATGTATCACGGAAGTGGAGGTCCAATCAATATCTAATGGCATTTCAAGCATGTCGGTCAACAACATCACGGGGCTAGACTTACTTTTGAAGGTAAGTAATCAAGCTATCAAAGGTATTACACCCAGACTAGCCCTAACAATAAAAATTAGAATGTCTCAACACTGAATGACTTCACTATATTGTATGTATTCAGACCAAGTTACAGTATTCTAGAAAACTTATTTGATCGCTGCAGTTTCATATCCCAAACTACCTCATGGAGTCGACTGAGGATATCGTTGGAAATGCTCAACCGACTGATCCAATTTTACGACGTGTTTGAGGAATTTTCCAGCTATATCCTTATGTTTGGGAAACGAATCAGTGATCCCATTGAGACGAGTGTTACAAGTCGTATACGTCTGCACACAGACCAGAATTCGCTCCTCGGTTATGGTCAGTACACAACTGGGACCTTTGACAATTACTTCTAACTTTCTTCTGATAACTAGAGGTATGTTACAACATCAGACACTTCGAGTTGCACGGCCGAGAGCTTAGAGACCCTTGGTCATGTCGGCATGCTGCGTTTTATCAACAATATTCGTTCGCTAAGCATTCATCAACCTGGATCATCATTCAGGGGCCCTCGAAACTCAAATCGTATATTGAAAGAGTTGTTCCAGTGCAGGCTCGGTTATCACCAGCAGTTCATGAGCATCCGCTCTACCTTCATGTGCACTTTTTCAAAATGCTTGAGCGGAACTGGACAAGCTATTTGATTACCTTGGAGGAGCAGCGTCGTGAGACAGTAAGTAGTAGATGCGATTTTGCTAGCCTCTGATCATTAGTGAAGAATCCTGTAACTAATCTGTATTATTCTAGAGTGACAAATTCCTATTTCTCGGCTCATGTAAAATCTCTGTCGAGCTGCAAGATATTCATGACATTCACAAAATCCAAGCCAGAACGCGCGCAGCGATCTCCATAATTGAAGGGACAATGGATGTCATCAGCACAGTTGTTGATCTGCGCAACCTAGTACAAGATTATGCGAACCAGGCATGCCAGTCTCCCTTGGCTTCAAATTTGTCACATCTAGTAGTTGCGGAGCTTAAACAACTACTGAGTATTTTTCGGAATCATATGCGCACTGCATCAAAGATCCTCCAATCTTTAGAGGACACTAAAGTCATGGTACGATTCCATTGAATTTCTAGTTCTCTTTACGAATACTAAATTAATGCTAGCTCCTCGCAATCATAAACCACCGCCATAATGATGTAATCCAAATGCACACGAGCTCCATAGATGCACTCTCAGCCGCTGCTTCCACCGACAGTCGGCTACGAACCCAAATCGCTAGTAAAACGTTAGCAGAATCCAGCATCATGCGGATAGCAACACTCATAACGGTTTTCTATCTTCCAATTAATCTCACAACAGCATTTTTTAGTACTAATTTGATGATCTTTCAAGGAACTGGAACAATAGAGCTACGGAAATCGGTTTGGGTGTTTATAGTTATGACGGGCGTACTTTTAGGAAGTACAGTAATGGCTGCTTGGATTTGGAAGAGGATAGAGAAGGCTAGGGGGAGGAAGAATAGAGTTCATTGAGGTGGGTTTGAAGTCGGAAACCGACCACATACGAAGAAACCAATTCCTGAGCCGCACGATAAGACGATATCATGAAAACGAGCGTACCTCCTACTTGTTCAAGGACCATGTTGCTCCTTTTTGGAATAGGCGACACCTGACAAGCACTAGCCAGTGTTCTCATAGCCTATCCCACACCGACCAGGCCCAACAAGCGCTATCTGAGGTGCTGGCACCAAGCATTCCTTGCGTATCTAATTAAGCAGCGTTCCACGATTGACAAAGTTGGGATCGCGATAAAAAGGGACAGCGCAGGAAGAGCTCGGCGGGGTCTCTGGTGTCTCTATAAAGGCGCGGTGCCATTAGCCTTGGTACACCGCACAGGACCACTAGCAGCAACTTGTTTGGGTATATGTAGTTGTTTGTCTACGAGCTCGTCCGGAGCTCAGTGTGGGATGGGATATGGAAGTCGACAAGGCATACCAATTACCCCCGAGCATGACCCCGCAAAATCGCACCAACATCCGTTGCGTCCGTGGTGACTGTCGGCGCGTTTTTCGGTATTGCTGTCAAAAAGGATCCTGCACGTCAAGAACCGTACAGTGCTGAGAATCTGACCAGGGCGGCAAAGACGTGAAGACGTCCCCGTAAAACGAACACACGGCGTTTCGGTTAGCCTGGGCTGAACTGGGCTGTTAGCACGGGACGACCTGCTTACGATGCACGGCTGGAAAGGCAAGGGTGCATTCAATGTTTCCCAAACCAGGCAATCCCAATAGCCGGAGCATTCTGGCATAGCTATCCCCTCACCAAACTACGGCCACCCGTAAACCTGCAGATTTATCTGGCAGCCCAACCCACCTTCGCGTCGTCCATTAGCTGGGTCACTGCTAGGTTGTTGATATATCTATCTGGTTGGGAAAAGCCTCTGATTCTTGCTGATCGATAACGGGAGTAAGCGACCACCCTGCTATGACTGTTGCCAATAGTGGCGTCCCAAAATACAGGAAACTGGTCGTCCCCAGTGAAGTTGATCATGCGCATCTGCAGTGTGATGAGCCTTTGCCTTTCGGATGCAGCAAAGGCATCCGACATGAGAGCGCGGGCGAACGTGTGGGATGCAGGCAGAGCTCAGCCTTGCAGTAGGCGCAATGTGACCCGATCGGGTTGCATGTATATCTAGGGCGTTCGCCCTAGAGGCCGTGGGGCGGATAACACTGGACTTTCTGCACACTGCTGAAGTAGTGGTTACCTACGGCATGTAATCAGAAGGGGCGCCACAAGTGGCTAAGATCCCTGTAGTCCGAGCTGTCGATAGAACCCGATATGCAAGTAGCCATGGGAAGGTAAACATGAGCTTGAGGGCCTGAGTTTGGGCCACTAGTGTCAGGAATTTGGCGACTGAGCAGGAGAGCAGTCTGAATGTGGGACATGTGCTGACACGAATTACGGTTCGCTCATGATTGCACAGCCACAAACTTGGGTTTGCTTAGTCACTCCTCAGTTTAACACCCTGTACGCTCAGGTTCAAAAGCGGAAATAGACTTTAGTGAGATCATTTTCCCCCTAAGAGTACTACGCATACATATATAATAACCGCCATACGACGTGCTGGTAGTCATCATAGATACAGCCGTTATTGCTATATACTTGTGTCACAGTTCCATCTTCTTTGTCTCTGCTTAGCTCCATTACTCTATTCCAACCTCACTTCATGTCAATTTGACAACCTCAGTCTTTGTTGCAACCGTGATGAAATCCATCCTTATCATAGGTGCGACGGGAGGGCGAGGCAGTGCTGTCATCAACGCCCTTCTGGCGCGCAACGCCAAGTTCGACATTCTGGCAGTGACGCGTAATACGTCCTCTGCCTCAGCACAAAAGCTTGCCGCCAAGTCTCCCAACATCAAACTTGTTCAAGGCAATCTGAATGATCCCGAGGCCCTGTTCAAGATTGCCGAATCTCTCGTCGATGAGCCTATCTGGGGCGTGTTCAGCGTTCAGGTAAGCCACATCATCTGCCCTTTCAGATGAACCCTCGCCGAGAGAGCGAAGTACCAACCGTGCGTTTTAGGTCTCACGGGGCAAAGAAGTAGCTCAAGGCAACGCCCTCGTTGACACAGCCTTGAAACATTCCGTGTCCCACTTTGTATACTCCTCCGTGGACCGTGGAGGGCCCAGGAGCTTCGAGAACCCGACCGACATCCCCCACTTCATTACCAAGCACAACATCGAGCACTATCTCGTGGCTTCCACAAAAGGCACAGAGATGAATTGGACCATCCTCCAGCCAGCTGCATTCATGGAGAACTTCGGCAACAACTTTATCGGCAAGCTCTTCGCGAAAACCTGGCAGGTGTACCTAAAAGAAAAGCCATTGCAACTAGTCTCTATGATCGACATTGGTGTCTTTGCAGCGGATGCATTCCTTGATCCAGTGGAATACAAATCGAAGTCTTTGCCACTGGCTGGCTCTGAACTCACGTTCCAGCAGGCGAACGCGATCTTCAAGAAGAAAACTGGGAAAGACCTGCCGCTGACTTTCTCTTTCATATCATATGTGCTAAGGTCGCTATTCAAGGATCTCGGGTACATGTTTAGATTCTTCAGAGATGAGGGATTTGGAGCTAACATTACGGAGCTAAAGAAGATGCATCCAGGTCTGTTGGACTTTGGCACTTGGCTGGATAAGGAGAGCAAATACGAAACGAACAAATAATCGAGCGTAAGGGGTGTTTTGAACAATTTTCTCCTCTTTAGTCTGCAAGCGTGTATGGATATCATTTTAGGGTCTGCTACCTTTCATGCCTTCATTCCAACCACTGTACTTCTGGGCCTGATTTCGTACTCATACCATCAATTTCCCGCATACCTCCATCCGTCACATCCATCTCTGCAAACCATACCATGACCAATACCCCTTCCTCAGCTCTCAGATCCCATATCCCACCTCACCCCTCGTCCACCGGGCACTGGCTTCGGCTGAAGAATGATATCGCTCTTCGTCCTCGGCATCACCGCTCCCACTTGCTGCTGCTGAGCCAGCTCCCCATTACTCCTCTTCCACTGCCCCGGCTGCGCACTCGGATCACCAGCCCGCCGCATAGCCTGATCGCTGCTCCGCCTCACGAGCGCCATCCCGGGCGATATCCCATACCCCTCCGGCGGACTCTCCCCATTCCTCGGCCCCAGCGTCATCGGCGAGCTCATCAACCCGACCCCACCCATCCCACCCATCCCCGGCACCGGCGTCATCATCTGCATCTGCTGCGGCTGCACACTCCCCCTCCTACTCCCGGGCAGACTCCCCGCAAGCGAGCTCGCGACCGTCGAGCCGCTGCCGGCCGCGCTGTTCGCCGCCGCAATGCTGTTCGCCGCCGCTGCTCCGGGGGCGCTGAGCGGCAGCCACCCGCAGCTCTCGATGCCCTGGGCGTCGACCATGCGCGCGAGCAGGTCCTCGGTGATGACGAGGAGATGCTCGATGGCGGCCGTGCGGGAGGACTCGCGCGCCGAGCTGCAGTGGATGTAGGAGCGTCCGGTCGGGCTGTGCTCGACGATGCTGGCGACGGTGCGTCGGGAGGAGGTCAGAGAGTAGGTTACGATGTCGAGGGTGCGGGTGGGGCCGTAGATTGTGTGCGCGTTGGCTGGGAGTGTGTGTTAGCGGAGGGGGAAGAGTGAAGAGATGGAATAGCGTTAAGAGGCATATGCTTCAGCGAATGAGGCATCAAGAGCGAGATGAGCGTACAGAGTACGCGAGACCGGAGTGAGTCGAGCACTTCCTCGCTTTCCTTCGCTTCTAGGTGGTGTAGGATCTCCTTTGTGGAGTGTTCGTGGCTAAGGTCGTTGTAGGTTTTTTCGGCGGAACGTCCATGTTTCAGGTCTCTGAACGTCTCGATCATGATGCTTGCGGGCCGAGTAGTGCTGCGGAATGTGATTGTTCGAAAGAGAAACCGGAAGGATGAAGTAATTGCGGATTAGTTGAAGATGGAGGAAGAAAGCGGTCTAGCGTTTGGAGAAGTGCTGTGGGAAGTGGAAGCAATGATGAGCGGTGAGAGGCAGGTGAGGGTGGACTATTGACTCAGAACATCATGGGTTTCGCCGACAACATAGCACCTGCAAAATCGAGAGACGGAGAAGGCAGCTCTGGCAGCTGCGTGGCAGAGCGCCTCAACATGCTGGGCGGCCCTTCAACTCCTCTCTTCAACCAGCATTACAGCTCATATCAACGCATTGATAACTTCCCATCGCTCTGATATTTCCAGTCGCTTTGACATCCTCTCTTCGTTTGGAAACCTTTCCATTGCTCGAATACCTTCCTGTCATTGAGAGCACAGCATAAGTCTACAAAAATACGACTACTGCGGATCATCCCTCGTCGGGAATGTTTACCATTCTTACAACTATACGAAATCGAAATCGACTTGCATTACCGACCATGCACACAGGAGAGAGCCCAATAGCTCCGCCCGCTCCCACCTCTCCAAACCGTCCCAGGCGGCCTTGGATATATGATAGACAATCCCTCTACACAGACCTTTCTACTTTCCAACAACAATCCAGTCCGATGAGACCACTTGCCCTCCGCACTCTCTTCAGGAACACACCATCTCTACGACAACTCAGTGGTAATATACAAAGACCCACTCCGATCAGACCACGACCCAGCCCAAATAGTAGTGCTCGGCGTGCTCACTCTCGCTACACGCCACTAGCGGCTCGTCCCAGCCTAGGGAGGCGTTGGTCCGTCGACCAACTCCCCAGAAGCCCTCTCTACACCGACCTCCGCCAAATTAGCGAAGTACCTGGAGAAGACGAGGAGGGCGAGTACGTCTCTGACCATGAAAACGGTGGATACCGCTGGCAAGCATGGCCCCGCTTGCGGGACCTTCGCATCTCGGGCGATGAGAACCGAGAATGGGCCACTACCGCGAGATACTATCCAGAGCGGGGTCCAAGGTCAAGCTTCGACGAGAACTGGCCCGAGCTACCCCGTCCGCGTAGCAGAACGGTGATTAGACGGCCGGAGAATACTGTCACCGCTCGCAACTTTTACTATGAGAGCCGTGAGAGGATGGGGTATTCCCAGATCCCAGCAGAACTGGAAGTAGATGATGGTTCCGCCGTGCACACGGATACGTCTTTCATTCGCCCGCTAGACCCACATGCCCCTGTTACTACTCTGCGAGGAGCTCTGGCCTCCATGCTTCGTCGTGAGCGTCGTGAGCGTCGTGAGCGGGCTGAGCGGGTTGAGCGGGTTGAGCGTATGCGACAGCTAGCGGTTGCACGAGACGGCGACATTGGGTCCGGTTTACCCCTAGAGGGCTTACACATCGCAACAGACCTCTCGTACACCAAGCCGATAGAAGAATCCGTGAAGGCCCCCTCTGAGCCCATCGACCAGGCGGAGCTCATTTGGTTCAAGTGCGGGAGTGGCGAGAGGGAGTGCTTTGACTATATCGGGGGGTTGGTGGGGACGACGCGGAAGTTGTACTCGGCGATGTTGAGAAAGGAGATGATACTGGCGTGCTCGATTTGTCAGTGGGAGCTGCATGACCGCGTGCCGGAGGTTAAGGTGTTTTATAATGGGGGCGAGTTCTCGGGGCAGGGGAATGATTGTGGGCATTTGAGGTGGATGTTGAAAGCGCGGCGGGTGCGGAGAGAGATGAAGGATGGGGCGGGGTTGGAACCGTTTCCGGATTTTTAGATGGGGGGAGCGGTGAAATATGATTTTTGTTCGGCTACTGTCTGAAGTGTCTTGTATGTTCTGTGAGAGAGGGATGATATGTGAATTGTTGGAGTGTATAATGTCGCTTATTTTCCGGTCCCCCTAATCTTAGGCGAGTCGTGCCTTTCATCCAACATGAATTACCTAATCTGAAGAAGCGGTAAAATTGCCGAGCTACCTCATACGGCGGTATATAGACAAGCGACAAAAAACGGTGCAAAGAATGATGTTGTCGGTATTGGAAAAAGGAGACGTAAGGACCCTAGAGAATAGTGTAATGACGATGTTATGTTAAAGGTGCTCGTAGAGCCTACAAGAATCGCACAGGGACGTCACAAGTTGTTGAGCCGATATTAGACGAGATGAAAACATAGTTTTTCTAGACAGGTGGCACAGTACGAAGTTCTTCAGTGGGTGCAGGCTAATTAGCAATGAATGTTAAGTCCGGGAGATTGCTGATCTGAGCATATTGATGTTGAGATTATCGGTAGTGCCGCTGAGAAGAATCCGTGCACAACGTCCATGCTCGAAGGTCTAGGTTGGGTTATAATGGTAGGTATTTGTGATAGTGAATGGTGATAGTTGAAGTTGGAGTGCTCTAAAAATGGTGATGGAAGACGTTTGAGGTGGCTCGTGCGTTAGCAGTCGATTGCCCGCATTTCCAGGACGCGTCGCGTTACCGTCATCTCTCTCCTTCTCAACGATAATTGATCGTTATAATATACAAAGATGCCCTCTGTCCCTCTCCATCTACCTGGATCTAATTCCTCCACCTCCGTCGCCCTGAACCCTCTCCCAACCCTCCTTCAGACTCCCTCTGGCCTCGCTCTCCTAGAGCTCCAAGGCACCATCCATGCCCCCACCGCGGAAGAGTCAGATCCTTCTGCCGACAAGTCGGTAGCGGAAATTGGAAAGCTGGTGTTTCCACTGTACTCAGAATTGACCGGGCAAGAGGACACCAAATGGATGAAGAGGGTGTATCTATACGTGGGCAAGCACCAGAGGATGACGGGCGAGGTCAAAAAGCTGGGGAAGCCGTTGGGAGTGCTGGCGCGGCGGAAGTCTGAGGACGACGGCGAAGAACTGGAGATACTGGAGGTGGTGAGGTATAAGATCGTATTTTCTTCGAGGCCGGAGCCTGTGGGCGCGGAAGCTGATGGAGCGTCTTGATGTTATACTTGGCCGGCTCATATGATATTCAAGAATAGTTATACGAAGACGTTTGTTTCCTGTGAAGCACTGGAGAGTCGCCCGAGAGACTTCGAAGACCTTCAGCAGATGAAACTAAGGCTTTGAGGCAGCGGTCAGGTATGTGAGCATGAAGGTTGCCATCAAAGACGAAAAGGAAGAGTAATTCATAGTTGCAAGGCTCTCCCTTATATCATAACGCTCGAGCTGCGTCGCTCGTTTGCGGCGCATTGCAGCACCGAGTAGATCGAGTAGGTGTTCGGGTAGCCTGAATACAACAATTCAATACACACGACGACTGCCATGCAATTATGTCTCGACCTCACGAAGCTCCCACGATATGTGTTTCTAAAGCTCTGTACTGGACTGGCCCGAGGCCAACATGTCCAGGTCAGTTCAATGGCGCGATTAACAATGTGGCCGCTTCAAGCTCAGCCGCTGCTTATCAATACGCAACCCGCGAAGAAAAGACCACAGCGATGGCCATTCCACCGGACTCGGATACCTTTGGCGAATTGTGACTGGGGTAATGTGCCAAACACCCCACACGATGCAAGCTTTACCGGGTTCGCGACGTGCATTCAGGTCGCCTCTTTGAAATTTGTCGACAAGGGAGGGCTCCGACTCCACAGCGCCCAATCATGCGTGCAGGTAGATACCTGTCGACATTCAGCCACCGTGAGGAGTGCATTACTGCTGATAGCCTTGACCGATACATCCGTGAAGGCCAGCCGCAATTTTCCGCCCCCATGATTATCTCACACTCAAAAGTCGGGACTTTTCTCTAATGGCGTTTCCCTGCGTGCACTAATGCCACCATGAAACTTCAATATGCCAATAAGCTTTCACTCTAGTCCGTCCTTTATAAGTGTTGTTCCGGGCGCTCAGTCGTATGATCGAGATATCAGAGTCGAGTAGGTCTACCAACATCTCCAAAGGTCCGGAATTTACTCAATATCACAGTGTCATTGCGGTGCCCGCCGTTGGCGCCGACCCTATTGGCACCTGGCGGGCCGGAGGGAATACCAAGTCGAACACTTGGCTTGAGGAAGATCTTTTAGCCAATCTTCCCATCGCGCGAGTCCTGTTTTACGACCATGGACATCGGCCTGATGGCGACGGACTTGACCAGCTCGCACGCCGCCTACTTGATCAGCTTCTGACAATTCGAGACTCAGCCGGTCCCGTTCTTGCATTCATGTGTCACAGCACCGGTGGACTAGTGGTAAAGCAGGCGCTAGTGCTTGCTCAAAACGACGAAAGATACGCTCAAATCGTCGCATCTACCGTCGGGATCGCCTTTTTTGGTGCGTTTATGAGGCCTATACCCCAATGAACGCATGCTGATTTTGTCAGCTGTACCTCATCGAGGTTCTGAGCTCCTCTCAGATCCTAGCTTCTCCGCCGATGTGCGGAAGGCTGCCAACGCCGAATGGCGTTACGACAAGCCTCATCGTCAACCGGACACTAAACGTTGCTACAGATTTCAAATGCCCTCCGTACTCTGCAGCGAGATTGGACCAGTTATCTATGAAGCGCCCAAGGAAGGTGAACGCCGCGAAGTTAGCTATTTAGTTGGGCTGGCCGAGGCATTTTCCGCCCTGCTCAATTCTATAGAGCAAGAGGTTCGGATTTGGTCGTTCTATGAAAGTGTGCAAGCGGGACTCACTACTAAATCTCGCTCGGATGGATCTCGAGAGCCCTGGTATAAGGACAAAGACGAACTCATTGTCTCGCCTGATTCAGCGAGGCTTTGGCGGGAAGACGAAGAACTTGACGTCGGGTTGCCATGCGATCACTACGGCACAGCTTCGTTCGACACCATGTATTCAGAAGAGTATGGCAGCATCCAGCTGGGGGAATTTCCGGACCGCAAATACAAAGCAGCTCTCTGTCAGCAATTACACAGCCTTGTATCTGAGCGATACTGGCCCGCCGCAAATCCAATGCAGGAAGTTCAGGCAGAGAACACGTTCTTTTTCCAAACCAGAATGGGCATAGAGTCTGCGTCTGTTTGCAGGTCGTTCTTTTCCCTTCTTGACGACGATTTCGGTGACTTCTTGGACCAGACCGACGAGAAAAATGCCGAAGCAACACCCATAAGGCCAATTTTCGTACCCCAGCGGGCTTTAGAAAGTTCAAAAGCTAAGAAACAGCCACCTGTATCTGCTATGAAGGCTTCTCTGTCATCCAAGAGCCATCTCACACCAGCTTTGAACGAAGACAAAATCGCCAAGAGCTCCATACGTTCATCTAGTGATCACGGCGGCGATGGCGACAACCAGCATGGATCTTCCCAAGGCCGAGTGAAGGTGCGATTCAAGCCTGAAGTATCCGAAAACGAGACTTCGCCATTTACCGGTACCCCCGTGATTTCAGAAGTTCGCCTGGCCTTAGACTCTGGAGATGAACAAGAGTCTGAACCTCAGCCACAGCATGCTGCAAGCAATACTGCAAAGCGGAGGCCTTCGACGAACGGATCCCCTCGTTTCAATGAACATTTTCCTACGGCCAAGAGAGACAGCGTGTCTTCTGGACCAATATCACATGCCCTTTGGGGCTTCGAAATGTCGGTTACCGAGACGCCCGTATACCGGTTCCGATGGATACACGCGCCATACACGCATACTGAACTAGCAAAAGTAATTGACAGACTCCCGCAATGATCACTATTACAGTTGCGGCGCTAATGGCTCTTCTAGATCATTCTAGACAAGATAATAAAGAAGATGCCCCCAATGCAGCAACGATTCGACGTTGTTAGCGATAAGTTTTGGTTGAAGAAGCAAAATACTGCCACGCACTCTTCACCTCATGCCCGATACTTGCATTCCACGTGTGAGTTCATTGGTGAGTTCTCGCTCTCAAGATCAATCTTATTCGAGGTTCGCTAAAGCTCCCTAAGACGCAACCGTAAAGGATGCACCTATCTCCGAAGAGTTACGTGAGCTGCTTAGTGAAAAGGGAAGCAAAATCGTTTCCAGCCTCTCGGATTACATGAGTAAGAGCAAGGAGAAGGAAAGAAAACGCGTCCATCGCCAAGAAGATAATGACATATGCAAGGCATCGCAGATGATTTTGTATCTCCGTGAGTGTCGTCGACCGTGCCTACCCATTTAAAGTAAATTAACTAATACCTCTCTAGCTTATTTGCATTGGGAATCTTTCAAGCATCTCAACAAACGCGAAGTCGTAATCAAAGAACGTATGAAGGCGAATCGCAAGCTATTGAGGACAGCTAATTGTATGCGAAATGACCCTGAACCCTTCGAAAGACCTCCCAGCATCATCGATTTTCCCTCCACGCCAGACGAGAAGTATCCTTTCGGGCAGACTGAAGCAATACCGACCGCGGAGCAGAAATCCGTAGAGGACGACCTAATCAATGAAGTTAGCACGTTCAAGAAGATCAAGGGATACATTGAGAATTCTCCGGAGCTGCGCTTCTTATGGCACCATCTCATCCCGGGCGATCTACTTCATTGTCGCCGTTCTCTCGACCAGTACATGTACTCTACTCTCCCTGACACCTCTGCAAGAGACAAGGATCAGATACTACACAAATGCACACGGAAAGGCATCGGTAGTCTTTCGAACGAGGCTCCGGATCATGAAGACGTAGACAGCGTCCACGATCAGAGCAATGATGTTGATGAAACGGGAAATGTCTTGGTGGTGGATCAGTTGTGGATGTGGGTATTAGATGATGGTGAGCATTACCTTTTCATATCAGGACTGCATCGCCCGTGGCATCGCCCACCTATTACACTACTAGATCAGACGTATGGGCACACGGATATACAACTGCTCTGGCTTCGCTCTTGCTCTGTCGACACCACTACAAGGAGTACCCTAAAATGCCTTCAATTGGTCAAAGGGTAGTCTAATTTCCAATGCGTTGAGCTTTGCATCGTATTTGGAATTGGCAAAGCCTGTCAGGGTAACCCAGCCAGTTGCAAGGAGTGCTCAGACTTATGTCTTGGTACTGTATCCAACCGGAAGATTTCCTTTTCTTTACAAAAGCAATTGTTCGAGTCACGGTCCTCCACTCTCTTGCTCAAAAGCCACTAACACAAGCCAGCTTCCGTGGTGACGTTTTTCCCTCCCAAGGAGGTCGAGTTGTCGACTAACAAAGACAAACCTACACCCGCGCATTCGTCTGCAATTGACCTAGATCCATCAAACTTCGTCTCGGCGAGACTGATAGCCGAGGGCGATCTCCGAACATGTATTCAACGAGAGATAGAGGACAGTGAGGACCCGTTCAAGAACCAGTGGGACCTTGCCGCCTTTATAGTGAAGCATGTGGTTACTGCTCTCTTCGACAGATTCGAGGACAGCGGTCCGCAAGCATTGCGAAACTTTGCCGAGTACATTGATAAACTAGTAAGCCTCAAGATTTCTTCTTTCTTCGCCCCCTTACAGTCTCGGCACATGGATTCGTCACTGCTCGGCTCCATTCTTGCTCACTTGATACCATTGTGAGGGGTGCCCCGGCTAGCAGATAGTCGGTCAGTCAAATGGCAACCTAATCTCTACTACATCGACCTTGACATCGGATTCTGGGTTTTAACAGTCCCTTGAGGCACCCTAAGCAGGGGCAAACCGGTGTGCACAGACTTATAGCCAAGACCTATACTAACATTACCAGATCGAGAAACAAGCTACGTCTTGGGCATCTTTGAATCTGCGCCGTGGATTGAGTCTCGCGGACTCAAGCAAGGAAATCAAGCAGGTTTTCCAAGATCTCCGAGATCTGCGTGAGCTTCGCGATGTTGAGGACGAGCTGAGAATCATCACCAAGATCCTAAACAAGCAGAACCTGCATATTTCGAAGATGCAGCGAATGTACGACAAGCATCTCAACCTCGGAAAGTCGAAAGGTGCAGCATATCTGCAAGAAACCCTTGGAATCATCGGGCGCAAGCAAGAACAAGTGCGGCGAATGACTATGAACATGGAAATGGCAAAGAAAGGGTTTGAGGAGCTTATCAGCTTACAGCAGAATCAAATATCGATCAACCAGGCTGTAGCGGCAGGCAAGCAGTCTCGCGCTGTTACTATTTTTACTGGTAAGTCCTCCGTAGCTCGAAATGCTCCTTTATTTCGTTCAGTGTGCTGATCTTTCTTGCACTACAGTCTTCACCGTATTCTTTGTAAGTAGCCCTTGCTACTTTCGGAAACGACCAACTAACTAGGGTATCCAGCTTCCGCTCTCCTTTTTTACCTCTTTGTACGGTATGAACGTTTCCGAATGGGGTGGAAATGCGGGAACAGTCTCGATGAAGGTCATCTTGTCGACAATGCGTAAATACTCCTATCCACTACCTCGTCGAAACGCTGCTAACACAGCCCTATGCAGTTCCCCTCTCATTCGTGGTAATCGTACTGGCCTTCCTCTTCGCAATGAACAGCAGCTTCCGCGAAGCCGTAACCTCCTCCTTCGAAATCCTCGTAGAATGCCTCATCATACTCATCGAGTTCGTCTCCAAATGGTCTGGCTTTGTAAAGCTTTCAACTTGGCTTCGTAAGGCTAAGAAAAGCGTTGGAATTGGAAGGATATACGCCTTCAAGAAGGCTGTGAAGAGGCATAAAATAGAGCGGAGAAAGGCACGTGCAGAGGCAAGGACTCAAAAGAAGCGGGAGAGGAAAATGCGACACAGGCCGTCCAGTGTGGCTTCCGGATCTGATGTACCGGGGCTTCAGGGAAATGGGAGCGGGAGACGGAGGAAGTGGATGCCTTTTCAAAGATCTGGGAAACAGGATGAGGGCCTTGAATCGGACTCGGATGATGACGTGGATTCCTTCGTCTAGCTTTATTCAGCGCTCGTGTATCGCGAATCTTCTGAAATTGAACGCTACATTATAGAGGGATGGTACCGGCATGGTCGTCGGATGTGATAGATATCATACTCACGGATATAACACTGCTTGGATATCACTTTGGAAGCTCCAGTGCCAGGAAGCTAGCCAGTCAAGAGGCAGCTTAGTTCCCACTACATGAAACTTAACATTGTACCTGGACTTTAAGCGCCCCACGGGGGTACCACAGGCAGTGGTAAGAGCAGATTGTAAATGTTGATGCAATCCCTCATATCTCAGCACGTGACGACTGATAATAAGCAACTAGCAATCTATAGCGGAACCCTTTACGTCATAGCAGCATCAAACGTAAATTAGCCTAGCTGTAGTTCGTCACTGGAAACTTTCCAATTCAGTGAACAAACCTCTTGAACTTCTCCCCAATTCACTCTCGGCCGTAAGCAAGTGGCTGTGCTCGGGGTCTTAACGAGATCCGATTGGTTGACGCGCTCCATGACGCAACCGTAGCGCCGCACCAAAACACCAACCACTCCCTGTGCATCATGCTCGGAGCAACCATGTGTCTACCTTCAAAGGTACACGTCGCAGCTTACGTGCGTAGTCCTCTCCTAGAGAGGCTTGTCTCACATATATAATAGGTATTACAGGTAAACAGATATTCTCTATCCATCATCAATCATTCAATCATATCTCAATCGAATTCCACAACCAATCTCTTCAACTTTTCGTCGAAAAGCCAATCCGAACCCCAATCCCAATTCCAATCCCAACCCCGAGCGACATGTGCTGCAGACGCAACAACAACCGCCGTCGTGGCCCCATCGCCTCCCTCGTCATCGCCGGCGTGGTCCTTGGCACCCAAAAGGTCCAGCAGAAGCGCAAAGCGCGCGAAGAAGAGAAGGCTACCAGAGCTATCGAGGAGGAGCTGAGTTATGAAGAAGCTCGTCGGTCCGCAATCCAGGATGCGCAGATCTCTAGGGACTCGAAGGAGATTGAGGCGCACGAGGAGAACCCGCCGGACTACGACAATGTGCCGACGTGGGATTATACAACGACTTATGAGAACACGATGGGTAGCGGTTATGGTGGCCGTGGTTTGGTTGCTGGGGACGAAAAGAGGAAGTTGTAATGTCGTTTGAGGAGTGGTCCGAAGATGAGAGGGGTCTCGCGGTGTATGATTTATGACTTGTTTTTGTTTTGTATATTGTGTATTTGTTCGCCACGAATATTGTTCTTTTAGCTGTCATGCTGTCGCTACGGAGTATTCTAATCGTCTAATGGGTGGTGGATGATGTTTGAGGACACTAATTGATCTAGACACTCTTTAGTACGCGTAGAAGAATCACACTAGATCGTCTTATATGCTTACATGCTAGATATCATATATTCTTTTGCGTCCATGTCGGTGATGAAAGCACTTGGTTGTGTCACGGTGTTAAGCAACTTCCGTGTACATACAAAGGTACCAAGCGCCCTTACAGCCATCGGTAGCCCGCGCTGACAGTTGCTTATCCCCCCTTTCTTCATCAACTTCTATATTTCTTGTCATTCATCTATACCAAGCCTTCTCGGTCATTCCAGACTGAATGAACACGCCCAACGATGCAAATTCTGTCCGAGGAGGCATGGGACGGGAATAGGGCGGCTTTGAGCTGCCTGCCGGATCGCCGGCAGGCAACCTAGGAAATTCGCTATCGTTGCAGCGGCAATCCGGCAACGGAGAGCAACCACCAGCTACTTTCAGCAAAGCACCCCGCCGGTGGCCAATAGCGAGAGCATTCGATAGCTTGCGGACATAGCCATCTCTACTGATGCCGATGTCGCCGCTGGGCTTGTCTGAATCGGAAATGGCCTATTGTCTCCACCCGTTAGGCATGCTAGAGGTCTGCTTCGACGGCTTGCTCAACTTTCGCAAACCCTCATGCAGAGTTGCACGCTGAAAGCAAGACTATCACCGGTTGCACTATCATGGAAAAAGACCACCAACTCCATGATGTCGAGAAAACGGGGGTGCCCGTTGCCATCTCCGCTCTTGGGATTGAAGCAGATTCTCGGCTGGAGACTTCCCCAGAGTTCGCGGTTGAGAAAGAGACGGGTCGCGTGAGCCAAAAATCTACCGCGACGTCACGAAATCCTTCTCTGGATGAGGACCAACACGAACACGATCAAATCCAGGATCTCGAGGCCTTGTCGACCATCCAGTCGTCAGGTCCTCCCTACTCTGTGTTCAGCAAAAGTCAAAAGCGATTCATCGTCTTTCTCGTTGCTTGGGGTGGCTTCTTCTCCCCGCTATCCGCCAACATCTATTTTCCGGCTCTGAATACACTCGCACGGGAGATGCACGTCTCGAACTCTTTAATAAATCTGACCCTCACATCTTACATGATCTTCCAAGGATTAGCTCCCACTATATTCGGCGATCTTGCCGATATGGCTGGACGGAGACCAGCATACGCCATCGGCCTCATTCTTTATGTCGGAGCTTGCATTGGACTTGCGCTGCAGAATTCCTTCGCTGCACTCTTCATTCTCCGGTGCCTGCAAAGCAGTGGTAGCAGTTCCACTATCGCTCTTGGGAACGGTGTTGTAGCGGATATTGCCACTAGCTCAGAGCGAGGGACATGGATGGGATATGCTACTAGTGTAAATGTCTTTTATATGCAATCCGGCTGCGTGCTGACCACTTCTTAGGGTCCTATGATTGCTCCCGCTGTTGGCCCTGTAATTGGTGGATTGCTGGCTCAATTCCTCGGCTGGAGATCGATCTTTTGGTTCCTGGTGATCATGTCGGCAGCCTATATGATTCCCTTCTTTATCTGCTTCCCTGAGACGGCAAGGAATGTTGTCGGGAATGGCAGTATCCCACCCCAAGGATGGAACATGTCGTTACTGAACTGGCTAGAGACACGGAAAGCCAAGAAAGCCGAGGGTCAACTTACTCCGACAGTGTCTCGCGATGAAAGCCGCGCTGCGCAGGCAGAACTGGCCAGCAAACGAAAACTTCGATTCCCGAACCCGCTGGGTACGCTTCATGTTATGTTCGAAAAAGATGTCGGCCTGCTACTTCTCTTCAATAGCCTTGTGTATACCGCGTTCTACGACGTCATTGCCTCTGTGCCCTATCTCTTCGAACAAATCTACGGCTTTAACGATCTACAAATTGGGCTTTCTTTTATCCCGTTCGGATTCGGCGCATTATGCGCACCTCTGACTTGCGGACGCTTGATGGATTGGAACTACCGCCGGCTAGCAAAGAAAGCCGGCGTCACTATTGACCGAAAACGCGGAGACGATCTCAAAAAGATCCCAATCGAAAGGGCTCGAATCCAAGTCGCAATTCCGTTAGTGTACCTCGGAAATGCTGCGTTACTCTGCTATGGCTGGGTCGTGGAAGTTGAAACCTCTCTCGCTGTGCCCTTGGTCCTCCACTTTATTATGGGCATCGGCCTCTCCGGTGCTTTCAATTGCATGAGCGTTCTGCTGGTCGACTTTTATCCCCTCAGCCCGGCGACCGCTACGGCGGCCAATAACCTGGCCAGATGTCTGCTAGGAGCTGCGGGAACGGCTATCATCCAGATAATGATCGATAGCATGGGAAGAGGGTGGTGCTTTACTTTCATCGCCGCTGTCGTTTTCTGCACGTCGCCGATCCTTCTTGTGTTGATGAGATGGGGTCCAGGCTGGCGTGAATCTCGACGCAAAAGACTGGAGGATAGCCAAGCGTCTAGCACCAGGCCATAAGTCTGGGACATGGCACTTGGATATACCACTACTTGAGTGCTATTTTGGAAGCTAGACACCGCTGTCAGGAGCAGCCCCGTTGCCAGGCGGCCGCCCAGTCAAGAGGCAGTCTAATTCCCGCTACCTCAATCTTTGCATCGTATTCGGAGGTCTTGCCTTGCCAACACTACCGTCAGCGGTGCCTCGGCAAAGAGATTCCTGGCCGACCAAAAGGTCGTCTGATTCCCACTGGGTGAACATATACAACATGCACAAACTTTTGAAAGCATATGGGGGCCCTACAAGCAGTGCTAACCAAGTGGGCAAACGGGTTTAGCATGACACTAAGAATCAGGCTATAGATTTTAACACATCCAAATTCAATTCCTTAGGCTCAACTCTTGCTCGCTCGATACCACTGTAAGGAGGACCCCAGCTAGCAAGCACCCAGCGAGTAAAAAGCCAGTCTTATTTCCACTGTATCAACTTTTTCATCGTATTTGGAGCTCTTGCATGCGGGACGCCATCGTCAGGAGTGCCTGAGCAAGCGGGTAGTTGGCCAATCAAGAGCTCTCTTTCTGCACACTCTTAACCTGCGCTATCGTTACACCGCTCTCAATATAGGCATTTTTTTGTGCTCCTTCTCTATAGACTTAAATCACAAGGCCTCTTCTATAGAATTATTAAGTACAATTCTTGGACATGCCCAGGGGTGTCTCACTACTATACGGTCCTGCGCAGGCGACTGTAAGCTTACTCTTAGGCTATAGTCATGTCACCGTACCAGGTATACGGACAAGTTCTCTACTTGGGTGCTCTTTTCTAGTACACCGCTCCCCGGAAGTACTTCACCATGTAGCCGGTCCAGCAAGAGTCTTCAAGAGCCAGCTAAGATTTTAGGGCGTCGAGCTTTCCATCCTGCCCTCGTTTTGGAAACACCATAGGGGCACCTCAAACAGTGGCAAACCAGTGTGCACAGACTAACAACCTATCGCTTTGGGAGGTGGACACCGCTGTCAGGAGGAGCCCCATTGGAAGGGATCTAGCCAGTCACGAGATAGCCTAGATTTCGCTGTCTGGAATTTGACATCGTGCCCAGCTTTTGGAAGCCCTATGGGAGCACCCCAAGCAATGGTAACCCAGTGTACCCATTTCGTTCTGGAATAGCTTACAGTCCATTCATACTGGTTTAGGGGATGCAGGGATTGGCGGGATGGATCCAAGTGTAAGTGGTCATCACGTGACCATCGCCTTGTGGCCAATCAAACGCCGTCACCGCGGTCGTTGTGAATGTCAACCGCCTCCAGGTTCTGAAAACACAGTACTGGAAAACACCGCCCTCCACCGCGTCAAGTCACCAAGCATCTACCGACCAGGGCAGCCACAAACAGCCAATCACCTCCCTGAAGCTATTGTTTACCTCTTCCAATACATCACTCAGTCCCAATCACTTCTCCATCAGTTCCGGTCTATACGAGCATGTCACTCTTAGAGGAATACGCAAAGGTGAAGGTGGAGCGGGAGGAGCAGCAGCATACCGACTACTTCAAGAAGCTGCACAAGCAACTCCAGGACCAGCAAACCGCCAGCAATGCCAGCGAGCTGCACGCCTTCGAGCAGCACATCGAGGCCTATCTCCAGGCCGGCGCTGCCCTCCACTCCAACCCCAACCGGGCCCTAACTAAGATGGAGACCTTCAACTTCATCTTGCAGCGCGATGCCCTCCACGCTGCCTTCATCGCGTCTGCTGAGGCCCGTTTCCGCGCTATTGTCGCCCTATATCCTACAATTCCGCCAACGCTTGCCGCCGAGCCCGCTCCCCCCGCCGTCACAGAGTCCACCAAGCCCCTCCACGACGCAGCCAAGTTTCCTACAATCATCAAGCTTGTCTCGGGTGCGGGCGCGGAGTATGTCGAGCTGAAGTGCCCGACGTGCCACGCGAACGCCTGCGAGAAGACTTTCCGTAGCCGCCGTAAACAGAAGACGAAGCTCTTCTACTTGGGCGGTGTGGGCGGCATCATCAACCATATGCGCGAAGTGCACGGCACGGCTATGAGTTCGCGTGAGCTTTTGGAGGAGATGGCGGCCAGAGCTCGGCGTCTGGCGTTGGAGGATATTGTAGCGATCAATAGCGGTGCCAAGGAGATTGAGATGGTGCTTGGAGATGTGAGCAGTGCTGAGAAGATAGGGGTGGAGGGGATGTCTCGGACGAAGAAGCCTCAGACGAAGGAGATGCTTGGAGATATGGGTAGTGCGGAGAAGGTGGAGGTGGAGGAGGCCGCTCAGGAGACGAAGATGCAGGGCATGGCTGAGGTGAGGGCGTCTGGTTTGGATCCTACCGTTCGACCGTTCGAGTATCTGGGCCAGTCGAGGCATGTGGTGCCTAGTGCGGGTACGGAGCAAGCGAATGAGGGTGGGGATTCGATGGAAATGGAGTAAGTAACGGCGGGACGGAGGATGTCTTGCTGTGAAATGGGGTTGGGTCAAGATTCTCTTCCCTTGATAGCTGTAGATCAGATGCTTCGCTGTAGCGATGTTGAACACGGACAAACTACTGCTCAGGCTCCACTTTTGGTCGCTCGATAGCTCTGTGAGGAGTGGCCCCGCTAACATATGGTCGGTCAATCAAGAGGCAGCCCGATATCCACTGCATCAAAGTGAATGTTGGATTCCGAGCTATGAAAACCTATGGGGGTACCCCAAGCAGTGGTAAAGCAGTGTACACACTCTATTCTGGAAAATCTTAGACTGTGCTAGTACGACGTAAGACCTACAAACTAAAAGCAAATTTATAACCGCCTGCGTAGGAACGTATAGTAGTAAGACACCCCCATATATGTCTGAGGATTGCACCTAACAACGTCATAAACGCGACCTTGTAAGTTTAGACCGTGGGAAAATATCACAAGAAAACGCTCGTACTGAGAGCGGTGTAATAATAACGTAGATCCTGAGTGTGTATGGACAGAGCTAGACATATCAGAAAAGCATCGTGATACCCCAGGACTTACACACGATCTCCGCTAGAAACCCCGCATAAATAAATCCGGGGAAATACACAAGGAGCAACATCGGATGTTGGACTTTAGGTAGGTCTGAATTTGAGAACAAAAAGACGGATGGTCTTCGGTATAAATATTAGATGACAAGGTTCTCCGCTCACGGTGTATTATCCATTCCCTTTCGCTGTCATATAATTCAGAATGTTCGCCCGAGGGTAAAACGCCGCGACAATAAAGCTGTACCAACCCACCTCCAGCCACATCGTTCTGAGTCGTTAGGCCCCACGATAGCATCTTACTATAGCGCACATTTACGTATCCTTAAGTGCACCTACTACGCGTTGATTCATTCGTAAGCTAGCTTGACTTCCTTATTGCCCTACATTAGCAGAATTTGGACATGATAGTTTGTAACAATAACGGCGATGGCTAACAATCGAAGACAGGTGAACAAGAAATACCCCCAAACCCGTCGCTATGTCTTCAGCCCCGATCGACCATCCTCTTTCCCAGCCCATGCAAATCATCTTGGTCTCCGCCAGCTATGCCATATGGGCCGGGATGCTCGGCTATACCGGACTGCTATGGAAGAAAGAGCAAACGCCCTTCTACTTCATCCTCGTCCTCGCCGTCGCCGTCGGCGGCTTCGCCGAGCCCCTCTACGACGAATCCCTAATGCTGTACTTCTACTCGCCCGGCATCTGGTCCCTCTTCACCTCCTTCGACATTCCCCAGCCCATCTGGGTCTACAGCGGCTACGTGACCCTCTACGCCTCCGTCGCCGTGCCCCTCATCCGCGCTATCCCGCACGGCGTGTCCCGCCTCGACCTGTTCAAGTGGGCCGGAGTGGAGCTCCTGACGTCCTGCGTCTTCGAAATGGTGGGCATCAACGGCGGCGCGTATGAGTACTGGGGCCCGCACGTGTTCCGCGTCTTCAACTACCCGCTCTGCATCGGGATCCTCGAAGCCGCGCAGGTCATGTGCTTCAGCGTGGCTGCGGCGCATCTGAAAGCACGCGCGGTGGGGGTCAAGCCGCTGTTTGGGCTGTTCGTGCTTTTCCCGGCGACGTTCTATCTTGCGAATCTCGGGGCGGGCGCGCCACTGATCATCACGCTGCATGCGAAGAACACCACGCCTGCTCTTGTTACGTTTGGGTCGCTGGTTACGATTGCGTTTGCGTTGACGCTCGTGTGGGGCGCGTCGTATCTCCTTCCGGTGGATGGGCAGATTGCGCTCGGTGAAGATGAGGCGCCGTATAAGCCGAATGGGACTGTGAGGGTTGAGGATGTCGAGAATGGCGGTTCGTGATCTTATTAGACATTGTCGTCGGCATCCTGGCGGGTCTTCCGAAGTTTCGATGTAATCTTGATTCGCGCAACGAGTTTTGAGAGTGCTAGGAGATGGATTTGGGTGCTTCTTGCGGCTGCTTGGGATACCGCCATAGGCTCTTGGAACTGTACATACCATGTGAAGGTTGATGCGGTAGAGAACAGGCTTCCTTTTCACTGACTGAAGATCGATCGGCTAGCTGGGATGTTTCCCGAAGCGCTGTCGAGCCAGTAAAAGTGGATCCCGTGCAGTTGTATATCTGTGTGCCCAATTTATAACCTAGTAAGATATCATTGAAGGAGTGATGTATAAGATCTATCCACGCACAGCCCTCGGCGATATGATAGAATTGCATTCCATGAACACTATGTATCGCGAAAGCCCTAGGATTCTTCTTTCCTGCCCAATTACCACCCCCTCCCAGTTACTCGCGCTGCATCTCATGAGGCTGGTCCTTTCAGAGGCCGCCAGCTCCAAGTGCTTATCAAGAATATTAGTATGGTTTACTGTCATCAACACACTTGAGCAGACGTACCGTTTTTGATTTGCACTAGTTTTGGCCCGATATCATCCCAGACCGTTCTGATATCCGAAATGCCTTCTTTATCAGCGGTGAAACAAGTGGCTGATTTGCCATCGGTGTTGGCAAAGACAAAACTCGTCCCTAGAGCGGCTATCAAGGCTGGCGAACTTTTGTAGGCTTTTGCGCATGCCACTGCTTGGTTCATGGCATGGCCGATCGTATGGTACGATCCGCCAGATTTTTTACCCTCGTAGACAACTATGAGCCTGTCGGGGTTCCCTATCTTCATAACACCGAGATCTGCCCAACCACCGCCAAAGAGGAGTTCGGGAACAATGAGATAGTCTGGTGCCGGAAACCACTGGTGTAAGATCCAGTTCCAGACCGCGTTCGTGTAGTCCTCTTTGTCCATAATAACCTCGAGACAGTCATTATTCCAGGGCTTAGCGGCCTGCATTGTAAAGATTTCAGAGAAAAGAAGGATGTATAGATTGATAGTATCGAGAGAGAAGTATGGGTTGATGAGATTACGGGTACTGAGGGGTCAAGCAGCTCTTATACTTCTTACGACGGTGCGGATGCTTGATTGAAATTCAGCTGCGCCTGATCTTTACCATGCCGAAGGCATGGCTAGCCGAGTTGCAGAAATGTGGCGAGCTGAATCGCATTCACCGTATAGATATTGCGTACCTCTTATGAGCTAGTGATTAGGCGTACAGCCACAACTGAACAAAGCTAGAAGTCTAGACAACTAACGTCCGTCCTTGCGTCGCGGGACGCAGGGTGTCGCGGGGACGGATTCGCATTTCGGACCTTCGCAGTCTCTGGCTCTTATGTTTATAGACCTATGGTTGGCGTGTCAATGTTCTGTAGCCATTTCTCCCCTAGGACACCAGCCTCTGACGAGGGCTGCCGCGATATCGGCCATGCTGTCAATCGTTTCGTCAACGCCGTCAATCGACCCTTCAGCGATGCCCCATTGTCTATTCGCGACTCGAAGAGTCTCTCTAGAATCTGGAGGGTCTGGTGGAAAGCCTGATTAAGGAAAATTATACCACGAAGCTTCAACAGCGGCTTTACGCTAAGAAGGATGCAGTCCAGGAGTTTTGCCGGTCGGAGGAGAAGATCGCAGCTTGCAGTAGCGTGGTCAGATGTCGCCGTATGCTATCCTACTGAAATCAACGCTATACCTAGTGCAGACCGACTTCCAAGAATAGCTGTGGCGCATGCCGGCGGTGTCTACGATTACGTGCTCAACCTTTTTGTCCCAATGTGTCCTCTGCTCCCCTGCACTGACCCGCGCAGCCTCGAACTGCCTCAACGCGCTCTCCGCCATTCTCAGTCTCCCGTTTTATTGCTCTAATGGACAAAGCCAGTCGAGTATTGGCACAAGGCCTTCCACCCAGCGTGCCTACATCTTACCGTGTTCTAGCAGATCATGGCGATGTCCCTCGCTCTACCCTCCATTATCGTGCATGTAGCCGCCGCTCGATGGAAGGTAAAGCCCAAAGTCAACAGTACCTTACTCCCTGAGACGAGTATGCCCTCGTCAAGTTTCTCTTCCAGATGTCTGATCTTGGACAGCCCGTGCGAATCAAGTTATACCTTTCTTAGCCTTCTGCGTTACCCGCCAGCAGCCCGAAATAGATCGGCCACTTAAGCCACCAAGTAAGAACTGGGCTCGAGCCTTCGAGAAACGTTATCTAGAAACGCAAGCGAGAAGGGTTAAGGCACTGGACTAGGGCCGCCACGAGAAAAACATTTACTGGAAGATCATGCATTAGTTCAAGGTAATTAGGAGGGTGTTATAAGACCCGGCCGTTTTAGTAGAAAATGTTTATAATATAGACAAGACTGGCGTTATGCTATTAATGCTAGGCTCGGTTAGAGGAGTCAGTTCGTGGTATCCAACTGCGCGTCTCACTTGCAATGACTGTAACTGCCATTGTATCTGCTATAGTTCAATCAGCCGACCACGGAAACATACCACCATACGTCTTGCACCTCAGGGCCTAGTCTCCACGTCCTGCAGGAAACCCTCATGCTAAATCAACTTCACCTTGGGCATTGTCGATCCTACAGCTCACGTCCAATCCTTGTCATAGCATACTGACGGCAAATGTGCTCTCAAGGTAGTCGTGCAGATTGCAGTTGCCTTGCAAGGCGATGCAGCAAAGAGGCGCAGCCAGCTGAGCCTCGAGCCTACCCCGCGACTTCGCACATCTCTCGCAAGCGCAAGGAAACCAACATCCCTCTATGCAAGACGGTGCATTACAGACATGATCCTGGGGTCTGCGACATTGTTGTATAATGGGAAAACGAGACCGCATGCGCGCATGGTTCGCACCAGACACGACCCGGCCTGCACCATCCCGCACAGTCCCTCTGCCGCCTGCGCAACAAGCGTCTTCCCCTCGTGCTCCGCTGCCACCATCCCCATCACGCCCGACTGCATCGAGCGGAGGTGCGTTGGCCTCAACAACGTCGGGCGACCCACTGTTGGAGAAGGCTCTAGCGAGAACACTGGAGAGGCTGCCTAAGGGTGAGAAAGCAGCATTTGTGCAGGCATCAAAAACTATCGACGAGCGAACCCTGTTATCCGGCGTACGGGCATACGATGCGGCCCATAAGCACGACTCATCCTTCAGACCTCACGCTGAGCGTCTTTCGAAGTTCCTGGGCTTGCTCAACAGATTCATGGGAGGTGTCGCTATAGGCATTCAAGCGAGCCCTGAAATATCATCTCTAGTAGTTGGCTCAGTCAGGGTCGTCATCGATCTCGCCTTGAAGTTCACCATGTATTTCAGCAGACTTACCGACATGATCTGCACTTTCGAAGACTATTTGGGTCCTCTCGCCGAGTATGCACATGCGGCAGACATCAATCTCGTGGAGAAGACAGTGGTCAATGCTTACGCGAACGTGCTCGACTTTGGCTGGAAGGCGCGTCGTGTGTTTGTCGACGCCAACGGCGATCAACGAAAGTGGACCTCTCCTAGAGCCTTTATGCGCCAGCACTGGGAGACGTTTGAGTCTGAGTTTGTGTCCATCAAGGGAGATCTGCAGCACCATCTTGACATACTCAGGCACTCCGTCCAGGCACTGCATTTTGATCTGTCTAGGAAGGCTGAGCATGCGAGGCGTCGTGAAGAAGAGAGTAGGGCTGTCTATACTGATGTATACGCGCACGAATATGTTGTTAACATGATTCCAGGGACGGAAAGAGAGGCGTTCCTCGCTTGGGTGTCAAACATCGATTTCGAGAAAGTTCACCAGGACATATATGCGAAGAAGCATGAAAAGACGTGTGACTGGTTGATCAGAGAGCCGAATTATCAGCAGTGGTTCAACAGCCCTGCCTCATCCCTCTTGTGGTGCCATGGAAAGCGTAGGCAAGCTATCTCTCTCTAAGACTGCGATTTGCTAATCGTCCGTAGCTGGAATTGGCAAATCCGTGCTCGCGTAGGTGACGGTCGGTTCTATTTTGTTTCAGTTCCAATGCTTATTCATAATCTAGGTCAAATGTGATAGAGGACATCACAGCTAAGAACGGGCTACGAGATGATACCGCCATCTGCTTTGCTTACTACAACTATCGAAACATGCAGCTAAGAGAGCTTCATCAGATTGTAGCCGCTTTGCTCAAGCAGATGTGCCGAGCGATGAATTGTATACCCCACAATCTGCTGAAAACCAAGCATGATGCTTTGTCTCCATCATTGGTTGGCAACCAAGAAAATTTTGTTTCCCTCATCGAAGATCTAAGCCAAGTGTATGTGGTGTTTGATGCTCTAGATGAGTGTCCAGAGCGGGAGCGGGAAGACATCCTTGGTTTCATCACTGGTATAGTGACCGCGCGCATTGGATGCCACGTTAAGGTGTTCGTCACCGGTCGAAACGAAATGGATATCGCCAAAGCCTTTGAAGATAAGCAGATACCTACAATCCAGATTCGAGCCAAAAATGTCGCAACCGATATAGAGACCTTTGCGCGCAGTCAAGTCGAGAAGCTTCAGGCTGGGGAGCATGGAAAGACCCTTTACATCACCAGCGTCGAGCTCAAGGAGAAAATAGTTCGAACACTCGCTACAAAGGCGGAAGGCATGTAGGTTTATATCTAATACTTGGCTTAGAGGTAGTCGCAGGCTGACCGTCAAGCAGGTTTCTTTGGGTCAACCTTCAGTTAGACAGTCTCTGTCAAGCCAGCAAGGCTCAAAAGGATCAGGTGGTGGAGGATGCACTGGAGACCTTACCGCAGGGCTTACCAGACACCTACGTTCGAATACTAGAGCGGATCGAAGACCAGCCTTCGTACATGAGAGATCTAGCACTGAACTGTCTCGCTTGGATGATTTATGCCCGAAGGCCTCTCAGCACTAGGGAATTACAAATTGCGCTTGCAATCAACTCGAGGTGCACGATTCCACAGGATTTACAACCCGATTCTCCACGAGTAATTCTCGAAGCTTGTGGGAACCTGTTAGAAGAAGCCAACGGCGCGATCCGGCCGATCCACTTCACGGTGCAAGAGTTTTTGACAACCGCCGTTCAAGGGCTGTTGCAACATGCCGTCAGAACGCAGCTTCTAGACTCGAATTCCATGCATAAGCGATTGAGCTCAGCGTGTCTTTCATACATGCATCTAGTGGCATTCAGTAGGCCGGCTCAAAGAGGATCCCGGCTTTACTTACGCCTTCGGGACAATATCTTCGCTAGCTATGCAAGTCAGAACTTCGATTACCACATTTCAGAGTGCGATGAAATCCCTCCAGATGTCATGAAACAGCTGGAGAGACTCTTCCAGCAAGAGAGTACGTACCTTGCAGCTGTTCTGCAGATCAAGATTCTACGAGATGGTCACGATTACAACACTATCGAGCAGCGCTTTGATCGTATGCAATTTTTAGTGACTCCCGCTACGGTTGTATATAGCACTAGCCTCTACAACATTCCCGCCGTAAGGCAACAATGGGTGGACCAAACACCCCCAACATATGCTTTACACCTCGCAGCTTCCGCAGGGCTGACTAGTGCAGTCATCCGACTTCTAGAGGGAGGATGCGACGTTAACGAGAAAGATGGGAGCGGCTCTACTTCACTATGCTATGCATGCTTCAATACCGACCTAGAACTCATTCAAACACTGCTTAGCAAAGGCGCCGAGATCAACGCGCAGGGTGGATACTACGGTAATGCACTCCAGGCGGCTTCCTACGAAGGCCACGAGCAGGTGGTGAAGCTGCTGCTTGAAAAGAACGCCGATGTTAACGCGCAGGGTGGATACTACGGCAACGCACTCCAGGCGGCTTCCTACAGAGGCTACGAGCGGGTGGTGAAGCTGCTGCT